GCAACTCCTACACAACTCAACGGCTACGACTGCGGCGTCTTCACTTGTGCTTTCATTGACTGCCTCCTGCGCAATGACACTCCAACCTTTTCTCAAGAGGACATGACCCAGTACCGCCGATCGATCACTCTGTCCCTTCTTGAGAACCAACTACCCATCGGGTAGCTGCCCTGAGCACCATTTCATTTGCTCGTATCAACTCACACATGTCTTTCATCCTTGGCTCCCAGCCCCGACTGGGAGGGCACTATGAGCTTCTCTGTCAACTAAGGAGAGGAGCCATAGAGTAGTGCAGTAGTAACTTATTCTAATCTAGCAATTCCTAGGTGCTGGGAGGATAGGGGAGCTCTGCTTGCATCTCGTGTTACCCGACCCCTCACAGCACCGGTGGAGATTAACAAACAAACATATCTCGCTCAATTTTCGGAGTTGTTGGCTGCCGCTAATGGTCGCATGTACTCCTCTTTGTGCTCGCAAAGGTTTGCTTTGGTAGCCTGGTCGTACGCTTGTTGCTTCGGTCGTCGTGTGCGATCGTGTCGATCGGCTTTTGCTCAGTAGGTGGGCACCTGATTCACTCGAATGATCGTTACTCCTCGAATATAGCTCCGATGACCTTGCTTCAAGCACCAATCTGAACCGGCTTGATGCATTCTCTCCACTGGTGTGCTTGGCTTGGGCTGAATCGGTCGAAAACTCGATCGGCCGATGCGTCCTGCTCCTGTTATGAGCTTTCGCGCTGAGCGAAAAATTCCTGTTGGAGCCCTCAGCCACCTCAAATATTGAGGCTAGCCACTGTGATCTGCGCACCTCTAGTTCAATACCTGGTTACTCTAGCTTTTTGCTCTTTATCATGGGCAAACTCAATACAACAAACAAATCTCTTTCTTTCTGCTCAGTGTTGGGTAAGGCAACACTGTAGCTACTAGTAATTATCAAGTTAATCTGTTGATTTGGGCGAGCTGAGCAGAAAGAATAATCTTTCTGGCTGGTCGCTCTGAAATCTGGATTCTGAAAATGCCAGTTTCCATAAAATCATACGTTGGTGCGGTCTTTTTCTTATCCGGGTCCGCTAAATATCTAGACCGGCCAACACACGCAACACTTTAGACCTAAAACCCCCCTTGAGACGGTGTAGCAATTAATATGTGAACCGTACTAGATTGTAATACATGAGTCAAATGATAATATGAGGTATGGGGAATACATATCCTCCAACAGCTATCTTCAAAGATTTTTGCGGGAAGAACAAGCCTGCTGATGATTCCGTGCAGATGGATGCAGTACTCATTTTCATGGACGATCTTCAAATGGCCAATCAAGCAGGGACACTGGTGCCTATTAGCTAAGAGCAATTCGGTTTTGAAGCACTTCTTTTCAACATGTGGAGAAGACTTGTTAAAAGCCGGTTCTGACTCACGGAAACGTGTTGATCCTGCTTTCAAGTTCTATAAGGGGTGTCCTGTAATGTTTACAGAGAACACGAATGTTCCGAATGGAGAAGCCAATGGATCTTGGCTTTTTGTGAGAATGGTGAATGTGAGGAATGGTTGCACCCCCATGGTTAGTCAACTCGATAACGGCTGCAAGATTCGGGCTTTTTTCTCGGGTCAGTCAAATCTATCCTTGTGGAACATGAAAGTAATGGAGACTATTATGCCATGTACTTTCCATGTAACGGAGCAAGACTACACTTTCAGTACCAGATGGTTCTATGACAGAGAAGTTGTACATACCAAGATGAAGGGTAAGCGATGAGATTTCGAGAGGTCTTTCCTCGGGGAACAACCTCTCTAGATCTCTTCCTCAGATCTCAGCTGGTAGATAGGCAGTAAGGGATCGAGCCTCAACTGGCCTTCCTCAGCAGGAGGATGGCTGTCAGTCAAGGACTTGGCCAGCGCCAGGATGGGAGATCCCTGGTTGGTGAGATTCTCCCTTCACTGGCTGGGCTATCAAGGCCAGCTCCTCAGAGCTGGCTGCCAATGCTATTCAACCACTACTGTTGGAATAGTTGAATCGCTACTATTTACCCTAGCATGGGCCACACAGGAACTGGCTGGTCAACTGCGAGACTACTGATATGCTATCGGGTCTCAGGTACTTTACTATTTCATTATTCTCAACTATGGACAAAGATGGGTGGATATCCATCTTTCCAGGCAATAAGCCAGCAAGCTGGCTGAGTGCTGCTACTACGAATCTAGAGCTCTTGCCCTGTAATTCATAGGTAAGCAGTTCCCGATTATCAGCAATTCTGCGACAACTGAACACAAATTACAGGGATACACTGCATTGTCGTTATTGGTACATTCATGGCGATACTGTCAAAACTGGGCTTATGTGGTGTTATCAACGATGAAATTAGCAATAGGAGCTTCTATGGGTGCGCCACAGCTGTGCTGGTTTAGTCGGATGGAAACAATGCTTTTCATTGTGTACAGTCAATCAGTACACACAGCATTGCAGCCATGTGACAATTTGTATATAGCTGAGGCATGCCTATGTGTTGCAGAGCATACATAGCCTTCAGCCTAGATACATTGGAATGTTCCAGACCAACAGTCCTCTCCTAGGATCTCCAACTGTGATATCCTCTCCAAAAGAGCCAGTTCTGTCAACTGGAGTGAAATCGTGGTAATGATGTTTAGCTTATAGTAAGAAAGATAGTAATGAAAGAGTAACCCCTCAGACCCAGTAGCACCCTCAGCCCTGCAGTAGATAGATTCCTGTGTGGTATGTGCTAGGGCAATGTAACCAGCTCCCCAAGTACTTTAAGTAGTGATTGGGTAGCATTGATCCAGCTCTTTTGAGCTGGCCTTCAGCCAGTGGAGGAGATCTTCATCAACCAGAGATCTCCCTCCCAGCTCTTGTGTTCCTACCCTGAGCCTCATTGGCAAAGATTCATAGATCAAGGGTGCGAACAATGAGTGGTTTGTTCTTATTGAAGAAGCTCGATTGGGATCCAAAGAACTTCGCCATGTTACAACGAATGAAAGACATGCTTGCAAGATTTAAGGATACCATTGGGCTTTCTGTCCTAGGAGAAGATCAATATATTGAAATGTTTCAGCGAGAAGACGGGTTCTTGTTATAAGTGTGCACGGTAGGGATTTAGGGTAAAATAATCTGTATATAAAAGCTTTTATTACTACAACTACCTTTCTAAGATTCACATTGCACTTCGTACATCATTCGATGTCAGTCATTGTAAAAAGATTAAGCGTCCAATCAAATCACTGGTGACCCCGAAAAATTGCGAGCCAATTTTTAAAATGTGAAGAACGCAAGGCGAGTTTCATGTGCATGTGCATGCGTTGACTGTATCCCGTCAATACAATACTAGTCTAATACGTAGACTTCTACAGGGCCCTCTAAGTAATGCGCGCAGGGTATAATTCAAACCTCTGCCCCCATCGGTACCATTTCCCCTAAAGCAAATCGTCTCCAGGAGACGAAATTTTCCATTTTGATGTATTGATTTCAATTTTTGTGCTAATTTAGTTAAAAAGAAGAAATTGCAACCCGACACCGAATAATTAGTTCTGTGAACAGATGATAATCTGTAGCGGTAGCTTGCAGAAGCTCTTCTTGCACGGCGTAATCAATGAAAACAAAGAATGTAGATTGGTCGCAATAGATGACTACAGCGACCCGTACCAGGTAGTAGTAAGCTAGATCCTGCAATGTGTGACAAAGAATACAAAATGCTATGAGGAGCAACACGTGGTCACAAACGCATGGCCATCACAAACCCTTACAACAACTGCGGTACCAGTGTCGCACCAGGGTCCAAAACCTTGATCTACATGTAGATAATTTCCCTACTCTAAACCCCAGTTATATATGCATAGTCCAGGCCCAAATGGTACTTTCTAGCTTTGGGGGGGGGGGTGGCTGCAGGTTGCAGCCCAAGTTGGACCTTCCCTTGCCGGGCAGCACCCTACCGGTACAGGTACTGTACAGCGTACGCCGTAAGCGTTTTGACAAATAAACTGGCTTATAGAAGTACATGTACCGCCGATCGAGCTCGTTTCAGAGGTGTGTCATTTTTGATTGAATTGAATTTGTCGAACACTTTCACCATGGCGGCGGAAGGGAATAATGCTGTGTATTGGGTATGCCCAATTTCCAGCCGAGAAGACCCACCTCTTTGTTCTCGTGGTGACGAGCCTGATGGATCCTATGTGGCGATCCAAAGATTGGTTTCAGAATCCCCAGTGTTACCGGATAGCGAGATTGAAACAATCTTCGAGGCCTTTGTGACAGCCACTGGTGAATGTCTTTGGCGCCGTGTTTCTGTTTGGAGTGGACCCAACAGCCCACAACAGCGAACGATTCATGCGTCTTTCATACTCCCAACTGCAAACGACAATAGCGAGGGCAAAGCTGAGTTTTTCCTTAAACAACCAAACAATGACAAAGACAGTAAAGCACTTTCGCTCCTGGATCAACCCTCTTTTCTTTGCTGGGCAGCCTTTCGAGAATACCCAAAGCACAAGCTTCTGTGCGTCCTTGCGGATCCGTTGACATTGTGTATTTGGGACGTGTATCCTCAAACTGATCAAGTTTGTGTCAAGGGAGAAGGACATTCACAAAACCTGCCATTTCGCTGTAGAGGTGTATACCCAGTCGGTGAAAGCAATGGAATTATTTTACAGCGACAGGACGATCCAGAAGATCTCGCTGCTTTTCAATACAGCGACATGGACATTGACAAGGGAGCAGGAGCCAACAAAGACGATGACAATGATTTTATATTGGCAATGCCGGGAACTACATGTAGTAGCCACCCAAACAACACCAGCTTCAATAGCGGGGGCCAACAAAGAACACCGGCATCCATGCCCACACCTCGAAGTGCCTACACAGCAACGTCAACCGAGGTACCGTCGTTGTACACACTAGAACACCCTCTACAGGAAGTATTGCCAGTGTCTCACTGGTCAGAAAGCACGGCGCTCGTCACGGATGCATTCGAAAAAGTAATTCATGCGGATACGCTAAAATGGAACTCGATCAATAGTGACGACGAAAAGAAGCATCAGCATCAGCAGCCAATCATCGTCACCTACAACACAATTCACAAGCGACATGCAATTTGGGCTGTCAAGGCAGCGCCGGAACCTATCGTTGAACCCTTTTTGTGGAGGCGCAGCCGAGACCGCACAAACGCAAGAAAATGGGACAACCACATCTCCATGATGGAACAAGACTTGGAAGACATGGAGCTGTTGGGTTTTGAACCTCCTCACCTGCACCAAGAAGGGCCTACCCGTGACGAAGCCCTTGCAGACGCTTTGGGCGTTGTTCGAAAGACACCCAGGAAAGCTGGAGAATCATCAACAAGAGGACGGGGACGCGCTATTGAACCACGGACATCCCGCAGCACTTGGACCGAAGCTGGATTGACCAACACCAGTGGGTTCCTTCATGCGTCAACTCGGTCGGCGAAAGAATCGTTTGCTGAAACAGAATTGTCCTTTACGGAAAGCGCCACACAACCCCTCAATTTTCGTCCACAAGCAAGCCTGCGCCCGACCATTGCCATTGATTGTCTATTTGAAGAGTCAGAGGAAAGTGAACCTGCTGACAACATCCTCCTGGCCTCCAACCTTGAGGGCACCGGCCTTTTGCTTTTGGGTTTGCTATGCCCTTCGTCAAGCGAGGGTTGTCACGTCGAAAAGACTTTGCGTCTCTACTCGATCACGCCATCATCATTGGGCAACAACCCTGGCAAAGAAGCAACCCGTACCCCGGCAGCCAAAGAGACTCCTGCTCAGGGTTACCCTGTGAAAATGCTGCGGAGCCTCTCTTGTTTGGACGCCACTCCAATCCAAACGCTTCGAAGAGCTCCGTACGGAGGCAACGAAACAGGACGACCCCACACCACCGAGATCCTTGTTTTGCAGCGCGGGTCTATGGATGAACACTGCTCCCTGGCGCTGTACCGAGGACAGTGTCATGTCGTAGATTGCGCTCTATTGGGCATGCCCTCGATCACTGGGCTCTTAAACCCGGTTCGAGGCAATGTTGACTTCGTTGTTGAAAGGGAGGGGGATGTTAGGAGTTTGATCCGAGGTTGCATTTCACTCGAAATTGAATCGAACGCTCTGGCAATGAAGGCGATTACTGCAATTGAGTCATCCTTGGCAAACATTTCCACAGAATCCAAGGCTTCAGCCCTTCAGTTTGCCCTAAAATTCAAAGCCGATTGCTGCCGATTACATCAATTTCTACGAAAAGATCAAGACAGAACTAACGCGAGACTAAAAGACAGCTGGGCGACGGTGACGACTGTACTGCACGCTGTGTTTGACTACATTTATTTTGGTTCAGTCCCGGGATCAAACAGCGGTTCAGCCCCGTCACAGGGCACATACAGCGCGCAAAAGTCACCCTGGGCGAACCTGTTGAACTCGTCGTACCATGCCAAATTCGCCTGTGGCGATTTGGGTGCACTTCTGCCTGGGAGCTCAGGCATCACCGCCTCGGAGAATGAAGCTGCGACATTCGAGAAAGAGGAAAATCTACCTCCATCCTTTGAGCTGAGCGCCTTGGGCTGTCTACAACCAGGGACATCGATTACAGGCCACATTTTTGATACTCTACACTTCTTGTACGAGGATCTGAAGCTGTCACCGGACCCCAGGAGGATTGATGACCTGCGTTCGATTGGGTCATTCCTTGTCACTACGTGCTTCAAACTCGATCAGATGGAGAACCGGCACGTGCTACGAAAGTTTTTGAATCACTATCGACACGATTTGGGAGCCGCATGGGTCGACAGGATTGGTACTCAGCGCTTGAAAAGAGCAAGCCTTTTGGAATTGGTCCAAGAACCGCCAGCACCAACATCCTTGGACTCCCCGCCATGCATTCTGACATGGCTTGAAGCCAAAGTGAGGAATGATGTGGATACGACTTCAATCTACGACAGGGTGGATCTCTCCAAGGTTAACGCAGTTTGCGCAAAAACTAGGTTGCTGCTTCAAATCTTCAACATCATGTTTTGTCTCGAAGAGGATGACCAGCGCGATATGAAGGTTGTTTCAGCGCTGTGCGAGGCTGGATTCTTCCGCGCCGAACGTGTCCGTGATGACCTTCCAACTGGAGCCGCCATTCCAATCTTGGAGGCACTGCATCGGTGTGGAGATAAGCTGGGGCAAGCCGACGTGCCAGGCTGGGGTGCTGACGAATACAACCTTATCCGACGAAGTGACCTTGGCCATCATCACGATTGTGAGCCGTCATCGGTGAATCCGAGACGAGTCTCCAACACGACGCTTTCAAAAAGTATTCCTTTGGTTGAAGACACGGATCAAGACGGCATCCAACCTCTTCAAACTTCGTCAGCGATGCTTTTTCCTGCGGACAACAGAATAAAGGAGGCGGGTCGTCTGTTGCGGTCATCAAGGCCGTGCCCACTCAGTGTGCACCGGAGTGTTGAAGTTTCTGACCACGAATATGAACGGCTGAAGCAAATCAAACTCCTCCTCCTATGTCGACGTGCACTGGCAGTCCCGGTCGGGCGAGGAATGCTCACCATCGGCAATTTCTCCGCTCCCCCGGCAGAGCCCTTGCCGGTGCCTGAGTTATGTCTAGCTGGCTCAGTGGCACCAACAAATACGAATCTGGCTCTTGACGTCAGCGACTGTCAAAATGGCTTCTTGAACTGGCCCGAGTTCCACAATGGTGTCGCGGCTGGTCTTCGTCTGCCAGCTGCAGGAGAAGACGGGGAGTCCTCTCCAAAGATATCGAGGTCTTGGATTGTATACAACCGACCACCTCAGAACCCAGACTCACAGTCTCAGCAACAGACTAATAATGGACAGCGATCTTCGTGGAGAACCAAGATACATGCACATGGTGGACTTCTTCTAGCCCTAGGACTCCGCGGGCATCTCTCGGCATTGGAGATGACCGATATCTATGACTATCTCACACAGGGACAAGTGACCTTGACATGTGGTGTACTCCTAGGGATGGCCGCAAACAAGAGGGGCACCTCAGATATCTCAGTCTCAAAGATGTTGTGCCTCCATCTTCCTTCATTGATGCCTCAGCAGTTCAGTGCCATCGATGTGGCCAGCTCGGTTCAAACTGCTGCGGTGACCGGAACAGGTCTGCTGTTTCAAGGGTCCAGTCATCGGCTGTTCACGGAATTTCTTTTGAATGAAATCGGAAGGCGGCCTGATAGCGACGTAATGTCGGACAGAGAATCCTACACCCTTTCCTGTGCAATCGCCCTTGGCATGATCAACATTGGAAAAGGTGACCGCATTGGCAACGGACACCATGCTGGTTTCGAAGGTGAAGGATTGAGTGATTTACGACTTGGTGAAAGACTCTGTCGATATGTTAGCAGTGGTGTCGATGAAAACGAAGTGCGCCGTATTAAAGAGGGAAACGACCGCCTGAACTACCAAGTGGCTCTCAACTCTGGAGAACAGGAAAGGTGCTGCTGCATTTTTGAAGGGGCCACTATCAATGTGGACGTGACTGCTGCAGGAGCTACTTTGGCTTTGGGCCTTGTTTTCTGCCGGACTGGGTAAGTTCTTCCCGCAATATGGAACTGACATGCTGCTCTCCTTGGCTTCTCTCACTCTGTGGTCAACTTTGCAGCAATCAAAGTATAGCCTCTGTGATTGCACTTCCTGACACGCACACTCTCTTGGAATATGTCCGGCCCGATTTCCTAGCATTGAGAGTTGTAGCCCAGTCGCTAATCATGTGGGACTCTGTTCTCCCGTCGAAAGATTGGATCAAGATGCAGATGCCTGTCGTAGTTGGAGAAGCGTACGAAAAGATGAAAGAGAAGGCTGCCAGTACCATGGCAATGGCATCTGTTGGCGACATGCTAGATGACGATGATGGCGCGAGTTCGCAGATGGAGATAGGCAATGGCCATGGCAACGGTGCTGAGGTTCCAAACTCAAACTCAAATCGAGTTAGTGGGCAAGAACGTCATCACATACAGTCTGAAGACTATGATTGTCAAGTTGTTCGCCAAATCTACGTCCATGTTCTTGCTGGTGCTTGCTTTGCACTTGGACTACGCTTCGCTGGTACTGGGAACAAGATGGCGGCTGATGCCATCTTTGAACGGGTCCTTGAACTTCAAACTCTGAGGGATGTGAACGATTCAGTGTCACAGGCACTAAGGCCAGAGCCACAAATCCTAGAGACTTGCCTTGGCTGCTGTGCAATAGCTCTCGCGATGGTAAACGCCGGAACTGGAGATCTGGAAACACTCAAGCTTCTCAAAATCCTTCGGTGGCGATGTGATGAGGAAGTAAAGTACGGCGCTCACATGAGTTTCGGTATGGCGATTGGGCTTCTTTTCCTCGGAGGCGGATCTTATACGCTTGGCAGAGATCCTGAAGACGTTGCCGCCCTTATTGCTGCATTTTTCCCACGCTTTCCGTACAGCAGCACAGATAATCAATATCACCTGCAGGCACTAAGGCACCTGTATGCTCTTGCTGTGAAACGGAGAGATATTCGTTTTGCAGATGTCGATACTGGCGAGATTGTGCCGGTTCCCATTGAGGTAAATTACCCGAGGTATACCCCAACGTTTGGCACACGCTTGTTGCTTGCTGGTTTTCTCACCTCAATTGCATTTCCCACCATCATTCAAAGATCCGATATGGAAGCCATGATGCGAATCCCTTGCATCTTACCGCCCCTTGCCTTGTTCCGAATGGCGATGGGATCGTGGAGGCGCAAATTGTGTCGCATGATTTCTATCCCCTGAAGTTCAGACTGACCGAAGATGCGTTCGGGCGGACCCTCTTTGTCAAGCGAAGAACAACTTTCCCATCACCAGGCAGAGGCATTGATGATCAACTCTCTCTGCAAGTGTGTCAGCACGTCGGAAATCTGCAGGAGTATTTGCAAGGAAAACCTGACATGCTGGCGTTAGTGACATATTTGTTTGGGCTTTCCAACACATGCAGCACAACGTTGTCGCAGCAAGGTGTTTCGATGGATGGGTTCTACACTTGCCTCCTCCCCGAATGCCTCTCGAATCACTCAGACATGGCCTTCCCGCTGTACCTGAGACTTTGGGGATCAATTGCGGCCCTTGAAGACAAGTGCTTTTCAAGCTCTAAGTTGTTGCTTTGGGACCTTCATTTGATTCGAGCTTCGCTGTCATCTGACCCACGTCCCCTGTTGAGCCCAGAGAAATTGGCTTACCTGGGAGAGATTGTGGAACGCGTTTCGTCAACTTCCTAGCTGAAGCCAACAATGTGAAAGGGGGCTGGCTGCAAGCAAGAGAGAGCTTGACTTGAACGCTTATTTTAGAGCGCAACACTCTTGCCAGGAATCCTAGCTCGATTTTTTAAAATAGCTGAAATGGCAAAACTGAAGCCCAATTCGTGTTTATTATCACTACTAGCTAGCCAGGCCATACTATTGAAATGTTTACTAAGATCTATGGGGACACAACATCTATCATACAAGAATAAAATAGAAAAATAGGGAGAAATCAAGACTACCTTTTGGGCATGCCTTTTTTCTGTTTTTTCCGGTCCCTCCATTCCGTGAAACTCACATTGCAACCAGCATCGTTTGCTGCACCCAAGCCAGCTTGGGCCAAGGCCCTCTTCGTCTCGAGAGCCTTTAGTGCTTCTTCGTTGGTCATGCCCATCATCCTCGCGGATACTGAATCCATTCCAAGATCATTTTTCGTCTGCGTTTTGTCGTCTGGTTCTCCGGCCGTCATTGTCGTCATACCCAAACCGGGAATATTTCGATTTCCGAGAAGGAGCGAGGGATCGCTAACTGCAAGCACCTCCATTAACCACGCAGACATGGTGTCTCCATCGGTTGTGAGAGGTCGACTGGCAAGCAGGGCAAGCCACTTTTCTTTTTGGGCCTCCATGAACATTTCCCGCTCTTTACTACGAGCGCCTTGTCCCTGGGCACCCCCGTTGCCTGCAGGGTTGAATGCTGACAAGTTGGTCGCTCCCAGCGAGACAGACCCGGGTAGCCCCGAGGCAAACGCCTGAGCAGCACCTCCAAATCTCTGCGCGAGCGCATCTGGTAGATTTGCTCCGTCCTTAATAGCATTTTGGAGCTTTGATGCCTGCGAGGCAAAATTTGGCATGCCCATCATCAAAGATCGCTCCTGTAATGCCCGTGCATCCTGAGCAGCAGCATGCTGCGCCACGGCCTGTGCGTCCCGCATCTGTTGCTGTGCGTTGAGCTGATCAAGAGCACGTTGCTGATGCCCGTTAAGGGCCTGAGACCCTAGCCCCGCCGAAGCCCTGTTGATATCTTGCATGTTCGCGATAAGGTTCATATTTCCAGCCTCTTTTGCCTTTATTTTCGGAGGCACATCATCAAGTTCGCCATCGTTGTTTTCTTCTACACTTCCTTCCACTGAATTGTCATCATCGTCTACAATGGCCTTCGATTTGTCTGTGTCACCATGCCTGTGGCGTTTTCGAAAGTTGCGCTTGGCAACAGGCACTTTGCAATGTGAACAGTAACGAAACTTAACACCGGCATTGCGACAGGCAAAGTAGGAGCATATCAACTCCTCGCCATGGCGAACATTTTCAGGAATAACAAAATAAGCAGTCTTTGCAACAAGAGACAAAATAAAGGTGTCAGATGCTTGCGCAAAACTTTATACAGAGAGTTTGAATTTCTGCCAGTTCAGTTGATTGAATCATTCCACACTCACCTTGAAATTATGATCCATTGGCATGCCTCGAGCCCGACAGGGCACCACTACACTGCCAGGATCACGACGCGATTCTTTATCGCCGGGAGCAGAGGCCCTAGGATCAGCCTCCCCAGCAAAGTCAGACTGGGGCACGCCCATCGGTCCTCCCATCAAAGACGCCTTTTGTCCATTGGCGGCGTTGGTGGACTGGTTTGCCGAAGCGGCCGATTCTGATTCTTGCTGCGCAGCTTGATTTTGAGCCTGAACATGTGCTGCTAAGGACCCAGCTCCGCCCACTTGAGGTGGCAAACCTGAAGCCAGTCTACGTTGACGGCGTTCCAGTTCCTCTAGACTTTGGAGCTCTAGCTCCCCCAATCGTTGGCCTGCACCACCTGACATACCCGCGAGACCTCCAGCACCGATGATTCCTCCCAGCCCAGGCAAAGCTCCAGTTCTCGCTAGAGCCATGATATCTGAGTTGGACAACTGCGGTGCTTGACGGAGTTGGGCACTGGCCAGTGCCGACCGGATATCCGAATGTGACAACTGCTGTGATATCTGCTGCGACAGTTGCTGGCTTTCACTGAGCTGTTGCAACAATCCAGCTCCATTATTAGACTGTTGCGCGTGCAAAGCAGCAGCTTGCCTCATACTGTCTGCCTGCTTCTGTCTCAGCAATTCCTCTCGAAGGGGACCACCGGCACCAGCGCCGCCACCGCCACCAGCACCATTACCTTGATCCCCCAATCCACGGCGTAGCATCGACTCCGCCAGAGAACGATCGTGAAAAGCTGCCGCGGGAGAAGGACCGGATGCTGAAGCAGCACCTGCCGCGGCTGCTGCCGCACTTCTGCTTGTGGCTTCCGCCAACAACGACAGATGGGAGGCTGGGGCTTGCTGCTGTTCGTTTGCGTTGGTCATTTTGTCTGTGTTGTGGCTGAAGGTTGAAGAGACAAGACAAATATATTATTTTTAGTGCTCTTGTGACCGGATTGTCCTTGTCTAGTCTAGATTCCCCTTCACAATGACAAAAAGACCGCTTTTGGACCTGCCCGCCGCGTTTCGTGTTGCTTTTTTGTGGCCCCCTTTCCACTTTGTGACTTCGTCCTGAGACACGAAGCGACCGCGAAGGTGTTCTAAAGGCGAGTGGTAGACTACCTGGCTGGTACCAGTACTGGTAGACTACAGTCGTACCGGTAGCCAGCGAGTGTGCTACTCGCTAGCTTTTGAAGTAGTCTAAGTAGTACCAGGACTTGCTAGCTAGTAATTTGGTACCGATAGCTACCACTAGAGCAGGCCCACCACCGGTACCATGGTACTATCCCGATCAGGTTCCAACCATGCTATGATGTATGGTGGTTAGCTACCGGTACTACCAGCAGCTACCAAGAAAAGACTACAGAAACTATAGCTAGTTCGCTTGCTTTTGTTCGGCAGAAGAACAGAGTCCCACATGATTAACGACTGGGCTACAACTCTCAATGCTAGGAAATCGGGCCGGACATATTCCAAGAGAGTGTGCGTGTCAGGAAGTGCAATCACAGAGGCTATACTTTGATTGCTGCAAAGTTGACCACAGAGTGAGAGAAGCCAAGGAGAGCAGCATGTCAGTTCCATATTGCGGGAAGAACTTACCCAGTCCGGCAGAAAACAAGGCCCAAAGCCAAAGTAGCTCCTGCAGCAGTCACGTCCACATTGATAGTGGCCCCTTCAAAAATGCAGCAGCACCTTTCCTGTTCTCCAGAGTTGAGAGCCGCTTGGTAGTTCAGGCGGTCGTTTCCCTCTTTTTAATACGGCGCACTTCGTTTTCATCGACACCACTGCTAACATATCGACAGAGTCTTTCACCAAGTCGCAAATCGCTCAATCCTTCACCTTCGAAACCAGCATGGTGTCCGTTGCCAATGCGGTCACCTTTTCCAATGTTGATCATGCCAAGGGCGATTGCACAGGAAAGGGTGTAGGATTCTCTGTCCGACATTACATCGCTATCAGGCCGCCTTCCGATTTCATTCAGAAGAAATTCCGTGAACAGCCGATGACTGGACCCTTGAAACAGCAGACCTGTTCCGGTCACCGCAGCAGTTTGAACCGAGCTGGCCACATCGATGGCACTGAACTGCTGAGGCATCAATGAAGGAAGATGGAGGCACAACATCTTTGAGACCGAGATATCTGAGGTGCCCCTCTTGTTTGCGGCCATCCCTAGGAGTACACCACATGTCAACGTCACTTGTCCCTGTGTGAGATAGTCATCGATATCGGTGCCGAGAGATGCCCGCGGAGTCCTAGGGCTAGAAGAAGTCCACCATGTGCATGTATCTTGGTTCTCCACAAAGATCGCTGTCCATTATTAGTCTGTTGCTGAGACTGCGAGTCTGGGTTCTGAGGTGGTCGGTTGTATACAATCCAAGACCTCGATATCTTTGGAGAGGACTCCCCGCGCTGGCAGACGAAGACCAGCCGCAACACCATTGTGGAACTCGGGCCAGTTCAAGAAGCCATTTTGACAGTCGCTGACGTCAAGAGCCAGATTCGTATTTGTTGGTGCCACTGAGCCAGCTAGACATAACTCAGGCACCGGCAAAGGCTCTGCGGGGGGGTCGCCCAACTGGGACTGCCAGTGCACGTCGACATAGGAGGAGGAGTTTGATTTGCTTCAGTGGTACCTATGGTTCACGCATGTTGCTTAGCTACCGTACCGGCGCAGTACGGGGACTTTGTTATTCTTAAGTTAATAGCAGTACCAATAAAAGGACGCCCGCTTGCTTTTTGTTTGGATATCTATCTGTTTTGCCCTCAATGGAATTCTACTGGCGCTACTAGCTGGTGGCTACTACGGTAGCCATGAAACAGCACTGGCAAAAAGAATGGTGTTTCCCCATTCCGCAGATTGTGCTTTGTCGGTAGCAGCGTATGGCAGCCCTGACACCCGTATTTGGCAAAGACTTCTGAAGGCAGCCACAGCTCTCCTACAGTACATTCTAAATTACCTGCTCTCAGTATCCTCCGTAGGCTTGTTGCTGTACTGGAGGTGGACCAAAATTCTGTTGTTGTGTTGGCATTTGTTGTCCGGGATAATTCTGTACTGGGTACTGTCCATGCTGCATGGCATTATGGCCATAATAAGCTTGCTGTGGCGGAGCATTCCAATGACCTTGTTGTTGCTGTGGAGGCGGTTGCTGTTGAACAGGTTCCGAGAAATCCAACAAATCACCAGTGGGGGGAGGCGGGGCTCCTCCAGCAGCATTGTTTATACCCTCGTCGAAGCCTTTGTGATCCATACCCAGTTCGTTTGCCGAGGCAACTGACCTACTGACTTGCCGACCCATGTTTTGGTGTCCAGCGTAGGAGGCCGAATCATAACCTATGGAACCCAAGAAGCAATGGATGAGCCGTGAACCAAGACTATACCAATCAAGCCCGCATTGCTGGGCTTACCTCCTTCTGGTGACATACTAGTACTTCCCCTCTCGTCCGCTGCAAATGTTGGAAACAGAAACGCCGCAAAGTCAGTTCAGTATTTTGCCACAAGGGAACACATCGTTGCAGTCAAAATTTGCCAAAAGCCATACCAGGTGCTCCAGTGTCCGCTCTTTCTCGTACAGCGCCCGTTGCACGGATACCACCGTTGAGTGGAGTATTCCTCATGCATGCCACCAAGGCTTCACGTAAATCGTCCACTTCCTTTGGATTATTCGACCCAAAAGCAGCTGCAATGGTCGGACCGTAATCCATCCATCGTTCGAGCTTGAACTGTCGAATCAATTTGGTGCCATAGGATTTTGTCCTGCATTGTGTCACCTGATACCCACGAACGTTTGGCTTATACAGGTCATGCGCAAAATTGACAGCCAGCTTGATAAGGAAATTGCGCTGTGCCTGGGTATGGTAGGGGTTGTTGAGCCAGTCTTCAAAGTCTGCTTGTGACCGAAACCACAACATTGTATGTGGACCGTATTGCACCCAGAAGGACTGCTTCCACTTTTTCATAACAATAGTCCGGAAAGAAATCCGTGACAAAACATACCCCGTCTTTTGGACCATGTCTGCTCGGGGTAGTGGAGATGCTCCCATGGGAGCATGTTGTGCCAATTCGGCAGAGTATTTATTTCTGGCAGCGGATCCTGCGGGTGTTTGATTTTCTTCTGTTGCTGGGGCAGGGGGAGGAGGAGCCCCAGGATACCCACTACTAGCCGCGGGTACAATATCTACAGAATGAACAGGACGAGTAGCTGGTGGAGGCGTTGATACAGGAGGAGGTTGATGCGAAGCCGGATGATTTTCCTGACCGTAACCCCTATTTTGCTGGTCATATGGTTGCTGCTGAGGGGAGCCGCCATAAGGATTTGGAGGAGTCTGCTGCGAATAAGGCGACACCGGCATACCATTGCTGGCGGATTGGTGGTGCATATTGTGCTGAGGAGGCGCCACCACAATAGCATAAGGATTCGAGGGTTGGGTGGAGGGAACCAGTGCATTGCTGTAGGAGGCCGCTTGTGGTGGCGAACCTTGGCCAAACTGGTCAGGTGGCGGATATTGCTGCTGAGGCATTCCATAGCCCTGATTCTGCATCGGAGGAGGGTGTTGCTGATACATCATTGATGAGAACAGAGTTCTAGGGTGCTGCTATATCGTAGTACTTTCTTTCAAGTCTGTTTCAACGGGAAGTGCATGAAGAGAGCTGGTCGCATGTTCGATGATTGATCGGGAACCCCAGCCAAAATCAAGAAGGCTCCAAAATTTCAGAACGAAAACACGATCAAGCAAGCCGACCACCACTCGCGGCTGCTGGTTGCCTGTGCTTTTGAGTATTGGTACTGTAGCCAGTAACGCTACTATTAATACCGTAGTACCGTCTACCAGTAGCTGCTCTATCGGTACCGGTACTAGCTAGTACTAGCTTTGGGCTACCGGTATCACTCAAGCACCAGGAAACAGACGGGACGGGAGGGGTAACCGCAGGTTAGCCACGATGAGCAGGAAAAAGATATCTAGTATAAATTAGAAATTGTTGGCTGCAAAATGCTACGCCGACTGTAATCGGGCAGTGAGAGCCCTTGTTTCTCGGACGATCACGAGGTCAACAAATTTCAAGAAATAGTCACGAAAATGATCGTACTCCTTTGTGCATGGATCTGGATATCGACTGCCGTGCTTTCGTGGGAGCGACGCGTTTGCTGCGCTGGAAGATTGGGCATCCAATGCACTGATGGCTGAATAGCTTTGACTCCTTTGCATCTTGCCACCCGACTTGGGCAAAGACGGCACCGGCGGGGGGGTCACTTTCTCGTCTTCGTCTTCAGGACTCCCGAGACTGGAGGGAAGCTCCAGCTCCTTGTTTATCCAAGCGTCATCGACGAAATGAACTGACGTCTCTCGTTTCGTGACAGGCACACTTGGAAGCCGCAGAAGCTCGAGCTTGGCCATGTTAGCAGACGATGGCCGCTTCAATTCCGCTCCATGAATGGGTGAAGACTCCGGAGACATATTCCACGATGACGAATCATCATCCGACTGCTCCTGTCCAGGACGGATGTGCCAAAAGCCTCTCGGAGAACCACTAACATCATCCGAGTCGTCCTCCGAACAAGCCGAGCCATCATCGACCCTCGTCGGAAGTTGGGTCATGCTCCTTTCCATGCTAATGTTCGTCAGAAGATTTGCAGCCCATTCATCGCATTCCTCTTTCTCGTTCAGACAATCACCAGTTTCGAGGCTAGAATCAGACGCCGAGGACTGAGTGATCCCTGGCTTCTTTAGTTCCTCTTCAGTCGATGCTGCATCGAGATCGTAAATGGCATGAAACTGAACGCTAGATGCTGACTTGTGCATCCTGTTGCTTCGCCCTTGTTCAGAAGAACGCCATGGCTCCGAAACGAGGGGATCTCCATGTGGCGACAGCTGTTCCGCAAGAGCCCGCGATGCGGCAGTGTGGTGCCATTTTTCATTTTCGAGCGCAGACAAGGAAAGGTCCTCTGCCATGGAATACAGAATCTCAAGCTTGCTTGGGAGTTCACCGAGATCGTCATTCCTAAAGGTGAGAGCAGCACAAAGCAAAAAAAATTAGTCATTGCTGTTCATCAAGAACCAAAACCTTTTCATCGCCCATCCTGTAGTTTACTTACCTGCAACACATGCAAGCAATGTCATACAGAGAAAAGCCGGCTTGGACACCCGCTTTGAGAATTCTGCAACTACTTCGAAAGAGATCCAGCACAGCGTCCGAATTAATGTTGAGCTGTTCCATCAGCATTCTGGCGTCTCCCTCAATGTCCAAATTGAGGATGTAGCGTTTGCTCTTTTCGCTTAATGGCTAAGACAAACAAAACAGCAAAAATTGAATCTCCCGCGATGACCACCAAATCAATAAACAGAAAAGAAAGGTGAAGACTTACCTGCTTTAACTGCGGCCAGTCGAGCCAACACCAATCCATCCACGAGACGTCTCCGACGGAGCGAAGACAGAATCCATGATCAATCGGCACGAGCTCCAAGGTGTTGTCGCGCCTTCTCCGCACCAAGAGATTTGCAGAATTTCGATCGGCATTCATGATTCGAATGTCCAAAATGGCAATTTTATGCACTTCGTCGACACTGATTTTGCTGGGGCTGATGTCATCCATGGTACATTCACCGTTGACGAATTCTTGGAAAGATCCAACTTTCTTCTTGTTACAAGCCGCCGGCCCAGATCCAGAGTTGATGGAATGAGGCCCAATCGACGCTCCACCTTGCGCGACCTTGAGGCGAGAGCCATTGTAGTTGAAGGCAGGATGACGGGCTTCCACAAGCGTCGTCATGGGGACTCCACTAAATCCGTCATGATCCAACAGGAATGCCGCAACCTCACGCATACAAGCTTCTCCCGGAGCAACACCTTCTCGTAATGCCATAGGCTGACCTACTTGACGAATGTATCCGCGAGGGTTGTTCTCGGCGTAGGGTTCTTCGTCAGCTGGTTTGAACACCGCGATCTTCTTCTTGCGCGGATCGAACACGGCGTAAGATCCGCCACTTCCGTCCAGGAAGAGGGACGGCTTTAGTCCCACCTGAAATCCTCGCCGTGACTTTTGAACTACGCTCCGTAGCACTTTGGGTGTCGAATCGATCATGGAAGAGGAGATACAGATGTCGTTTCCGTCGAACGACGAAAGATTGCCTGTTGGAGACGCAGAATTACTCACTTTGATATCCAACAAGAGAGTCTCTCCGGAGCGATAGATCCCAGCATCATGGAGCGTTCTGTGGTTTGGAAGCTCACCCCCGGAGCTCAAAAGTGGTCCAAAGTAGAGGCGTTGTGCATTCGGGGGGACGTGCATGATCTTCTGAATGACCAGCTTTACTTCTTGGATGGTGGACCAAGAACGAATAGTGATGGCCCTCTTCCGCTGTTGGCGATCACGGACGTCCTTGATGAAGAGCTTCAGATCCGGACGGCGCAGAGCGGCGCTCTGCCGATCCATGGCTCTACCCATGCTCACCATCTTCTAGCTAGTACTATTGGTAGCAGTAATCCCGAGATGATGATACTGTTGTCAATCTTCTTCTCCTCCGCTCACTACTGATTGTAAAGATCGAAGGTGCGACCGCGGCAAAGCCGCCCTGAGAACACGGTGTAGCTCTCTGTAAAGACAACACTGTAACTCAGATACGGGGCGGCCAAGTTGCGAAGAAGATAACAAGCCAACAAGAAGTACTCTATAGTATTCAGAAATCTGTGTCGACACGACGCTTGCCTCGAAATTCTGTTTTGGATTGTTGTTGTTGGGGGAGAGAGTTTGGGACAGGGTTTTCAGAGGAAGTGTGCGTCGCGAATAAGTTTTTCTAGTTTGATTTTTACGATTGTTTTATTTTTTATTTTGATTCCACAAAAGTCTTCTAATTTTTGAAACATTTATTTTGGGTTTCGATCCTTTGGTGCGTGGTGTCAATATCTTGGATATTTTTAAAAAGGATTTTTAAATTTTCTAGTAAAAGTTACCACTCCGAGAGAGGTCTCATTTGGAACCAGAAGATTGGTGAAAAAGTAGCTTGAGGACACTTTAATATACCACGTTTTTGACACCTCTGCGACATGGTGTTGTCGTGTGAATGGCCGCTGACTGGAACCGAACTGGCTTTTGCATGTAGACCTAGCTGGGCTGGGTTAATACAACGAAATTTGTGCCTGCATGAATGTAATACCAAGTTGTTCTCGTTGCTGAGCTAGCTAACAAGAACCGCCAGATCACATGCAAGACTACCCAAAGCACAACACTTGCATACTATGTATGTTGACCCACTGCATGCATGTTGTTTTCAGAACAGCAGCAGGCAGGATCACGCGCAATACTTCTAACCTAAAGTAAGGAACGCCCACAAGCTCTCCACCACGCACCCAAAACCTTTCCAAATAAAGCCACACAAAGCTTTGCACTATCTTACGCACTACTAGCTAGATAGTAGTTGTTTGCTTTGCTCTCTTGGCCAAGGATAACCACAGATGGGCCCTTGTCAATGCAAAGAGAAATATCCTGGGAGGCGACCCTCTACTAGCCCAGTGATTGAAATGTAACGGGGCGAAAACGGGTCATGGCAAGGACTCCGTGAATGATGGTTAGTGAAGTTGCTTGATGACGAAAGACCAACAATCGCTCAAACAAGGTTACTTGTACCCAACAAATGAAAATATGTACATGTAGAATGGATGAATGATTCAATCTGCCGGCCTCTGCAGCGCGGAGCGAATCAGTGACCTGTGGGCAAAATCAAATAAAGAGAGTCAGTGTTGATCTTTCATAAGTGTTCTCTCCTTCATCCTCCACCATGGGATACCCAGCGACCAAAGCATGTGCACCATAGATGTATAGAGTGTTGAAAAGTTGCCAGTAGACCTCCCGGACACGGCGAGCTGGGTGGTAGAGACCTTGAATTGTGTACTGCAGAAGCAGATTAGGACCCAGAGCCACCATTAGTCCTTGGAGAGCATCGAACACAGCTTGGATCACATGTGGGCTTTCTTCGAAGATGTTTGGGAACACAAAGTTCAACAAATGGATCAATGCGTCTTCACATCCCATTCCGGCCACGCCGAGAGCCAGATGCTTGACAGTGGCACATGCCGTTTGACGATGGACAGGATCACGCTCCATCAGTGCATCTTCGAGCAAGGGAGTCACCGCGTAGACATAATCCTTTCCCATTTCTCCAATGTACTCGAACATGAAGCTAAGAGCCTTCAGTACACCATTCTGAACGTTGAGCTCGGGGATGCGATATTCGTTCATAAGTGCCGGCAACACCGTGAATGGGCCGCAACTCTCTGCGACAATCGCAATGGCAACGGTTGTACATACTCGCATCTGCCTATCCTGTACCTTCAAGTTGTTCAGGAGGGTGTGAAGCACATCTTGAGGACCGATTGCCTTGGCAATGAAGCCAAAGGTGCTGACCGCGGCACGGCGGATCGATTTTTTGTGCGCTTTTAACATCTCAAGCAATTCAAAGCAGATGCGCATCCATTCCTTGGCAGAGACAAATTCAGCACCTCTGTCCGCAATTCGACCAACCAAATCAATGCAATTCTCCTGGACTTTCTCGTGGCGATTCCTAAGGATGGGCGTCAATCGAGGCAGCAAGTCCTGGATGGGAGGTGTCATCTTGGTCATACCGATGACGTTGACAATGGAACGCAGAGCCCCTAATATGGAACCCAGCACCTCGGGGTACTCTTCTCCTAGGTACTCATAGAGAACAATTCCCAAATGCCCCATGAGTTGATCTTCTCCGGAGGCTTTCATCACAACAGCAATTCGCCCGATGAGATCTGCCGCCTGCATCCGGACGTATGCGGACTTGTTGTTAAGGCGCCACTTGATAGTTCCGGCGATTTGTTTCACATACGGCTTGCACCTTTCGCCCAACGCGTTCACAACGGTTCCAAAGCCATCTAACATGATTTGGCCTTCTCGAGCGGACGCACTCAGGCCAGCATTGCTCACATCCACGGCTTGTTCTTGGAAAGCATAAAGGATACCGTCGATGAGACGTTCTTCGAGCCTCTGTCCGATATCGCCCGAGCCGAGGTTCTTGAGCACCTTGTCGACAGTTTCCATCACCATGCGCCGATACGGCTCGCTGTCATCCTTGAGATCATCCACGATCCGCTCAATGATTTCGGAGCAGCCCACCTTGTTGGCCAGCTCCTCGGTCGTTTCAATGACCTGGTTGTGGTTCCTTCGATCCAACGCCATGCGGCGAATCCAAAAGTTTGTAAAGAAATCGGGGAGGATCTCCGTTCGAATATAATCTGGCTCGACACCGGCAGTCGCAACACACTGCTCGATGACCTTCAGGACGATGCGCTTCATTTCTTCATCTGGAGAGTGAAACTCGCGGAGCAGGATAGGCATTACCAAGCGAGTGTAATGACTGGCGTAGTTCTCTTCCATAAGGGGAATGACAAATCCAATGGCCTTTAGGAATGCTGCCAATGCCTTTCCATGATGCTCCATGGCGCCCTTCCAGAGAGGGCGAATGACAGCGTCAAAGCTTTCAATTCCGTAGGGATGAGCGGCTTCCGCCAGGGCTGCCGCCGTCAGCGCCGTCATGATGCGCACTTTTTGAATTTCATCCGTCAAACCATGACTGACGATTTCGACCAATTCCCGTAGGTAAGGCAGTACCGCCAATCCCATGAGCAAGGCAATTTGTTGCACAATTTTGATACCCGTGTGGCGTGCCTGCCAGGATTTTCGCGACTGGCAAACTGCCTTGAGGAAGGGCAACATGGATGGGACCCCGAGGGCACTCGCAACGACCGCAAATGCGCGGGAAGTCGTATTTCGAACGTATTCATCCGGGCTGTCGATATCGGGTCGCATCGTAGCAATCATCGTCGCGAGACCAGCGGCCTTTGCCAAATTGCTGATAATTTCTCGACCTTCGACTCGCGCGTAGTAATCTTCGTCAATCAGCAGCGGTTCAATGACGGCCAAGATACGATGAACAAAAGGACGCACTAAATCGTCGAGCTTGTAGAGCACACGGTCAATGACTTTGACCAAGAGATGGCGTTCTTGGTCTTCCAAGGTGGGGCTCATGAGCAAGGGAAGGATTTGGTTGAAAAGAGGTCCAGCACCAAACGAGCGAGCCTTGTCCGTGATTTGCCGCATCGCCGTTTTTCGTTGCGGAGGAGTTCCGCTCTTGATCTTTAGCAATAGGGCCATGATTTTTCGTTCGTTGGTTTCTTCGCCTTCTTCCATGAGTCTTCCAAAATACTGCATATCCTCTGGTTTAATTTCAGGAAGGTTCCCAGCTGCCACACCACCGACAGCCTCTGCGGAAGTAGGTGCCAATGGTACACCATACGCTTTTCTAATTTCCTGAATGGACGCATTTTGCTGCTGTTCAATGGGGACGTCCATTTGGAAGCCACTTGGTGTCATTCCAGGTGTGGGCGTGGACAATGCTTTTCGGCCAGGAGTCCGCAACGGCTTGTACGAAGCCGGAGGTGCCAGGATGGTATATCCCTCGGAAGGAAGAATGGCATCCAAAGCCGAATCGGTCCAGGGGCGATTTCTCGATTCCATTTCTCGTTCTAGCGCCATGGCCTTGGCAATATTCCCAGCTCCAGGTGTCATGGGAGTTTGAGGGATGCCTCCTGTCGAGGTGGCCATGGGCGTTGCTTCCCAACGATTTTTCTTCTTCGCGGTGGAAGCGTCTCCAGGTACGCCCGAAGCCATCATGGGAGTGGCATCCCACTTGGATGTGGATGTCGCGACGGGAGTTTCCATGACCGAGGTAGACGCTGCGACGGGAGTTTCGTCCCATTTTTTGCGTCGTCTACTACTGCCTGACGCCACGGAAGAGTCGGAATCGGACACCACATTCCCGCCGCTGGAGGGTGCAGGAGTAGAATCCCATCGTCGCTTGCGCCTTCCAGATTCTGGTTCTGGTTTGGCAGCTTCCTCTTGCTGTTGCTGTTCTTCTTCATGCTGCAGTTTCGCTTGCATGGCATCTTTGTAGGGCAATCCATCTGCTCTGACGAATCGATTCTGACGACGCTTTTGATAATCTGATTCTCGACCGGCGATGCTTTTATCATTGTTACTGATTGCGTCTCCGGATTCCGCAGCTTCGTCCTTGGAAGCCGCCATCGTGCTGGGATGGTAGTCGACACGACCACCATCCGCTTCTTCGAGTTCCTCCTTCGCAGGTCCCATTGTACCGTACGTGCTCTGTGAGTCGATACTATCTGTTGTTTCTTGTCTATCTGTTAATCCCTTGTGTGTGTCTTGGTAGTGATTGTGATCGGTTTCAAGGACGGCGGCCGACGGCAAGTTTGTGTGTTGTGCTTTGTGCTTGAAGGGTGGGTTTGGGCGTTTGGGCGGTGTTTGGACGGACGATGAGACGAATGATTCAATCACGAATTGCTGTGGACACAGTCCCACTCCTCATGATCCATTTTACTCACTAAAGAAAAGATTTCAAAAGATAGACTACTAGCTAGCTACCAGGTAGCTAGTACCTCGGAAATGAACGAGCTATTTGTGCTTGCTTGATGAGGACAGCCATTGATTCGATTCAGCGTGCAGCTTGTGTGTCTGGTGATTACGGTAGACATTCAAAGAATGCCAGAAAAGAAAAGGGCAAGGTCTCTCCAACATGGTTTGCAAAGGCAGCTGGAGAGCTGCCACAATTGGGATGCTTCCGATGCCAAACAGAGTTTTGTTCGCGCCCTTTTGGATTTCAAGGAAATTGCCAGTGAGCTCCTCATTGAATCTGGACGAGATGTAGATTTTTCAGAAGCAGGTACTATAGACTTGCTGATAGACCTTGAGGATAAATCAGCCCGTTTGCGAAGATCGGTTCAGGAATATTATCAAATGTATCATGAAAGTGCAATCTTGCAGAAAGGTATCGATGTACCGGTACCCAATGACGGCGAGACTACCATACCAATAAGTGATCAGCAATGGATCCTGACAAGTCGAGCCCTCGCAGCCTCTTTACGAAAGAGATCCTTTTTCGAGAAGCAAGCCATAGAGAGAGTTTTTGAAATCATGGAAGAAGCGCTTCTTTCCAGTCAACCCACAACAAAGGAGCGACTGCACGAACTGGTCCAACATTGTCAGAATCTGGCAAACTCGATCCAGCTGCCGGTACATGGCAACACTGATTGCCAATTGCTGCAAGCAAGCATCGACGAAAAAATGCATAGATCTGATCCAACAGGAGAGAATGAACAGAGTTTTGATTCTCCAACAGGACCATCTTTTTGTCCTATTGATCTGACAAAGACTCAAACTGACGATATGCCGATCCAGGACACCACGAGTACTGGTGCAGTGGAGTTTCCCTTCCCAACCTTAGTGGATGATGCTGTCTCTAGCTTCCACGGACTGCTGGTCACTGGTCCAAGAGGAAGTGGTAAGACTCACTTTTGCCATGAAGTGGAGACCTTGGCAGCAGAAAAGGGAGCAAAAGGTATGAACTCTAGCTAGTACTTCGGAACGTTCTATGTCAAGTGCATTCGTGTGAAAAACTGAGAAGATTAACTCAACGTTTTAGTGCATGTGTTCAATCCCAGCAGTCGTACCATTGGTGAATTGGAGGATCATGTGATATCCTTCTTCAGAAAGGGTAGCGAGGAGGGAGGCAATCATTTGTTGGTGATGGATGATTTCGATGAAATCATTGGCCACAATCTGCTACTGCCCACTTATGAAGCAGGAGGACATGACAATGTTCAAATTCGAGGAGCGCATGCGGCGTCCCGGGTGCTTTCCTCCATTCTCGCCATGATGGATGTGAATAGCCCTGCAAGTCAGTCTCCACCGACAACATGGTTAGCGTGCACGGCAAAGACCAACGTGAACTTGATCTTGGATCGTTTTGACTCTCTTCACTCACTCAAGCCTCCCGATGAGAAGGAACGAAAAAAGTTCCTGGCTCATATAATGGGCCTGGATGAACTAGTTGTTGACGATGATGGTGACACGCGACAACAAAACAAACTTGCACTGGAAACTCTAGTCATGTCGAGCGCTGGTCTTTCGTACTCGGAAATCGCTCAAAAGTACAGGACCGCAATCATGAACATGGACGCCGACACGACGACGATGACCAACAACAACAAGCTCCTTGCCATGAAAGATGCCCTTCAGTCATTTGTTCCGGCGTCTCTCATGAGCCATGTTGTGGATGGATACGTGGATATGCGTGTGCTGGGGGGACGTGAACTGATGGCTCTGTCACGGGAAACTCCAGATAAGTGCCCGTTGCTGGGTCGCGACGGAGACTTGGCATGGAAAGAATTAGAGTGGAACATTGTCATACCCATCAGTCGAGCGGCAGAGTTGAATCGGCTGACGCACAACAACCAGCAGGAGGAGACACGGCGAAAGCGTCTTTGTGGTGGAGTTCTCTTGACAGGTGACCCAGGGACAGGAAAGACAACATTGGCTCGACACTGTGGAAGGTTCGCGGCAGAGTATCTCGCTTCCATCAAGATGATAGAAGTCAGTTGCTCTTCCATGATCCACAAGGAAGTCGGAGCGTCAGAACGGGCTATCCATCGCATGTTTGAATTCGCGCAGAGCGCAATGCCGTGTATTGTTGTGCTGGACGACGTCGCGATTGTGTCCGCAGTTCGTGGCAAAGACACTACGAAAGAGGGCACAATGGACCGTGTGTTGAGCACTTTGTTGCACGAAATGGATGGAGTGGAACAAAAACAAAATGATATTCAAACGTCAAACACCGCCGGAATGGCAATCATTGGGATCACAAAGGATGCGACAAAGGTGGATGCGGCGCTGCTACGACCCGGTCGATTGGGGTCTACCGTTAAAATGAATCTGCCAGATCAAGATGCAAGACGTCAAATATCTGTTCGAGAATTGACATCGATGTCTGCTGACGATGGTTTCGAGTCACCTTCAGCAACACCGGCAGTCCAGGCGCTTGCCGACCTATCGGAACTGATATCTGAAAAGACCAGTGGTCTTTCAGGTGCCAGTGTTGTGGCCCTACTCTCCGATGCAAAGTTTGCATGCGCACAAGCTTCAAGCAAGGCGCCCATCGAAGCTTTCGACATGGTTGATTTTATGCGTTCATTCATCACAAATTATTGATGAATACCGGTACATAGTTTAGCTTGACAACATTTAATTTTAAAACGGTTACCTCATTATTAGTGTCTATTGCACAATATTTCTATTCGTTGTTGCGGCTTGGTCTAATTGCCCAGTTCTGCAGTTCTGTCAGCGTACGAGTAAGCCCTTGCTTGTGCGAGGTTATTGCTATGGCTCATTTCGAAGCACAACTGTACAGCGGTTTTCACTTTTTAAACTTGGGCATACGATGAGTTCGGACCAGAGGAGGAGGCAGCAGGAGTACCATCACCTGGCGGCGGATACTGACCACTGGCCCGTGCTTCGACGACAGGCACAGGTGCTGATTGTGGCATACCGACCGGAGCAGGGGTCTGCAAGCTTGGATTTGGTCTTGTGCTTTCTGGATCAAGAACGGGGAAGAAGAAGCCAATAGGAGCAGGGGCCTTGTGTGGCGTGTTTCCAGAGTTGGCGGCGACAACGGGGGTACCACGCTGACCAACATGCTGTGCAGTTGTCGTCAAAGGGGCAGTTTGTTGCTTTGCTGCTGGTGGTGGTGCCGCCGCTGCGGGGACAAGCCATGCTGCTGGATTGGGGTTGGAAGATTCATTCCGTTGTCTTTTGGGTTGTTGTTGTTGATGTTGTGGAACATTGGCTGATTCTGTTGGATAAGTAGAGTGATTTACAGCAGGGGGAGCATTGGCAGGAGCATCGTCTGGGTTTTCGACTGCGAAAGGCCTTGTAGAACGTTTTCTTCGTTCTTGGACCATATACTGTGACAAGGAGGAGAACAATCCCATTACATAGACCATGGATATTCCTAGAGGAGATCGTTTTTCTTCTTCTGTGAGCTTTGGGAAAGGGACATGAGTTCCAGCAAAGATCTTGAGATAGTCCTGTGATTCTTTAGAAAATTCCACGGAGGAAATTGGTTTGCTACCTCCTCCTCCTGCAGTCGGGGCAGCTTTGGCTTGGCCTTCAGTCATGACAGAATATGTGAGGAAAGCTGCTATGTCTCCCCCAGAAATCCGACCTTCTCCCATAATTGTTGAAATCATGGCGGATGGCGGCATGATAATGTGGTTTGTGGTGGTGGCTCCTGTTCCTCCCACTGTCATGGCCTTTCGCACAAAATCATCGTAGTCTTTGAGGAAATCTTCTCTGCTTTTTTCTTTGTTCTTTCGATATTTCTGAAGGTGACTCTTGACTCGTTCACTGGTGAGAGAATCGGGTCGACAGGCCATGTTTTCCAATATCACTGAAGGAGAGGATTGGGAAACTCCAGCGTCAAAGATTGCCGCAACAAAAGAGCGATGCAATTCTTCGCTCCATTTGTCTCCTTCTTCTGAAGCATCACTCGTTGATGCACTGCCATAAGAGGGAGGAAACTGGGCCGCATTCAACTCGTCTCGTTTCCGCTTGCCGGTTCCCATATTGTACTCGCTCATCGTGTTGATAAAATATTTGAAGAAGATGATAGCACTAAAAAACTTGGATAACACCCAAAACAATGCGGCGATACAGGACGTCGACTACCGCGGCGTATTACGGATGCCACCACGGTAGACGACAGAGAATGCAACTACACAACAGCTGCTGTCGGGATAGTCTCGACGCATCCAGGAATGAATGAGGTGGTGCGCCGGTAGTGATATTGTTGCCTCCAGCAGCATCCAGCTACCGTAGCGTACGCTGTACATGTAGCTCGCGGCTTTCCCACACTGCCGTTCCTTTCAAAGATTTTGACTCCAAGCCACAAGGTGTCATTATTTCTTAAAAGCCTTTCTAATACTTCTAATAAATCTTTTACAGCCACACTGTACCCCAGCTACCGGGAGCACTGCATGGAGCGCTATTTTAAAAAAATTTAATAGCAACCAAGCAAGAGGAATGAATTGTTACAGTACCGGTTCGACTGTATGGCTGTATGGTACCGTACCAGCCAGGTGTCAAAAACTGGGTTGAAGAAATAAACAAGCAGCTGTTTGTCAAATGAAATTACAAACAAAATCCGTGGATTTTCACGTGCCGAGTAGAGCGACAATCAGTCGCTTCAATCCCAGCCGAGTCGAGTCTTTGAAAGACTCAAGATCGTCAGTTGGTTGTTGCCCTGATTGGATCTACTGTACTCACCGTTCTCAAAGCCCATTCATACTGGTAAAAGCAGCTTCAGTGCCACCGGTAGCTATAGAATAGTAAGGTTGGCAATCAAAGTCGATCGGTACATCGGTACCATGGCAGCTCCAACCGTCTTCGAATCGTCTTTCTTCCCTGACATTGTGGATGGAGTCCGAGAAGTAGATTCTCCGCTGACGCCCATCAACCAAAAGCTTCGAAGGAAAAATGTAGTAGCCGCAGCATCGGTGTCAGGGCCCAACATGCCCATGAACAGTCCAACGGATCCCTGGAGCTCTGCCTTTGATTACTCTGGGTTGAACGATCCACTGGTAGAGGGGACGGCACAGGGTGTATGTGTGTGTGCCATGAAACGACGAAACAGTTGGGCCGAGAAAAAGTTTCCCACTCACACAGAAGAAAGATCCAACAAACAGTCCACTGAGTCAACACTAACAGTGACAGAAAACCAGGGTACTCCATCGTCACCCAGTCCCAACAAGACAACTACCAAATGCCCGTCCTGTGGAAAATCTACCTCGATGAATCCCAGAAGCTTGGCATGGGGATACTCGAAAGCCACCAACAACAATACTAAATTGGCCAAAACAGAGGCTACGAATGCCATGGGAGAAGATCCACAACATGCACAGGCACTGCTTCAGTCGACACCCAAACTCAGACAGCTCTCTCCGGCTTCTGCTGATATGCAACAAATAATGGGCCGTTCACGGAATATTCTGAGTCTGATATTACCGCCTGCAGCAGACGGAAACGAGGCAAAGTCTTCGGGAAGTATTCTCATGGATTATAAGAAAAGTCTAGCCAGGGAAAGAGCCAATCAACAAGCTGCGTCAGAGCTTGCATCTCTGCTCTTTTCTCTTTTCCATGAAATGTCACTGGAAGACTATGGTATTGTCGAAAGTGAAGTTTTCACATCTGTATTTGCATTGGTACATGATACACGAAAAGAGTATCGAATGGCTGGCTTGGCCGCCCTGGATGCTCTCGTGGTGGTAGAAGCTCCCAGTGCCGATGAAGAAAAGAAGGGCATCAAGTTTGCCAATGCACTCAGTAAAGCGCTACAATCTGCCCATGGAGACTTTGAATTCTTGTCTGCCGTATCTAAAGCTCTGGGCCACATGGCGTTGAGGACCACTCTCAGTGATTTCATTGAAAGTGAAATTGGTAGGGCGTTGGAATGGCTACGCACCGAAAGGTCAGACCGAAGACTTGCGGCTGCATTGTCGCTGAAAGAGCTAGCCATTCATGCACCAACTGCTTTCCACTCCAAGACAAGTCAATCTACTCTGGGACAAGGTGGATCGAACGAGTTCCTCGATCACATTTTTGAAGCCATTAGGGATCCACAACCTATTGTCAGGGCATGTGCCGCAGACGCACTGTCGCAATGCTTGAAGCTTCTTGTAGAAAGACAACATCCGTCGCTCACGGGGTTGCTCTGCCAAGTGTTCTTCTCGTTAATGGAGGGACTCAAGCAGGAAGCCACAAAGAAACGGACGATATCGGCATCAGTGCAACACGGATCGCTTCTTGTAGCAAGCTGCATGATTGCTTTTGCGGGTGACTTCATGCTGCCTCGTTTTGACGAAGTTTGCACCGCCATCTTGGACTTTACGACCTGCGAAAGTCCGTTGATTCGACTCGAAGTTGTAAGGCTCATTCCCAGACTCGCAAGACGGTGTCCGACTGTCTTTGGGAGACGATACCTCGACGAGAGTCTCATCTTCTTGATCGAAAGTGCGTCGACACCAGTACAACCACGCGCGGGAGTGGATGTGAGACCTTCGGCATACAGAGCCATTGGGCAGCTTACTCTGGCAATGAGAGATTCCAGTACGGGGCGTGTCATCGGAGGGGCTGCTTTGCGAAATGTCAAGATTGCAGAAGATCCTAACAATCCTGATGGAGCGTACACGGTGCAAGTATCCAAATCTGGTGTTATTTTCGACAAACTGCAAGAAATATTCGGGCTATTGAAAACGGTGCTACAGTCGGGATCCCCAGAGACCCTTAGCCCCGCGCTTGAATGTGCTGCTAATCTCGTTCAAGCCTTGGATGACATGGCACTTCCCTACATCTCTGACTTGATCAATGACATGTTCCGAGCCGGTCTAACCACTGAGCTGATAAATGCTTTGCACGCCATCGCGCAATGTGTTCCAGGACAACAGAGCGTCATAGAAAACCGATTGCTCCAAGAGACTTCCCTGATTCTGGCAGGGATGCCGTCGGCAAGAGATATATGTGACCCTCTGCGTGGATTGAAATCTTCACACTGCCAACGGAAGTCTGGCAGACGTCAGTTACCGCAACAGAACGGGAGTGCTTCATCAGCGCGTTCCAACAAAATCACAATAAACATGGCAGACGATCCAAGAACCGTGAAGGCTCTCGTCTTGTCTCTCCAAACCTTGGGATCATTTGGCGATCACATGGGAAGAGTAACCACTGCTGGAGCTGTTGTCCCGCTTCTTCCATTTGTGCAAGAAGTGGCAATAAAATATGTTTCTCATCCATCCAGCGAAGTTCGGAGAGCTGCTGCTCTAACGTGCTGTGTTCTCCTTCACCCTGACGTGCTCGTTCGCAATACGAGTTACGGCGGCATTGTCATTGAAGAATGTTTGGCAGAGCTACTTAAGGTGGCAATCAGTGATCCGAGTGCTGTGGTTAGGTTGTGCGTTGTGCGAGGATTGGATTCAAGGTATGATCCATTCCTCTCCCAGTCGCATCATCTTCAATCACTCTTCCTCCTTCTCAGCGACGAGTCTCTCGCCACGAGAGCTGCGGGTTTGCGTCTTCTCGGCCGCCTTACTGTTATCAACCCCGCTCCTATCCTGCCGGTATTGAGACGGTTCCTTGCCGATCTTATTGTGGAGCTACAGTGTGGTGTTGAAACAGGGAGAGGGAGAGAGGAGGCTACGCGACTGTTGGTCGTCTTTCTAAAAGCCAAGGCCCTGCAGAGATTAGTCCATCCTGTGTTGCAGTCACTTGTTGGTGCACTTCCACTGAGCGGGGCGGCTCCTCGGCTGGCCTCAGCAGCACTTGAAGCATTGGGCGAACTGGCATTGGCTACGGGAATGGCTCTTCAACCTTGGGTGAAAGATGTTGTTCCACACATCCTTGTAACAATGCAGGACCAAAGTAGCACGAGTAAACAGCGCACTAGTCTCATGACATTGGGGCAAATTGCAGGATCCACAGGTAAATGCTGGAGAATGAGGGTCGTTGTGCCTCGTTTTTCTTTCTGCGGACCTCCTCACCAGTTGCCTTGGGCTCATAGGCTACGTAATTCGGCCTTATTTGGACTACCCCAATTTGCTGTCCCAGGCGACGGATGTGTTACCAGGAACAAAGCGTGCGCCATGGGCTTTACGTCGCGAAGTGATTCGTTGTCTTGGCGTCTTGGGAGCCCTGGATCCGGACCGGTATCAGATGGTTGCATCCAAGACGAGAAAAGGTGGGGCTGTCGGTGGCGCCTACTTTGATGAGGAGCAAGACGATTCGGCGCAGCAGTCGGCAGACAAGAACAAAGACAAGAAAACAGAGGATACAGAGACACATCAATCACGTTCGGGGCAGGCATCGGCGAATTTGAATCCAGGAAATGATACGACTATTAATAGTGCTCCGACTGCGTTAGACAATGACGATGACCTGCCGGCGCATCTATCCATGTATGAACAATACGCTGTCGTCGTGCAACCTGTGTCAAGTTTGCCACCCGCACGACGCATTACACCATCCGACGAACGATTCTACCCTACAGTGGCAATCCAGGCTTTGATGCGAATATTCCGCGACCCATCCTTGGCAGTACACCACGGAATGGTCATACAGGCTATCATGTTCATATTCAAGTCCATGGGGTTGAGATGCATCCCCTATTTGGGTAAGGTTGTGCCCCATATGATAAATGCAATACGCAGTGAAACGGGCCCTGCCAGCCTTCGAGAGTCTCTGTTCAAGCAGGTAAGAATCTTGATTGAGTGGTACGGTTCCAAATGGCACTGTATTATTCCACTTTTCTCACACATCTTCCCTGCAATTCGAAGATGGCTTCACTGAGTGAAATTGTTCGCGAGCATTTGCGCCCCTTTATAGCCGACATATTCGACGTCGTGGAGCAATTCTGGTCATCACGACATCTTGGAACGATTTTTTTGCTCGTGTCCAAGGTCGCCGTTGGTGTCCCAGACGAATTCCGACGGTTTGTTCCGAGACTGATACGAAGACTCTTGGAATCTCTAGAAGAGCTTCAAGTGGCGGAGTGGTCCACTACGGATGCGGACAATTCTGGGAATCACGGTGGGAGAATTGAGTCGAACAAACTGGGACTGATACTGAGCAGCATTAACAGCCTTCGAGGGGTCCTGGGAGACTACATCCACATGCTTGTACCAGCCCTTCTCAAGCTGAGCGATTCTTTGGCTTCTCTGTGCGCAGCGGGATCTTCCTTCGGCGACCTTCATGTCTCGACATTACGAACAATCTCTTCTTTGCTTGAATCTCAAGTAGTAGCTCCAAATCACCCCCCCACGCGATCTTATGCGTCGCTGCAGAGATTCGGAGGGCAATCAACAATAAACTTTGAATGTGGACTGTCAGCTCGAACGTTGCAGGCATTGGTACGATTGCTCCGATCCAGGCCCCCGGTTATCAGGGAGGTGGGCACTGCGGCCATTGAAACACTCTGTGTTTGCGCCAAACAATTGGGGAGAGTCAGATGGCACAATTCATATCACAAGGTGGTTGAAGCATCCATCATTAATTGGGATGCTGCTTCGTCATCTGGGTCGCTTCGTTCGGCAATTCTTGCTGAAGGAAACCCTTCAACGCAATCAAATGCTGAGGAGACCATGCCGACTGGGCTGTCGTACTATAACAGAAATCTTTCTTGTCTTTTCACGGCCGACTCGAAAAGCTTGAGTCAACAGCCTGCTCTGTTCCCCTCGGAAATAAGACAATCGAGCTTCCCGGAGAGCCCAGCGATCGGTGGTGTGTCGGATAGCGGCCTTCTTGATGTGGACCAAAATGTTGTAACCAACCAAGCCAATCGACAACGTGTGAATCAAGGCAACTTGCAACGGGCCTGGGATGTGACCCAGATTGCATCGAGAGATGACTGGGATCAGTGGATGCGGACCCTGTCTATTATGTTGCTTCGAGAGGCGCCGTCGGCAGCTCTTAGAGCCACAGCGAATTTGGCGCATGCATACCAGGTACGAAGCCTTGCATCAAGTCAGTGCTTGTTTCGAGTCCTCACATACCTGTTCTGTAGCCACTCGCACGGGAGCTTTTTAGTGCAGCATTCGTTTGTTGTTGGAAGGAACTGAGTAAGCCATATCGAATGAACCTCATTCATGCTCTGGAAACTGCATTCGCAGCAGACATCTCTCCTGAGATACTGCAGGCACTCCTTAACCTGGCTGGATTCCTGGAACACGACCCGGAAGGAGGGCTGCCCATCGATATTTCAATTCTTGCTGAGCTTGCATTGAAGTGTCGAGCATACGCCAAGGCGCTGCATTACAAGGAACGCGAACATCGCATGCGGGGCGCGAACTCTTGCGTGGAAGCACTTATCAGTATCAATCGGAAGCTTGACCTTCACGGTGAGCTGGCTTGTTTCCTCCTACTTGATCGCTCGTTTGCACACTCAACCGTTTGTTTTGGTGATCACAGAGGCTGCTCTTGGCATTTTGAAGGCAGCAACCATGAAGTTCGAAGGTGGGAGGCCGGGCACCACCTCGCCATCTGATGAATTTCCCACTAGAATCGCAAGGCACCAATCTCATGGCATGTTCTACAGTGTTATTTGGAGCACGGACGATGTCGTAGTTAACAATGGCGAGCATGTAGATCTGGCCGAGAGGGAATCTTGGCTAGCAAAGCTGGGTTCATGGACGGAGGCCCTCGCCGTGTACGAACAAAAGCTCAAGAACAATGCAATCGATTTTGATGCCATTCTAGGATGCATGCGATGTCTGGATGCAAGCGGCGAGTGGCGCGGTGTGTTGGAGCTAGCAGAAAAGACCTGGCCAGCACTGAGTGGGTCATCTGCGTTGGGCCGAGCGGACTCACTCCAAGAGCAAAACCCCATTCAAACACAAATGCAAATTTCCGCGAGATCGCAGAAGAAGGCAATACGATTGTGTGCTCAAGCAGCGTGGAGACTTGGTCGCTGGGGTGATCTGGAGAAGTTTGCTACGGAACTGAACAGCGTCAACGCATCCAACAACACGTCGAGCACCGCCGTACCAACCAGCAAAAGTGTTGCTTCAAGAGTTGACTTTGAGGGTTCCTTCTTTTCGGCCGTCTTGCATATTCACAGAAAGGAGTGGACTGTTGCGGCTGAGGCGATTGACAATGCGAGGAGAGCAATGGACGGTCGGTTCACGGCACTCATGGCAGGTAAGTCCAGGATAGTGCGCATGAAAGTACCGTATCCCGCTGTATGTGCCATCCTCATGCTTCTACCCATGCGCAGAGTCCTACAACCGCGCTTACCCTAGCATGGTGACTGCACAGACTCTGGCTGAGATGGAGGAAATCATCGAGCTACAAAAACTCGAGGAACGTTCCCGAAGCGCTTTTCATCGGCACCCAGCAAACACACCGAACACGAACGAGGCTCGGCTGAGGCTACAGAAGGTTTGGCGCGAAAGGCTTGCTGGCTGTCGTGCAGATGCCGAAGTTCATTCGTCGATACTTGCGGTGCGTTCGCTGGTGCTGGGTCCGAGCGACGATTACGAGGCCACGTTGACCTTGAGCGAGCTATCGCGACAAGCAGAACGTTTCAAGCTCGCCGAACGTGTGCTTCTAGACCCTCTTGATGCCCTTGGTGCCAACTTGGATGGGCCTACTTTTGGTCTTCAGCTGGATGGTCAGCTCTCGCTTGATATTATGCCCGAGGGTGTGAATGGTCCTGCCGGCTATGCTTCTTTCATAAATCACTTGGTAACTCAAAGGGAAGGCGTGCTACAGCCCAATTTTGGACCGAGGCAACAGCAGCTGAGCAACCAGCTTGTGTCGGCTGCAGGGGGTTTCAAAAGGTAAGCCCCTGAAGCATGAAACTCTTTGTGTGGAAACCCATTCTCAAGCGGAAATCCTGCTGGTCGTTTCTTAGTATGAGAATACAGCACAGTCTCTATTTTGCGTATTTGAAGCACCTGTGGCTTACTGATCAAGAGGACATCGCAATTGATCGGTTGACTCGACTTTGCAATGTTGTTGACCTCGTGTTCCACTGCGAAGACGTCGCCGACCAGTCATTACGAGTTGCCTGTTGGCTAACGTTAGGGGAATGGAAGATGGAGGCCGCCACCTCTCCCGGCTCGTTCATTCCAGAGGCCCTGCAAGCAGACGGATTGTCCTGTTTCAAGCGGGCTGTGTCTAATGATTCCTGTGGGTATCGTGCATGGCATGCATGGGCACTGCTCAACTTCAGGATCGCAGTGCAGCTTGGTAGTGCCAAGAAGAATGCCCGAGCCGGCACTGCTCAGCGCAATCATGTCATTGCGGCTGTAGACGGCTTCGTGACTGCCATCAATCTGGGCACCAAGCGATTCTCTGCATCGGTACAACAGGATATGTTGAATGTACTCACTTGCCTCTTCCGGTATGGCGAACTTGAGGGAGTAGCCGAAGTAATCAACAGGGGCATGGCCGCCGTGCCTGCCGAAGCATGGCTCGGAGTGCTGCCTCAATTGTTGGCGAGGGTGAGCATCAAGTCATCACGAATTCGAAAAGTACTGCATCCACTCCTGGTGCGACTGGGAGAAAGACACCCTCAAGCGTTGATGTATCCGTTGTCGGTGCTGCTGAAAAGTCCAGTTGCGGAACGAAAGAACACAGCGGACAGTTTGTTGAAATCTCTCCCTAGAGCCTTGGTCGAAGAGGCGTTGATTGTTTCGAACGAGCTTATTCGCGTTGCAATTCTTTGGCTAGAGACTTGGCATGAGGGACTAGAAGGTAAGGCCTCCTTTGATATTGAAGTCCAACGGCTTGACGTTGCATTATCTCATAAGTTGGTTCTTGGAATCCATGACAGACGCTTCTAGACTTTATTTTGGTGAGGGGAACGTCTCGGGCATGTTGGATCTTCTTCTACCGCTCCATGAACAACTTGAGCGAGGTCCAGAGACTAAGAGGGAAATTGACTTTATGAAAGCTTTCGGCAGTGACCTGAGCCAGGCACACAGCCACATCAAAGAGTATATTGAAAGGTCGCAAACGGGGAACAATGATGGACCGCCACAATATGACCCGACAGGTCGTCTGAGCCACCAAAGTGAAGAGGCAGAAGCAGCAATAAACAAAGCGTGGGTGAGTGCACCAACGTTTTTTTCATCTCTTGTGGTGTGTGTTGCTCCCCCCCCTCACACTCACCTACACACATTTCTGTTTCCAAACCAGGACATCTACTATACTGTTTTCCGCCGAATCAACAAGCAACTCCCTTCTCTGACAAAACTTGAATTGGACCAATGTTCACCTGCTCTGAGCAGAGCCCATGGTTTGGAACTTGGTGTGCCGGGGTCATACTGCGTGGACGGAACGTACGTCAAAATCGAAATGTTCAATGAATGTGTACAGGTCATCACAAGCAAGCAACGGCCCCGGAAGATTACGCTTAAGGGGAGCAACGGCAACGATTACGTTTTCCTCTTGAAGGGGCACGAGGATCTGCGACAAGACGAGCGAGTGATGCAGCTCTTTGGCTTGGTAAATGCTCTTCTCGTCCGTGATCCGCAGACCAAAAAGCACGACCTGAAGATCCAGCGATACCCCATCACTTGTTTGTCTACAAACTGTGGGCTGGTTGGCTGGGTTCCCAACACAGATACATTCCATTCGTAAGTGCTAGTTTGATGGTGCTTCGTGATTCCACGGACAGAAACATCTGATGCCTTCTTTTGCTCTTTAATAGGCTGATACGCGACTACCGCTTGACGAAGAGAATAGCTCTGAATCTGGAAAACAAGGAGATGCTGAAGATATCTGCGGACTTCGACCTCCTGACTGTCATGCAGAAAGTCGAGGTATTCACTGAGGCGCTGCGGCGAACCACGGGGAAAGGGAATGACATCTACGAGATTCTGTGGAGCAGATCAACGAATTCAGAAGAATGGTTGGAGAGGCGCAACAAGTACACTCGGTCGTTGGCCGTAATGTCCAGTACGTCGAAGACCTGCTGCCAGGTCCTTCTGAAAGCAATTGCGATTGCGATCTCACCATCTCCTTTGATCTTTCTCATACAGTGGTTGGCTATATCCTTGGTCTTGGCGACCGGCATCCTTCCAACTTGATGCTCGACAAAATTAGCGGTCGAGTTTTGCACATTGATTTTGGTACGTTCAAGGTGGAGCTTCTCCACTGGGTTCTTCCTCATTTCTGACCCACCGGTATCTTCAAAACCCACGTAGGAGACTGTTTCGAAGTTGCGATGTCCCGGGAAAAATACCCTGAACGCGTTCCGTTTCGATTGACTAGAATGCTTGTCAAGGCCATGGAAGTCTCCGGTATAGAAGGGAGCTACCGAAGCACTTGCGAAAGGACAATGTCGGTTCTCAGAGGCAGTAGAGATTCGCTTGTAGCTATGCTTGAAGCTTTTGTGTACGATCCGCTGATCAGTTGGCGCTTGGTCGACTTGTCGCCTGGGAGACCTTCCGAAGAGAAACTAGCCAGCGCAATAGACCAGGAGTCAGCCAACGTTGACCGTGCTGCTTCGGCAGTCTCTGAAAAATCCAGTGTCAAAAACTATCCTATCGCAGAAGACTTTGAGGCAGTTGGCAACCCAGGCTCGGAGGTGCTTGATGATGAGGATGGAGCCAACGGGCCCCAACCTATTGCGGCTTCGCAGCCGCATGCGACGGGTGGGGCCTCCGTGAACACCAGTAGGTCCCATGCACAAATGTACACCAACATGCAGAACTGGGCAGCAAACTTGGACACTGATAATCGCATTGCAAGCATAGCCGGAGAACGATCGGAGCACGCTACGGCAGGAGGGTCTCTTGCCATGTCACGAATCGAACGTAGCATGCGCCAGAAAGAGATGCTTGGGCTGCTTCGCGGGGACGATGGCACAGCTCATGAAGAAGCATTGAATAAGAAAGCTCTGAAAGTCATCCGACGTGTGCAAGACAAGCTGACCGGAACGGACTTCCCCGACTACAGCGAGACATCTGAGCCTTTGGATGTTCCCGAACAAGTGCAACGTCTCATTGTCCAGGCAACCGCAAGCGAAAATTTGTGCCAGTTATTCATCGGATGGTAAGCGTTTGTGGACAAATAAATGCAGAGATTGATTCGATTCGGTTCACTAACTTTTGTTGCTTTTTCAGGTGTGCATTTTGGTAGTTGCCGTGTGGCTGCTTGCATGGAAACTAGCTTGACTTCCGATGATCAAATGGTGACTGCTCGCGGCTGCCGTGACCAAGAAATAGAACTGACAGAGAGATTTTAACTTCCATGGATAACTAGTATGGATTCTGAACAAGCTACCGCTATGCAATTAATTAGAATAGCAGCTGTTGCCTTGTTTGCACCCCTAACCGATAGTTTTAAGAAAATCATTGGGAGGTCTTTCTCAGCTTCTTCGGAGGAAGGGCGATTGGTGGGGGTACGACTTTGACGCCTTCTTTCCTGCCTTTGTCGTATTCAATCATGTATTGCAGGGCCCCGCATTGATTTGCTAGCAGCGATGCAACAGCCACAGTTTGAGCCTGTGTCAAAGAGCCGATTCGCCCACTTCCTCGAGACCGGAGAATGGCACAAAAGATAGGGTCGGTGTCTTCCAAGGGCGGACACTCCAAACTAATACGCACCCTAATCTGAACTGGGAAGGGTGACACCTTTGCATTCACATTCTTGGAAGCAAAGGTAGGCTCAATATTATTCAGAGCTGGAGTCAACGCTTCAAAGATTCCAAACAATAGCCTGTCGCTCACGTTCATAAGAAAGATAGAGGCGCCAGGTCTGATGCAGGAAGCCGCGCCTTTCATATGTGCTGGCAGGCCAAAGATACCCCTTCCAAGGCACTCGTCCATGGTGTCACTACTGCATCCAAAGATGAACCCTGAAAGAAACAGACGGGGAGAGTTAAAAAAAAGATGGACCGACAGACAATAAAATAAATAAAGGAAAGTCTTACCCGGGCCTGGCATGGTGGGCCAAGCAAGTTCCTCGGGAAGCGGAGCGCGGAAGTCGGAAAGTAGCGCGTCTGGTGCAGGTGGTTCTTTGTCGCCTGTCCAGGACTCATGAAGTGAAACCAAGGGTGAATTCCAAACTGCCTTCATCAACGCCTCACCCGTTCGTGGTGACATGGTTTGGCAAAAACTAGTGTCACTGGTTGGGAAAATGAGGTCCGGTGCAGCTTCCCTGGCAGTTTGCGACGGCATCTCAGTGGTGCGGTACCATTTCACATTGAGACAATAATCAAAACCATGGTGCGATCCTTCCTTTCCAAGGGATTCTTGATAGCTGGCCCTGGACATGACCAGTGCGGCACCTTGGATATGATTTGACCCACTGACTGTAAAGAACACCATGACTTGTTTGGCCCCATCTTGGTAGGCATGATTCAAAGCCTCAGCATGGCGCCTTTGAAGATACCACTTTCCTTGTACTGTGCTGATTGCCAGGTCTCGCTGGGTTGCGGCTAGAATGATAAAGAAGTGTGCCTGATCAGGTTCAACAATTGGGCTGGGCAGGCCACCTCCAGAATTACCGCCTCGAAAGTAATCGACAGTGACGTGTTCTTGACTAGCAAACAAGTTGTCGCCAAGCTCTGTGTTCTCGGGTTGTTTCTGTTCCTGTCTAGGGAACTTGCGCAGTTCAGATTCTCCGTGAGCGAAATGGCAACCATCTCCAAAAGGACACTCTCCTTGAATAAAATGTTTGCAGAGACTAATCTTGTAAAATTCGTTTGGTTTTGGAGCAGGCCGCCTCGGTTGAGCCCCATCCTTGCCTGCAGCTTGCATTTGACTCAATCCCAGAGTGAAGTCTGCCACAAGCGGCAGATCGGCCCTTTCTTTTCTGAGGTGCTTGTAACGACAGTAGGGTCCATGGATACAGAATCCTTGGCTGTAAAATACACATTCCAAGCGATTCTCTTCACTGATGTGCCGAAATGGACAGTCCTTCAATAGACATTTTTCTCCTCTTCGACACAGGGGCATCTTACTGAGATCATATTGATGCAGAAATTCACAGGCCGACCCCTTCATACAGAGATCTCTCAGCCAATGGCGACAGACAACGGTTCGAAGACGAGGGTCATGCTTAGCACTGGTCAACACAGGCTCTGCTTCATCTCCTGTTGCAAAGACAGACCCCGCCTTGCGGTACGGCAAAGGATCCAAAGTGTCAGGGATTCCATGCTTCAGGGCATAATCTTCGAAATCATATTCAACGTTCGCGATCGTCAGAGCGCCCGAGGGGAGAGCCTTCGTCATGGTGACTGAAAGAAGAAGGAGTGTCGTTGGTGTGTGTTATTGTCGACTGGTCTGAAGGATGGATGCCGATTGCAGGCCATGATCGAGAAAAAAGATCGAGGTTTGGTTTTTGGTTGAATTTTATTAATAAATAAAGGTTTGGTTGCGAATAAAGCGGCAAAGCGGATAAAGCCTGGAACGTTTAAAAATCAGCTACGTGTAGTACCAGTACCGTAAAGGCACAAGCCTTCAACGTTTGCCTCCGACAGGAAGACAGCAACTTCGGGACACCAGGACCTGCCTTCGGTCCATCTCCCGGCCCTACACATGGTCCCGAGAGACGGTCCCACACGACGACCTACACCAGCCCCACACCCCACACTTCCCGAGCAAAACTCAACCCCGCAAACTCCAAGGTTTGCGATTATCATCCAACCAAACGAGTGACGATCCGGCCTGCAATCTGTGCTGTGCCTTCTCAGGTTGTTTTATGAGTGAAATGGCAGGGTGAGAGCAAGTAGATTCAACCGCTTCTCCCCGGAAGCTCTTGCTACCCACCCAGAGTGCTTATCTTATTCCATAAGAAACTACTACTCTACTACTAGCTAGGAAGGAAGAATAAATTCAATAAAAGTGCCTAATAATCCTCATTCCGGAATGCAAGGATGGGTTCAGCGTTGTTCATACCGCCTCATTTTGCCATGACACGAAACCATTCCAGTGAATTTCTTAATACATGAAAACTGGGTTGTCGCGTGTCATGACACGGGTGTCGTTCTTGAGGAGATTCCTTAGCGCCTTGGTCAATGCGAACATGGACATGTGAGACACACCATCGTACAGACCAAGCTTGTCGGCGCCACCTTCAATTTGTTGCTCGACGAGATTATCGATAACGTCCGTGCTGGCAGGAAATTTCCATTCCTTCTCGACAAGTGCCTTGTCCTCACAACCAGCCGGGGCTTGGAATGCCATAATGAAACCCCAGTCGCCACCAAAGCTGGGAATGTTTGTGGAATAGGGTACGACGCAGTCAAAGACGGTGCGAAGGGTATTGTTGATTGGTCCATAACAGGAAGTATCGGTTTCACCTGCTCCTTGGTGTTTTGCTGGGACAGCATCGGCCGTTCCCGACTGTGTGACAAAGACACCATTTGGGTTCAGGCGAGTCAAAGCATGTTCGTAGAACTCTTTAGTGTAGAGCATAATGCCTGGTCCAGCTTCAATGGGATCGGAAATATCCATGATAATCACATCAAAAGTTTCTTGTGTCTCCATCATCCACTTGTGAGCATCGCCAACAACCAATTCAAATCGTTTGTCGGATGTTACAGTCTCCCCACCCCATTCCGCTAGGAACTTTTTGCAAACCTCAATAACTTTGCCATCAATATCCACCATCACACAGCGTTCAATCGACTTGTGACGCAAGACTTCTCGGGCTGTGGCAAGCTCACCACCTCCGCCAATAAAGACAGTCTTTGGAGGAGTGCCAGACAAAGCAGACCTCAACATAGAAGGATGGACAAGAGACTCATGGTAGGCAAACTCGTCCATCTGAGAACTCTGTGTCTTGCCATCCGTGACCAGGGTCTAACGGTATCATAGATCGGAGAAGAGATTATGGTGAGTTAAGCAAGGAATACGGTATGAAATCGAGAGTGTCAGGGGTTCTGCTGTACTGTACCTTTCCAAAGAAGGTTTCCACTACATCGATTTGCTGAAATTCTGATTCCGATGTGAACAGGATCTTGTTCAGGTCCATTTCCAACCTCAGACCAGGCGCCACATCCTCACGGAAGAGGAAGGACATCTTGGCCCGCTGAGCCTCAATACCAGGATTCTTTTCGCCGCTCTCCGTCATGGTGGAATCGATTACTGCCATTATTGTGTTCGAATGCTACCAATGCTGCTTTTTGTGGTTCATTGGTTTCGTTCGACCTCTCGATCATGAAACGACGTCGATCGCGGTCCAGCAAAGCCAGACGGGGTGCGCCAACGGTCATGCGTGTTGGTGTCCTCTGTCCAGACAAGGATGGGGTTTCCAAAGCCGACATAGCGACAAAAGCGACATATAAGCCAGTAGAGTGGAAATGTTTGCTGACTCATTAACTGACGCACGAAGAAGGAAAGTAAAAGCACGTTGTTGTTTTTTGGAACTGATCAGCTTATTCCCGCGCAATACATTGTCAAGTGTCAAGAAGGAACCACACGCTCATGTTGACAATAATAGCGGTTTGATGAACGGCAACATCAACAGGCATCAAGATGAAGAAGGCAATTCTGTTTGTATCGCTGCTTCTTGCTGAGCATGTGGCAGGCTTTCGCAGCTCCATGCTGCTGCCCAAGTTCCTGATCACTCAGCCTCAAAATCTGCATCCATCACAGTCCAAGACGCAGCTGTTCATGGTCTTTGACTTTTTCAAGGAGAAGACATCGGAAGGATTTGATCAGTTGAATCGATTGGCTGATGCTTCCTACAAAGGAGAACTGGGGAAAGGAATCTCAGATGTCGCTGCCTACACCACAGCCAGCAATATTGCCTTTGCCAATGGACTGGCAAGGAGTCGCATTCAGTTGCTCCAAAACCTGGAATCGTTGGCCACAGGAATGTCTCCAGAGGAATTGCTAGAGGATCTGCAAGATATCTTGCTGCAAGCGGATCTTGGAATTGCTGTTTCTGAAGAGGTAGTGGATGAAGTAAGGACCCTTCGGGCAGACTCGACAACGATGCTGACACAAGATGACCTCAGGAGTATTTTACGAGGCAAGCTGATCGAAGCATTGATTACAGAAATACCTGGAGCAATGCAGTTCTCGGCAGATGATAACACTCCTACGGTGTTCTTTGTGATGGGGGCCAACGGTATGGGAAAGTGAGTATGACTTGGTTGTTTAGATGTGTCTGGAATGATACCAAACAATCTGCATCAAAAAGTTGCTGAAAAAGGTCTTTTTCTTCCCCGTCAAGGACAACAACTATTGGCAAGCTTGCTCACCGTCTCAAGACGGAAGGAAACCAAACTGTTTTGATGGCAGCTTGTGATACGTTTCGAGCTGGTGCAGTCGAGCAGTTGCAACAGTGGGCTGAAAGAGCTGATGTTGATATTTATGGCCCCTCGGAAGGCAAGAGCACGCCCAGTGCTGTTCTTTATGGAGCACTCGATAAAGCGTGCAAAGAAAACTACGATACTGTCTTGGTTGATACATCTGGAAGGCTGAGCAACAATGATGCCCTGACTGCTGAATTAGCCAAGATGAAAAAGGTAATACAGAAACGTCTTTCAGTCGAAACAGGTAGCGATGGCAGCCCGATTCCAAACAAACAGGCACCACATGAGACCCTGCTTGTGTTAGGTATGCAAACAGCCTTGCACTCTTTGTTGATACTTGCTCAAAAGCATCGTAGTCAGAGCTTACTTCTTACATCATCATCATTGGCTTCACGTTTCTTGCTCACTTTTGGTCGAAGATGGTAAGTGCTGGCTCAGCTGTTTGTGGCTCTCTTTTTGACATTCTTTGCCATTGCAGTATCTCATCTATCGCTCAGCCGCGCAAGGACGGATGGCTTTGGATTCAGCTCGCGTATGGGACGAGGAGATTGGTCTAAGTGGATTAATCCTGACGAAATTGGACGGTACTGCCCGCGGCGGTTCCGTCGTTGCCGTGTCCCGTGATCTGAGATTGCCTGTGAAGCTCATCGGAGTTGGAGAAGGACTTGATGACCTGAGAGATGTAAGTGGCTAAGTTTGCCAAACAAACAACCATCGCCATTGAAATTCCATTCGTTTGTAGCTAACTATTCCAATTTGTTCAGTTTGAACCTGAACGCTTTGTGGAGGGTCTGCTTGGTATTGGAGAAGCCGGTGGCAAACCTAGTTCCAACTCGAACGAAGGGGCAATGCTAGCTGCGAGGCTAGACAACATGAGGCAAGAGCGAGACGAGAGAGCAAAGGTCATGGCCAAACAGCCTGTTGCCGCTGTCGCTGCTCCACCGCCTTCTATAGAAATGGATGACACTGGCAAAAGTCCTGCAAGGAGATCCAAACCGAAGAACAAGAAGAAAAAGAAGAAGGGCCGCAAATAAATGCCGGTATAGATATCGTTATAATACAGTCGTAGCCCCAGCTAGCTAGCTAGAATACAGCTTCCAAATCAATAATTTTGTCTTTTGCAAGTGTATCGGTACCTTCCAGCCCTCTTGGCTTATTTTACAAAGCTACAGGAAGGCAATGTTGCTGGATCTGTTTGTTGGATAGACTACGATGTAACCAGAAAGTAATTCTCAAAACAATAGCTAGCTAGTAGACTAAATACAATGACACTGAATTGAACAAGATCGGACATGGTATGGATGACACTGAATTGATCAGGATCAGACATGGTATGGACTTTTGAAGCTCTGATGGACTCGACTCTGGCTAGACCCAGGTGGCACTCCCGTACAGGTAGGCCTTCCTGAGCAGGGGATTGCTATAGCATCGTGCAATCAAAAGGGGATCCTGTTTTTCCGAAATTGACTACGGCACTAAATGTGAGCTACTCAACTGCACGCAAAAGGAGACTAACATAAGTGGAAGTCACTATTGCTTTATGAAATGAGTGAGTGAGGCCTCTTCAAATATCTTTCAGAGAGGACAATTTCGGTCTGCCCTGACCCCAGAGAGTCTCCTCGTACTACTAGCTACCAGGCTTGGAACCAGCGGTAGCAGCAGTTGTTGTTGCCTCGGTTGTTTTTGATGCAGTGCCGCCATCGGCTGGACTTGGAGCACTATCCGCCTGCCCCAACATCTTGAACAGCGAAGCTTGAATAACACGTTGTCGTTCTTGTGTCATCCCCATTTCTTCATGATCAAATCCATCAGTAGATTCTTTCTTGTCTCCTCTTGTACTACCTGATGGTTGTTTGGCTGTCCCATTAGACTTGGAATGCCGTTGCATTGCCCTAGATGACTTTCGATGATACATTTCTAGGGACGACAACGAAACAAAAAAGGTTAGCAAAGCAGAAAAAGAAAGTAGACGATTTATCAGTTGGAATGGAATGACTTGCCAAAATACCATGGCGGGCACATGAGATTCATTGACGGAGGTACCGGCAGGGCCCACTGTCGAAAGGCAGGAAGAAGAAGGAAGCAAATACCAAAACAATGAGATTAGAGGTTTTGTCAAGCTTTGCATTCAGGCTCACTCGAGACCAGTCAACTTACAATATTTGGAATCTGCAGGCACGTTTGTAAGAAGATGGAAGCTGAATCGAACATGAACTTTGGCCTGGGTGAATTGTGATCGCCTTCCACGATGATGAGGTTTTTGTCGCCTGCGTACTTTTCGTATATTGCTTCCGAGTGGTGCTTTTTGATGAAATCGTCATGTTCACCAGCCACAAATAGAGCCGGAATGAAGCATTTGTCTGAGTGTGCAATGGGCGAGATGTGCTTGATATTGAATCCGGCCTGTTTCTTTACAGAGCCTTGGATCATTCGTAAAGCCACACTGACTACAAAGTTTGGCACAATGATGCCTTGATCTCTACCCTTTTCCACCATTTCTTCGGCCAATTGTGACAAATCTGCAAAGGACGAGTCCAGAATCATACAAGCAATGCTTGGATCGCGATCGCCAAACATAAGGGCCGTTGCAGCTCCCATCGATCTCCCCCACAAGGCAATCGTCGAAACGACATTGGTAGCACGTAGATGTGCCACAATACATGACAGGTCCTCTCGTTCATAATATCCAAGGCTGACGTACTCCCCGTCTGATTTGCCAGATCCGGCAAAGTCAAACGCGAAAACTGCCAGACCAAGGGACAATAGATAGGAAAGCTGAGGAATAACTTCCACTCTTGCAGAAGAGTTTCCGTGCATGTAGATAATGACAGGAATGCGGTCCGTGGCTCTTTCCACGGGCTCCCAATGAGAACATTCTAAATTGTACCCACGCTTTGTTCTCAGTGTAAAGTCTGTTCTGGTGAATCTTTTTCCACAGAAATTAAACGCCGGTGGACCCAAAGCTTCCATCTTTTTGGTTTGTTTGGGGAAGAAGAAGGGTCAGACGACCAGAAAATCAAAACGAAGAGCGAAAAAATCGAGGACTCACCTTATAATCAGCCCTCGGCGGGCGAATAATGGCATTGACAAGTTCTTGATATCCCAATTTCGCCATTTGAACATAGCTGAGTTTTTTATTGGCTTGCTGTGCCTGCTGTTGTTGCGGCGTCGGGTTCATGTGTTGTCTTTTACGTCGATCTTCTTGTCCGTTGTCCGACAATGACGATCCCCTTCGGTGCTTGGCGCTCAGTGGTAGTGACTTGCCGTCTTCGTCTTCTTCTAGTTGCACTTCTGGCCGTTCGTCTCGTTCCTTCATGACCACCTCCATTCCTTCCTCCACCACGAATTTTTGGCCTTGTTTCAGCTCTGTCTGTGTGTGTTTTGGCTGGCAATTCGCGGCTGCGGTCCCCACATTCAAGTATTTGTCTGCTTCTGGAGATTCCAGGGTTACGCCGTTCTGGGTAACTGCTTCGTCGTGGAACTGTCGCTCCACCTCCTCCGAGACGGTGTTGCCCATGGGTGGTTTGTGGCTTGGTCAGCTGCTCAAAGAACGAACGACAACCCGCCCTTTGTCAGTTACTTTCCCAAGAAAAGCAAGTCAAGAAGTAGTCGTTGTCCGTTTCTTCGAAGAAGCTTTCGCTGAAATGAGGTCCCGACTCCGAAATGGGATTGAAGGGGACCTTCGCTGTAACAAGACTAGCTAGCCACAGCATGCGTTAAAAATAGCCTAAAAATTAAAATAAAATTTTAAACTTTATTTTGCTGCCGTGTTTTCTCGTCTCTCAACCATGCATGCTATCACACACACAAATTTACGACCATGACCACACAACAGCAACAACAGCAACAACAACACCGGCGTAGAGTAATCACTGAAGAAGAGTACACATCCACATTATCAAAGATAATCCAACGTGATTATTTCAGCGACCTTCCCGAGTTGCAGAAAAAGGCAGCCGTTCTGAATGGAAGCTTCATTGCCGCTGCCGATGGTAGCGACGAGTTGCAACGGGGTGAAGACGGTTTACCCATCAACGAAATCGCATGTGGTAGCACTACGCAACCTTCAAAAAGGCAGACTGTCACAGAATTTCATAATCGCGTAACCAGTGAAGACAATGCCGAATTTGAGCGCAATCAAAAAGAAGAAATCAAGGCTTACCGAGAAAAACTAGAAGAACTGTTTCGACCAAACCAATTCTTGCTTTTGGAAGGAAGCAGTAACGACGGTGTAGACGACAATCAGAAGCTGCTTCCTCCCCCACCTGGATCTTTAGCTTTGTCTGACGAGACCAAGCAGCACCCGCTATCAAACAATGGTCTCTTTGGATTACCAGCTCCTACATTTAGTTCTGGAAACGCTACAATGAGAAGTGGAAATAGCTTGCCAATTTGCTCCGACGAGCAAGAGAGCCGCCAGTTGATGCCACCTCCACCCAAGAAACAAAAGGTTCATTCTGCAGTTGTCGATGTTTCCAATAAGGAAAAGAGAATTGTGCCGTCGCAAACGAGGTTTGCTCCTGTAACAACCAGCATACAAAGGCAATCAACAAATCCCTTCCGTTCGTCTGTGCTTTCTAGAAGAAGGCAGTCGCTGGAATCTGATTCAGCCTACTCGACCGATGCAAGCACCGATATCGATTCTGAAAGTGTCAGCATTGCAGCGGGACGGAAACAGCATCTAATGCGGAAAAGGAGGGAAGCTCACACTCTTGTGAACACGACACCACTTCTCACACCAGGGACAATAACTCAGTCAGACGACGTTGGAAAATCTGATCGAGGCAAACACTTTCGAATCATCACGTTTGGTACAGTGGCGGGTGAACCTGTCGAGGTTCAGTCTTTGGAAAGAAGCAATGCCATGTCAACAGAACCTGCGTCTGGCTTTGTTTTTGCGAAGTATGACGGAGCTAGGGCAGACGAAGCACAGAGATTGATGGAGCACAGAATTGCGAGAGGTAAAGTGGGAAGCGCCGACTCTGTTACATCCAGCTCCAGCTCTACGAGAGTAAGCAGAAGTAGCAGTCGCAAATCAAAGGGGAGCTCGCATCGGAAACGAATGGCTACATCTCACCTGTCTAGCCGAGGAAAGCGCGATCTTTCTTCTTTCAGCCCAGCTGCTGTATCTTTGCTTTCCCGAACGTCAAAGGGCCGCATCAAGACTCGAACGACTTGGTGATGGCAACTATTCTTCTACTTCAACAATGACACGGCACTGCTTTCCGCTTTAGTTTGTCTTTGTCTTAATCTGGTTTCAATCATGTCCTCGTGCAAATTAGTAGCGCGGGTCCATCATGCGAATTTCTTTCTCGACCTCTTCCAACGAGTGCTGCAAATTGGAAACCCCTGCACGCTCCAACTCGTGTTTCCAAGTCCGGATTGACTCGTAGAGATTCGAAGAAAACACAGCTCTGGAGAGCTCTTCCTTCGACCTTTGGTCAGCAGCAGCCTTCGTCAACCAAATCTCGAGGACAACTAGAATGCCTCTGTACCTATCCAAATAATGTGCCCCATCGCCACCTGCAGCAGTCAGTCGTAACGCGTTTCGTTCTTGAGCATGCAGAGCTTCCCAACCGCGCAACACGTCCACATAGGGAACGCCAATTTCCAAGAAAATCTGAAGTGACCATCCTGGGTCCAAACGAACAGCCCCCTCGAGAGCAACTTCGCCATATTTGAGTCTCAATTCTGAACATTAGAAAGCGAGAAAGATTTGAGAATGATGGATTGGTCTGTCTTGTGAGTCTCGATAGCAGGGTTGATAAACGAACCTTCCAACTCGCGCAGCAGAGATTCGACCGGAACATACTTTGCCGCACCAGCAGTCAGGACCTCCCTTCCAAGACTAATCATCTTTTGTTCCAAAATTTGGGCCCATTTCCTACAGATCAAAGAAAACGAGCATGAGAGACAAGCGAGCCTACCCGGGATAAGGAACGCAGTGTCTAGGTCGTACCCTTCCTCGAACAAAGGGATCGTTGATTCGGAAGTCCCTGTTACAAGCTCAACCAGGGGATCCTTCGAATACTCGGCATGGAACTGAATCAACCACTGTCGCAAGTCCTCGTTTCGTGTGGCAATTACGAAGATCCAACCGCAGAAAACATTTCTCCACATTGTCAAGACATGAATGTTGTCGTCCGAACCGCATTGGGCCATCAACAGGACACAAATATGAGACAGGCCATGTTTACTGGCAACGTCAAACAAGCGACTCGCGTCCACCAGATTGAAGCTCAACTCTTCCCTCTCATCGAATTGTTCAGTTGTCTGCCGCGACAACTCCTCAAGGATTCGACTTTGAAGCTTTCCCATGTCGAACCAATCGCGGGCCTGATCCCTTTTTTGTGTGAATTCGTTCTGCACGTGGTAGAAATTCCCTCGATTCCCCTGACTTCCTGCTGCACTTTCATACGCACCGAAAGCTCTGGTTAGACTTTCAAGGCGCTTTGCCAGAGGCGTGGGCTTTGTGTTGTCGGTGCCGTCTTGAAACGCTATGTTCCCGGCCTCGGATAACCGACCGAATTCGGTGTAGTAGGAATAGAGTAGATCACGATTGTTCAGGGACAACCACTCTTCAAGAGCGTTGCTTCGAACCTTGATCAGAGTTTCGCTGTGTCCACTCTCGGCCACAACCCCAAACAACTCGTGAAGGAACTCTTTGTCTGTCTCCGAGGCGCACCTGGAGAGCATTTGGACTCCGAGGGCATAATCCCCAGGATTTTTTAGAGCCATTGTGATGTGGTAGAAGATCAGCGACCGGCAGGTTGTTATGGCATCTTTGGAAGTTACATTTTTGCCCAGTACTTTTGGTGTTGACCCGTTGGTTGCCTCGGGCCTCTTGTGATGGTAAAGTTCGCTCTCCCAGGCAAGTTTTCTTTTCACATGTCGGTCCCGTCGACCACCATTTGAAGCGGTGAAGTTCTTCGCGGTTTGCAAGCAAACGTCAACCAATGCGTCAACTTGCCGCAAGCTCGCAAGCATCGCTGCAGCTTTTGCAACTGGACTCCCACCCGCCTGCGCCGACTGAACGACAACGACATATCCGTCCTGCTCCTTTGTATGCAAAGAGTGACCACACACGAGGGCGCTGTTGTGCCAGTGCTTCGATGCTTCATAAAAATGTTTGGCTGCCTTGACCGTCAACTCAGTGTAGAGAGGCGACGTGGGATGCTGCGCCTTTGCACGCCGTCCAAAGCTAAGGCCCAAATAGGCATAGTAGGACCCAGGTGAAAAGAACAGGTAACTCTGAGTAGAGAATTCCGCTGCGAGATTGTCGGCTTCGTTGGAGGGAACCAACTGTTCTTGAGAAACCTCATCGGCAACAATAAGTTGATTGACCAATTTGTCAATTCGATCTTGCCCGTCGCGTGACAGCGCCAACTGAGATACTGTCAGTCCATGTAGGTATCCCCATTCCACCTCCGGGAGCCCACGGGTTTCGTGAGCTCTGACAAGCAAAGAGAATAACCGCAGGAGCTGATTAGACCGAGACACGAGTCGATACAGTGAATGAAGTTTCCTCTGCTCTGTGAGCCTTGCAATCCTGTCCTTCTCCTTGTCTGGAAGTTGGGCGTTGTTCGTGTTCTGCCATAGCTGGCTTTGGCGACTTTGGGCCTCTGTCATGGCCAGAGTCTGCAGCGTACCATCTTCCTCGATGTCCATCACGTGGCTCTGCTTTGTCAGGACTCCAGGAACAAATTCAATGGTTTCGCTGAACCATCGCTTCATTAGTTCAGCCATGGCGTTGACATCATTCTGAATCTGTGAGAGAGTGTGACCATCAAGTAGGAACTCAACTTTCGCTGGAGTCAATCGCCGCGTCGAGCTCCATTCGAGAACAACGGTGCGGCCTTCTGTCACAACCACAAGTGGCTTGTGCCACACAGGACGCAACAACCGAGCCACGACCTTGTTTATCCCGCACAAGAGAGACGATGGCTCGAATGAGTACCCACTTGGAAGAAGCTGGTCCATCCCCGGGGCAGACTCTGGGATGAAACCAACATCCCCCGCTACAACATTTTTGAGGCTTGACTTGTTCATCCGGAACAGAGCAGCCCGCTCTGCGAGTAGTTTCAAGTCGTTGTTTGCAGCCAATGACAAGCCTCCCATTCCAGAGGCCAACACGGCACACATGGCAAAGCCTTCGGCATATCCATATCCCTTGAAGAAACTGGAAACGCATTCATCTGTTTCAACATTTTCCCCGGCAGAACGCAACGCCTTTTCGAAGGCACTCAAAACTGGAAGTATTGTGAGACTTTCCTGCAGAGAACGATACAAACGAGATCGTAAGACAATCTGTTGGAACTTACCAGAACTGAACTGGAAATAGTGCAGCCCTCCAGCATTCATCACAACCATTTGTTTTTTAGGCAGCAAGTGTTGAATTGAGAGTTGATTCAGGGGAGCAACCGCTGGTTGCAGTAGCCATGGGTTCAACCTCGGCGACTTCAATTGTGAAGAACTAGGCTTCTCCCTTGATGGCATATCAGCGGAAGAGAGACTGAAGCCACCAACACCACGCCTGTTAGAGATGCGGAAACGCCGTGGCACGGCCCTTGATAACTGTGTTGCTCCCGATATCGTGTTCTGGAAGGGAATGGTACTACGCAGCGGTCGAGAGAGGATTAATGAAGGGATGACGTTCATCGCCACCATCAAGGCTGACGAAGTTAGACTGACATTCCTTCTCAACGCAACTTCACCACTTTGCTTCGCATCCTGAGCCTTCTTGGAGCTGCGGGATGCCCGACTCTCGCCAGGGACAAACTCTGGAACCAAGCCTACGCTCAATTCGGTGTCCGTAGGCGTTCGCGAATGCAGCGCAAGCTTTAGGACATGGCTGTCCAATGGTGCTAGCTGTGCAATGTCTGACACGATGCCGCCAGGGAGAGACGCTCCACTATCATCAGCCGACGGGCGCTGTCCCAGGGGGAGCGACAAGGTCTCACTAACACCTCCTGCAGGCACAGTCTTGATGATTCCGCCTGTGGTTGTCGTACTTTTCCGGAGAACAAAGTCAGAAGACATTGCAACGACTTGGTCACCAAATGAGTCTTCGGGTGTCCCCTGGTGGGACCTAGACTGCTGATTTTTAGTTTTCCGAATAGCGAGCACCGTGGATCCATCGCCCCAGAAACTCGCGTCCACGTTTGGCAATTTTCCCGATAGTCCAACTCTGGGGACGAATCCTCCCATGGCCAAGCGCTGGTCACCATCCATGGCAATAACCATGTCCTGGGAGCGATCGCTGGGAACAAGAGGTGGGGGGGCTCGGATGTGACACAAGGTTAGCTTGCCCGTCGCCATGGTGAGAGCGGTGCTTCTGGGGGGACCCGAATTCAACGCGTGTGAAGACAGGGACGAGATGTAATACCGGAGCCCGCCACGAGTTACTGCAATGAGGGTAATCTTCGAGCTCTCTTTCTGTGGGACCACATGCAGCGAGATTGGAACCAGAACATTCGCTGCGCTCTCCCCCAACTTGGAAAGTGAAAGAATTTGTCTTGCTCCGTCCATGCCGCCAACTCCGTGAGGGGCAGATGAACCAAACGCAATTTCGCTAGATGGCGGGTTTATGCGTTGCCGTGCTACAGCATCCAGGTACAATCGTGCCACTTCAGGCGTGTTCATGACAGCGAGTAGCTTGGCAGGGTTGTTTTGGTCTTTGCTCTTCAAGCTAAAAGCACAGATCCATCCTTTGCTCCCGAGGGTATAAAGACACGATCGTTCCTCGCACACCAGCATCTTGACAATACTTCCCCCCTTGGACGGAGATTTGCCCGCCCCCAGGACGAGAGATGTCGCCTTGGTAAGAAATTCTGGGACCAAGGCGCTCACTGAAGCTGGTATTTGCTTTGAATGATTGAGCTTTCGGCACTTCCTGGGCCGTTGTCCCGAGCTGGAGCGCCCAGGGAGAATAGCAGATAGAGCTCTCTTTCCATTAGCAAGGGCCCAATTGTTGAGCATCTTTTTACTTTCGTCTTTGATTGTCGGCGGGATAATTTCCCCATGGTCATAGAACTGTTCTAGCTGCTGATCAACAGTATTTGCCCTTGTTGCATTGAAACTTCCTCCCGAATGATTATTGATCGGGATTTCATAGGTCATTTCGTAAAGGCAACCATCTTCTCCACCCAAGAAAATCCGTCCATCAGAGGTCCCACAGACACTCAGCATTCGTACACGGTCTGTGGGAACATTAAAAAGAGTAGGCACAAGTCGCAATGATCCATTCCGATGCATCAGAGCCTCTCCATTGTTGGTCCACTGGCTGTCATTGTCGCTAGGTTCAGCCAAGGCGCAGAGAATTGCTTCGTCGGCAGTTGTCACCACCAGACACCATTTCACAGAAGGTCGAAAGACGCCCCGTTTCGGGCGAACAATTCCCACGCTCAACACACACTGTCCATTTGGCACTGTAAACGAACAAAAGGCAGGTCCATCCCCAGAGGCACTATCCGCACAGGGCCAGACAAATAACTTGTCGTCAACTGTCATCCATGCCAACTCTGCCTCGGGCAAGAGGCCCATTAGGCTGGCAGTCCTCACATTTTGCAGCTGTTGTGCCATTAGAGCTGGGAGAGGTTCCGATCTTTCATGATGAAGAGTAACAGTTGGCGGCTGCCGTGGCGAGGGCGTTGAACCCAAGGGACTCGTCGTCAATCCAGGCACTATAGCGTTGGTGGTTGCAACAGGTATGCCTGGTGCAAGTAATCCAACAGTTGCAATGGGAGGCGTGCTCGTTTGGGCATTGTCTGCGGAAGCAAAGTACTGATGACCACCCGTATCGGTAGCGCGAATCCGACCAAAAAGATCGGCATCATCGGCATTCTCGTCTTCTCGCAAAGCAGCTAGGACGTCCTTCCCCGCGTCCTGCAGTGGCTGGAAGTCATCTTTCCAGTAGTCGCTAAGGATAGGCAACGACTTCATCATTGTTTGAATCAATCTGTTAACCGAGTTGTCGGTCAAAGACTGTGGGCAATGGTACCGGTACCGGTAGCATCCAACCAAATCAGCAATAAGATTGTAGATCCTCAACAAAATGGGAGGCGAAGGGCGAAGGGCGCCTTTTCAAGTCCATCGAATCGAGTGGATTAAAATAATATTTTGGTTGCAACCGTTAATTACTGTTCACGAGGGGACGGCAAGCGACAGAAGCTGAGCTACTATACTAGTAGTTGAGATTCTTGAAGTCTGCACTCTTTTGCGTCCCAAGTGCAATCATAGTCAATAGAATGTTTGATCAATTACTAGCTAGATTACGTTGTATCTTATCGACAGATAGATCACTCAAAGGCCTATAAGTTTAGTGCTAATTGTTCATCAGAAACTCAAAGAGCTGCTCGTCCATTACGTCACCGTTCCAAAATTCATCATTACCTCCCATTGAAAACGAAGGGGCTCTTGCTCTGGTTGCATCGGCTGTTTCACCGGCTCCTTGGGCGGCCCCTGTGCTGCCGTCATGATGCATTTCTTTATTGTCGCCTTCTCCCTGGTGTTGTTGACGATGATGCAACTGATGTGCAGTGGAATGAGGTGGTTGGAGACTGGTTCCGGCGCCATCCGTTGGTGCTGCGCTTTGGTCCCTATTTGCGACTTGATTGAAATGGTGACTATCATCACCATACGGCGTTGTCGCGGGGGGCTCCGCTTCCTTGAATCGAACTGTCTGATTGGTACCGGTATCCCCAACAGCTGTGCTGCTTGGGTTGGGTGTAATATGCTTGTATTTATTCAGCTCTTGCTGCTTCAGTGCGCGCATCTTGGTTTGAAATGCCATTTGATTTTCCATCTCTCGCTTCATCATGCCTGTTGCTTCAATATTGGATACGGCTGGACTTGCTCCAGGTGGAGCTCCAGGGACAGCCAATGCAGCTGCATGAGTCCCAGGATGAGGATGTCCGCCAGAAGACCAATCCCTGCTGATTGCTGACATGACTGCAGGATTTTCAATCGGGTTCGCCCCATGCACGCCGCCAGCACCCACAGAGCCACCACTGGTGGTGGGGGCGGTGATACTGGTTCCTGTAAATGAGTTGTAGACAGCTGCGACAGATGCTTGGGTGGATGTAGATGTAGAAACAGGTGGCATTGCGGGTGCAACAGAAGCTGATGTCTCAGAGCTTCTCTGCACCAACAATTGCTTCTTCAACGAAAAGAAGAGCCCCAAAAGATATCCCATGGATGCCCCAATCGGGGAAGCCTTCTCTTCTTCTGTCAATTTGGGCAACATCAAGGCTTCATGACCCGGCGGAGGAGGGACAGTACATGGTGCAGGTGCAGTGGTCTGAGGCCCAGGGTTTTTCTGGTGTAGATCTTGGCCCTTTCCTTCTACGAGGTTTCCCTTGGCAGATGCGGCCCTGGAATTATTTGGCCCAATGGCGCTCGGATCACCAGTGTCCATTATCGCAGCTTGAGTGAGATATGCTGCTGCTTCACCATTTGAGAGCGACTTTGCAGTATCCATTTCTCCACTCTTGAACTTCTGGAGTGTCACTTCGTAGGATGACATAAACTCTTGCTTTGATTTCGTCCTGTGTACTCTGTATTTCTGAAGGTGAGATTTGATGCGTTCAGATGTGATCTGTGGGTGCTTTGGCATCTGTTCTAAGATAGTTGAGGGGCTTGAATGTTTCAATCCCACATCAAAGACCGCCGAAACAAAATCCCTATGCAGCTCTTCGGGCCAAGTAAACCGCTTAGACCACCTCCCGTCAGTCTCTTTGGCTTTCTTGCGGCCCTTGGTCTTTCCAGTGGTGCTTGAACTGCCGTCCTGATCAGCGGGCTGTTGGCTGATACTGGACCGCTTTCTCCTAAGGGACCGAGATGGTTTTGAAGTAGAAGTGGATTCCTCAGGTTTAATGGCTTCCTGAGAGGTCTCTGGTTCGGTCTTTTGACCGTTCGAAGGGGCAGGAATATAGGGAAGGGACGAAGGCTCCTGTCCCTGATGCTGATATATCTGACGATACTGTTCTTCCGATGTGATGTATGCATAATTCACATGCTGGGAAGGTTTCTCTGGTAGCTCTTGGTAGTAGGCTGTCTCGTTCAGCGTTCCGGGTGGCTGTAGCTGTGATGGCTGGCTCTGCGATGGTTTTTGCTGTGGTGGTGGTTGCTGTGGTGGCTGCTGCTGCTGCTGTCCCTCCTGAGCATGGGGGTTCACATTTGTCAGGCTTTCGTAGACTCTCATCAAGTCAGGCACCACACTGTGCACATGGCCACTCTGAGATGATTGCATGGGGTTGAATGGAGGTGGATTGGGGTGGGTTGGGGACGGGTTTTGGGGGGCAGCTGGTGCACCGTCTCTGCTCATGGCTGCTGTGGTTTGTACTTTCAGCAACACTTGGGGACCTTCCTTTTCGGTGCCATCAGCCTTTGGCTTCAAAGCATTGCTCATATGAGACTCAACTTTGTCGCGATGCATCTGATCTTTGTTCTCTGATGATGGACTCTCACTCGACTCTTGTGCTTTCCGCTTCCTCACTCGAACGAATCTCCTTGGTGCGGTTCGTGAATCTTCTGCCTCGCCGTTGTGTTTTTCCGTTCCTCAAGCCAGTGAAGCTACCATCTGAACACGGCGTCAGCAGGTCGGAGGTGGCTGGGGAAGTGCCTGAATTGCTGACTTGCTGTCGTTTGCATCGGTACTAGTAATATGAGTAGACGTCCTAGTAATACTACTAGTAGTACATGCAGCCCCTATTGGGGGCTGCCACTCCAGGCTTCTGCTGCCTCATGGTTTTCTGTTTGAGGTACTACAGTCGTACGGTAGGATGCAGTGGGATGGTGGATACTGCGCTTTACTAAGGGCCGCCACTTTCCTTTTGCGGCGAAACGGCCGTGGGAGCCGATTAAACTATTCTATTGTGTAATGACACTCACTTGTGAGGAGGTTCGTATACAGTGTAGGTACCCGTACTCCTGATAGTGAGTTTGTCTTAGCTGTGAGCGATGATGTGCACGCACGATGTGGCTGTGGACGAATATTTAATTAAATATGTAGGTACCTGGAAGTATCCCTCTCCTCTGGAAACGGCCCGACCAGAACAATGAAATGACCACCAGGACCAGGTACAAACTTCTAAAAGCTCTGTCTTAGTCTTGCCTGTGCGCCTATCTTTACAATATTTGAATAATAAGTCAGCCATGCAGTGTATGTTACATAGGTTGCTGCACAGAAACACATTGTACCGTTGCCTTTTGCAGATCTCAGCCACCGTGACCATGCAGCAGCCATGTTTTAGTAGCCACTCCCACCATAGCCACCACCTCTCCTGAAATCACCCCTTCCACCTCTTCCTCCCCAACGCCCGTGAGGTGACCTTGGCGGTCTACCTCCACGGCCCATGAATCCTCGACCTCCAAAGCCACCTCGACCGCGGCCGCCACGTCCAAAACCACCGTAACCACCCCGACCTCCTCCTTCATTGATGTCCTGCCCGTGAAACTGGTTTCTGGGCGGTCCTCGCCAATCGGAATGGGACTGATCCCGTGGAGGATGCATGTGGTGATCGATGCCCGGTGGGCCCCGAGTGTCGACCCTCTCATCGACCATGCTGCCATAGGCTGGCGGTGGAGGAATGTAATGGTCATCTCTAGTGATGTGGTGGTGATCGTCGCCGCCCATGCTTCGTGGAGCGTCTGCACCAACAGTGCCGCCCTGTTCCTTCTGTTCTTGTTCTTCGATCAAACGAGCCAGTACGGGATCCTGTTCTGCACTGCCCCCCCAAACACCGCCTTTTCCAGCTTTCGTGTCGCGGTACGCCTGTTCCTCGGATTGGGTTTGAGTCTCTTCCTCTGCGGTTGTTTCCTCCTTCTTGACGAATTCTGGTCCAATGACGAGTCCATCACCGTCATTGTCCGCATCCATATCGTTCTGTCCCTCGGATTCCTTCTCCACGCCACCTAAAGATACAACTGCTACCTTGGGAGTCTGGGATTTCGGCTTTCTGGCTGTCACGGGAACAACGGTGGGGTCGACTGGTCTTTTTTGCCTGCTGGCGTCCGTGAGCTCCTGACGGATGGTTAATTGTTGTTGTGCATATTCAAGCCAGTCGTCAATGGTCAAGCTGGAGAAGAAACGGAAGTCACGTCAACATAAAGTTGCCATGAAAATGTCAGATTAAACATGAGCAAACAAAATTTAATGCACATTACTCCAGAGACGAACATCACATGTATCACTTACGCATAATTGAAGAAATCGGTGAGGTCTGACCCCACTCGTTCCCATGGTTTGTCGTCGATCTGATCAAATCGGATATCAAATGCCGTTCGTTTGGAAAAGAGGCACGGGTCTCTTCCTGCATTTTCTTCACTTTCAAGTCGTCGTGCAGATTCTTTTGCCTCTTCCAATTTTCGCTGTTTTTCCGCCAGCAGTTGAGCGGCCCGTTCCGCAGGATCCATGGCAGCGACATCGCCTGTGGAATCTTGCTGTGGATCAGCTGTCCCATCTGGATTGTCGGTATCCTTTTTATCCGCACGCACCCATTGACGCAGGTTTGGCTGTACTAGCGGTTGATGTAGGCCACGCCTCATGAGACCAACTTTAGATCCACTCAACACAACATCTGCAAAATCATCCTCATCTTCGGATCCATCGGAAACATACATATCTTCTTCAACGATTTCTCCAGAGTGCGATTGCATGGCGTAGTTGGACGCGGCTGGTTTCTTTTCTTCTTCCCCTTGGGCTGCTTCATCCTCCACCTTGACGGCCACCGTTTTCTCCGTGGCGGGAGCGCCATCTACGGCATCCCCATCGCCATCGCTTTTGATGGAAACCTTGCGCTTCTTTCGTCCCATCTTCTGCTACTAATACTCAATGTCACTGGCTAGTGATGATGTATGGCGGTGTGGATTGAAGTTGAGTCGAGGAGTCTATCGTATCGTTATTGTTATTGTTGTTGTCGGTGTGATCTGGGAAGGGATGTGTGCATGGGTTTGATGAGCTTTGGATCTTCGGTGCGGTGCGTGGATGGTGTTTGACTGTTGATTCGATTCGATTTGATTCGATTCGATTTGATTCGATCACATTTTGAAACGATTCAATTCGATTCGATTCGAATCAATTCGATCAATTTTGAATCGAATATGTTCGTTGGTCATGATGCCCTCCTGCGATCAGAACTCTCTCTCCAAAACGCTTCTTCAAAAAACCCTCTTCTTTTTCATGCTACATGGCCTTGTATTATTGAAGGAAGAGAACGACTCGACTACCGGTATCACCTGTCACTCAGCACTTGTTTGGCTATCACACACGTTGTTACAGATTGAAGGTCGGAGAATAACAAGATGTCTTGGTTTGAGGGATTGACTTCCAAGTTGCAAGAGGTCACAGAGCAAGTGTCTGAGCAGGCCAAGAGCGCTATTCCTCTCAACAACGATTTTCTAGAAAAACTGACCCTATCAACTCCGGAATTGGACGAGGAACGAAAGCGTCTCGATAACGAGGAAAGGCGAAAGGAACATATTAAAGACTGTCTTGCTGGGTTGCTTCCATGGGAGACTCGCGATCCAGAACGAGATATCTTGGTGGAAGAATGCAAAGACGCGATTTTGAAATTGAGCCAGGATGGAGCCACTTTCAAGGGACCCTATCTGATGCCAGGGATGAAAGTTAAGGATGTTGGCACGAGTGATGGCGAAAGTGAGGAGGAAAAAGGAAAAATTGTGGAAGAAAAACCCACAGAGGAGTCCTTGGACAAATTGGCCACTTTGGAGCCATTGCCCAAATTGTTGGGTTGCTTTGATCTAGATGCTCATGTGGGATTGATTCAGCGGATTCTGACGGAAGATCCGCATCTCGTCGAAATGCAATCAAAACTCTCGGGTACGTCTACAATTTGGCCGCATTTTGATTGCTTCTTTTGATATTTTGTACCCACACAAGTCCTTTTTTCGGCCGGCCCAGGTGGTGGAGAACGAGAGTACTACTTTTGGAAGAATTATTTCTTTCACTGTGCGTTTGCCAGATACGAAGCTGGCCTTAGTATTGATGAAATTTGGAATGACGAAGACCCAGCAGAACGAAAGGCCAAGGAAGAAGCGGCCGCCAAAGAGGCTGCAACAAAAGCAGCAGCAAAGGAAGCCGAACAGAAAGTGGCCGCTGAATCCAAGGCAGAGGAAGAAACCATTACCTTTGACAACCACAAAACTGAATCCAAGAGTACGGAAACACCTTCCGTGCCTTCGGAGGGATCACCCGAAATAGTTTCCACAGACGTTGCCGCTGTGGAAGCGTCGTCTCTCCCAGCTGATGTTACAACTCCGTCCAGCGCGGCTAGTGCGTCGGCAGCCGGCGACTCGAGCGCCATTGATTTTGAGAAAATAGCGGCTGAAGGAATCGAGGACGACGATGGTTTCGGTGATGATGACGGATTTGACGTGGAGCTAGACGAGGTAAGCTGGACATGCGATGAAATGAATCATGCTTTGGTGCTGTGGTTTGCTAATCTTTGTCCCATTTTGCTCGTGTTCAGCTGGAAGCGGAAATTGCTCGTGAGCTTGAAGATTAGCCACAACGCTCATTTGGTTCGCTCGGGCGTTTCCGACGCCCTGCAATTCCAGGAAACTTTCACACAACAATCTTCATATGATACATAATATAGCGCCATTAAGCAAGTCTAGACCAGACACACAAGTACAGCAGTGCATGGCGTGTCTTCGAAGGACAGCATTGCAGCTTCAGGAGCTGTCAACTTGCTTCACTATCGCCTGGGGGCAATCACCTTGATGTCGCTATGATTGCTTGACATTCGTTTAGGCTTGGGTAGTTTCGTAGTGGCTACTGTAGTCAGTCGGCAAGACAGTCACGGGTACCGTGCTGGAGCTTCATCCTGCTGCCAATGAAGAGGAGATTGATTCTGTCCATGGTGCCCCGACCTCCTCCAACTGTACCGGTACCCTAGCTACGGTAGCTAAACTGCGAAACTCACGCACTTTGTTTAGCGGCTTTAGCAGCGCATACTTCGCATAGTTATATATAATGGGTGGTACAACTAACTGTATTAGTACAGTACCGGTAACACTACACAACGCAATCAAAAACCCAAGTAGATTACACGGACAGACGCTGGGTCGATCATGAATTGGTCACCATACTGAGTCTTTGCTTTCATCAGCTCGAAACAGACAACCCCACCATTCTTAATCTTTTTGTTTTTCGCAACATGGTCCACACTGGCCGGAAGGAAGCACTGAAAGAAGCTTTTGAAGTACAGGCTATGCCCACCGGCAATCACGTGTTCTTCCCTAACTGCATTGGAAAAGACAAACTTGCAAAACTGGATCATTCGATCATATCCAGAGCCACGAATGGGCTTGTTTCCCTGTCATTCATTCACAGCATGGCATTAGCATCGTTCGTCAAGCAACACGTGCTAAGTTTGCACAGAAACAGGCAACACGATGAACTTACCGTGTGAAGACTCGTATCCACGTGCTTCCTCAGAATATCGTCAAAGTTGCACACTTTGGAACCCTTTTCCATCCAACTAGCTTGAATAGGAGTATGAGCCGGTGTAATCGACTGGGCATCAGGGTTTCGACTGGAAGCATTGAAAACGTTCAATTCCAGTATTTTATGTGAGCAAGAACGAAGATGGAGTGGAGACGCAAGCTACAAAGCGACTTGCACTGACAAACGTACCTCATTTCCTGCAAGCAAGGTAGAACCAGAATTTTGTCCACTTTTCTTCTTCCAAGTCTTTCCCTGAACCCACCAGCAAGAGTCGAGATTGCACGGCGAAGATTGCTACAAACAAATTTGCTGGGCTTTGCCCCTGGATCAGCTCTCAAAATTTTGATGATCTCCTCGTCAGTTTCCGGTGGATCCCTTTCCATAAAGACCGCCAATTCTTCGACTTGCTTCAGGCCAACCTGAGACAAGGGTGAATCATAAAACCAACTGTGTTTTTGGGTATTCTTGTGAGAATGGTTGACTTCCTGAACCGTGTCAAATGCAAGAACAGAATTGACAGGCTCACCTGTCCATCTTCCCACTGAGTACAAGATAGATCTCAAACAGCACAGCCTTTACAACTCCAGGGAGGAACCCCAAAATAAAAACCGCTGTGGAACGATGATTTCCCTTGTTGAAAGTATCTGGTGGAAAGGGAAGACAAGAAAATGGCTAAGATGCACCATGGGACTTGTCACACGAAAAACTCCGCATATCATACCATTCCAAGTAGACTCTCCGTGACGGACGAAGTAGATTTTCTTCCTCTCTATTGGCTTTCCCGCAGAAATATGTGGACCGAAAACAGCACCTGGATCAGACGTCCTTTTCCACTTCTTATCGTTACAGAAAAGAAGGTACAAAATTGTCGACTTCAAAAGCCCAATCTTGTAGATAACAATCGGTAGATTGAAAACCAGCATTGCGCAAATCAACACCAGTGCGGGACGCACATACTGACCCAGCATGCCAGCCATTCCAAGGGGCTCCTCCATTATTGCTAACTTGAAGACAACAACTAGACTACGGTACCGGTGCTGTGTGGGTCAACAATTGTTGCGGGTGGCGGTCACAAAAATTCTGGTATCTGGTATCCTTGTGCATTCAAAGATCGACAATAGAAACAGCAAAAATAATGCAACTAAATCACAAAACAATAGAGTTTGACTGTGGCACCGGTAGCTAGTTTTTAAAACAGGTGACACCTAATTTATCTCCAGCAACCGGTAGACTAGCTAGTTATTAGTAATAGCCAGCTGATAAAGTCGAGAATTTTGAAAAAGGTGATAACTCCTCAGAATGAGCAGTCAGGATTTTTGAATCAGTCGGATGGTTTGGGTTAGGGTGAAAATAGAATTCTCAACTTGATCTTCAGATTTGTGTAGAATCCAGTTGGTTCCAGAATTCTCAACTAAATCGGCGGAGTACTAGTAGCCAGTACAGTACGACGACATGGATGGCCTTGCTAATGTGAGTGACAGTCTTCATGATTGATTCTTTGTGTCAAAGCAATACTGTACGGTAGCATACTGGTACATGTAGTGTTCCTTAGCACGGACCTGGGGGTGCGGGCATTGGGGAAAGGCATAGCTTGTACATACCGGTAGTCACAGGACCAGGACTTGGCCCTGGAGTTGTTCCTGGCTACTAAGCTAGAGTGGGATGAAACAGAGTCAAAATAGGTCTGGTTTTGGAACCCGGAGCAGGTCCAGCCAGTGTTCTAGCCATGGATGGACCCAGCCAGGAATTTGGCCCGATGTTCCCAAGGCACATACCATGTACTACCATAGTACTACCGTACAGTGTAGCCAGTGTCCCGAAGTTGGGCTTTGGAGTGTTTCTCAGTGTCATGCCTTAGAGTCAGGTGCATGCAAACTAGGACATGGAGTTGATTCATGTATGGCAAATGGCAATCCTTGTCCTGGATTTCGACTCAAACCTAGTTGGTTGCTCTTCCTGCTAGCAAGGTGCTACCGTACAGCGCCCACAGTGGTACCGGTATTGCCAGCTACTAGAAACGTCTTTGTGGTAAGAGCAGTACCGTACAGGCTTTGACAAAGTTGGAAAATTGATCCACCTATTACAAGGGACTACCTTCTGGCACTGCACCAAGAATCGTTGCAATTTGATTGCATTATGCAACTTGAATGCCACATGGTATCATCCCGTTGTCATTCCTCTCTTCAGAAATGGCCGACTTTTCAAGGGGGGCGGGGAGGACTTGTCTTGTCGAGTCCGAGGGGCTGCATTTGGCCTGCGCCACAGGCTCAGCCCGCCAAAAAGGGGCGTCGGACTGTAAACATCACTATCAGCTTCTCCGAGACCAAGCCGCCCCGAGTGCTTTCCGCAGGAAAACACCTGCCCGCACTCTGTTACTAGAATAGAACAATCCAGTCCTGCGCAAACTTGCACCACTGGGCCGTACGCATCGTCGCCCCTATTAGAATTGTCGAGATCGGCACATCCTCGAGTTAGCCGCGGAACCGTGGTGGGTGCCCACTCAATCGTCCTCTCTAGCTCTGGGGCCTCCTCTTGGTCCCCTGGTGGCAACATCGTGCGGACTTCTCCGAGACCGAGCCGCCCATCGGTGTTTTTACCCCACGAAAAAACAGTCCCATCCCTTGCCAACGCCATCACATGGCTTGCCCCAGCACTAAGCGAAGTGATCTCTACAGGAGTAGTGGCACGGCGAAACTTGATATCCTTTGGTTCTCTGGCTTCCACAACGTTGTTTCCCAGTCCTAGCATTCCGTCGTAACTGATTCCAAAGGACAGGCACCTTCCCTTAGACGTGACCACAAAGGAAGAGTACGGACCCAAAGCAATGTCCACAGGGTACTCGGGGGGATCCTGCTTCAGCAATGAGTTTGATGGTTTCGGGGACTGGTGATCCTTCCCTTGGAGTGACAAAGACTCCACCAAGGTTGGTACAGGAACAGTTTTTGGTATCTTCAACGCTGATAACTGCTTTTTGGATAGACCCAACGCATGATACGCTGCGTTCCCCCACGTGTAAAGCTCGACACTTCCAGTGGCTCTTCGTACAAGGGCGGCAGAGTGTTCCGAAGACGCAGTCAACGCGAATATTCCTTGTGGAAGGGAAGACGATGGAGCTGTCCGGCTGCCATTGACTGATCCTGTATTGTTGGCTGTGGATTCTGGCCAGACCGTACAGAGCAACGCTACCCTGTGAGGTAACAAGACATCTTCCATGTCGTCGGGGTTGTAATCGACCAATAGGCTGGTGTCATTTGATGCATCCGGTGACTGAGGCGACACAGGCTCCTCTATCGAACGCTTCCGTCGCGGATGGACCAAACCAATCTTCATTGAGTTGTTCCGGCCGAAACCATATAGCTGATGGTGCCACACTGATGCTGCGGCAGATGGTGTTGGTGACATTGGTCGTCCCCCTTTGTTTTCGTAGTTCTCGCGTTCGGTATTCATGGATGGCGGTGACGAGCTTACACGGTTCATTTTTATAGTTGCAGGCGTGCCTGGTTGACTACTCGTGTCTGATTGCGGCGAATGAGCCTTCAGGACTCGCCTTCCTTCAGTTGAGACTACGACCAGAGAATGTGACTCCCCAGCAGCACAGATGACAGCCTTCCCTCCATTTTCTAGAAGTGGCGTGATAATCGTGGGAGTCCACACGTATCGGCTGTGCGATCCGGCACCCTCCCCTGGACCGGGTGATTTGATGCCAATGCCCAGCTGACCATGATCATTAAGGCCATAGGAGAATAAGAGTGCCTCTGTGGATATCATCAGTACATGCGATCCTCGGGGGTGAGCTGACACATGTTGTATCCGGACTTGCGATAGAGAGGACAGAAAGGTAGGAACGCCATGAAAGATGGATGGTGCACTTGGCACGGTTGTTGGGGCACTTTCAGGTTGAAAAAAAGAGGCAACTTGTTGTGTTGTCCGTTGTATAGGAACCTGTTCGGTGTGTGCTCCTTTGGACACGAGATTGACGTCAACCTCTGCAGGATCTGAACGTCTCCTTGACTGGAAGCGATGTGGCGAGGAAGGAAGCATATCGTTTCCGCCAGCACCAAAATGGGAGTAATCAAAACTTGGCATGGACAAGACACGATCTTCGTCGTCACCCTCCAAATCATGAAGAGGCACAGGAGACGATTGTGGTGATAGAATGGCTGATGAGGACTCGGCTACTACAATTTCGAGCCGTCCCTGCGGGAAATCGGCATTCGCCAGATGATCGGCAGTGTGGGCTTCCCACTCGTAGGTTGACCCTCCACGAAGTCCTCCACTATACTCCATCGTTGTCCGGTCGTCTTCCTTCTTTTCTTCTCGTTGTCCTCCCAGTCGAGTTAACCAAGGATTACACAGGGCAGATTTTTCCAGGTTCAACGGAAGTTTGGAGCATTCTAGATCACACCAGCCCACGCTTCCTGCCTTGGTAACATTGGAACCACAAGTTACCAGAGTGCCATATTGAGTGGAGGATTGAGTGGTGGTTAGCTCGACAAACTCACGGCCGCGACAGACCATAACATCCCCAGCAGCTGACACCAAACATGTTTCTTCTTGTGAAACAGCTATTGAACGTCTGGGCAAAGGTGGCGGTTTTGTGGGTGGTCGACTTCCAGATAGTAGATTGCTTGACTTGGTCTGCACAATGATGGGTAATCCTGGTCGGAGCTGGTCCATGCTGTTGGGGAGGGGAAGTCTATCAATGGCGTGGCGTTCTTTGGCAGGAGATAGAGAGGTCACTGCCCGTCGTTTTGCGACTAAAGTAGCCCCATTGCTGTGGAGCTTCTTTGACTTGTCCATGACAGGCTGTATTGTTCGATCCTTGTACATATCTCCACCGTCGATTCTGTGAGTTGTTGCTTTGCTTGGTCGCCACTACAACACCTCTTCGTCCTCTCGCCAGCTTGACACTTGTTGCGTACCGGTATTAATTAATCAACTTCGTGCTCTTCTCTACTAGCTAGCTATCGTACTGGCCGCTCAACGCTGCGATGGTTTCATCCACATCCAATCAATCGAGCGCTTGACCCCGAGCTGTTTGGATTGGAAAAGGCATTGGCTGTCGGACCGGCCCGTGTACCTACTAGCTAGTACAAATTCTACGTACGAAAGCTAACCGAAAAGATCGCAAGCCGGCATTAGTGCACCGATGCTAATCTAAAAGTACTTGTACGGTACCAGGTAGGGACCTCTCAGTACGGTATGATACTGTACCAGCACCCGTGCCGTAAGCAAGATCTACTATTACGCTGTAGCTAGCTAGTAGAGTAGGTAATATAATAGATCCGTACAATAGCATGCAGGGGTATCGGCATTATTCTACCGATACCCACACCAGGCTGGAGTTACGAGTACTACTAGTACAGGTTCGAAGATTATCATTTGATCATTAGCATCAGGTACAGTACCTAAGCACTGCAAGTTTTGGAGCTACACAAGGCCATAGCAAGTTATTATTTGGTCCCAAGAATGGCTTCGTTCGTTGCGTTTCTACCATCAGCAATCGCTGCAAGGGTGGGACACAGTAGGTGCTTGAAGTATTGGCAACAAGCTCAATGTTGCTGGCAATACTATTCGTGTACCATGGCTACTTGTTTAGTTAGTCTTAGGCAGTCCTGGAGCTATCGGCACCATCAAGGGGGTGAGGTTTGCTTCGGTTGATTACACTCACTCAACTGCACTGTCAGCCGGTACAATGAGGCATACTACCAAGGGCGCACCTTCGGAACCTATGTACTAACTAAGTGGACGGTCAGGGGCTGCTTTTGTACTCAGCCTGAAGCGTTGTGTGCTGCAATGCTTTTATTTCCCCACCGGTACCGGTGCCGACGAAAAATCTTCCGATCTCCAAATTTAACTCCCACAGATGCGCTACCCGTTGGATTTCAACTATGTAACTCAGATCAAACGGTCGGAACAACGCGGGATGAGCATTGCACACCAAACAACGACTACAACAGAGGACCCAACCAATCCTTGCCATTTTTCAATGCAAGATGCCAGGGATTAGGTATACGGCAAGTAACAGCGAAGACGATGAGACTACAGCAACAGGGAACGATTTCTTCGACCTTGACCCTTTCAAGTTTCTTTTCTCGGACGAAGATGAACATGGTAGCGTAGAGGAGAGTACCCAGGCTTCCCCACCACAACGGAAATCAAAGAGTCGGACCAAAAAGGCGGCTGATAGCGCGTTGAAACGACCACCCGAGCAACGGGATCCATCAGAGTCTGTCTATGAAGATGGAACAGAGGATTCCCTGGGGCGGAAACGGCAGCAGCACTACTGGAGGCGAAACCAACCCAAAAATGAAGCCAAAGGACGGCGGCTGGGCTTTGGGCGGAAACCCGTCCCCAAAAAGACGTTTGCTCCTTCTGGTACTTCCGCAGAGTCTTCGTTCGTTAGTGACGTCCCTGACCATTCTGTTGTAAGCAGCCTGCAGTCAACCTACAGAGACGACAACACTAGGGACGATGACAGAACTGAAGAGGATGACGAAGGATTCTCGTCGCTGATGAAGGCTCTAGGACGACGTTGGGATCCCTGGGACGATCAATCATCCTCATCATGTAGTTCTCGTCTTTCGTTTGATGATACCGGTACGCATGACGAGGAGTCCTACTTAAGCGCCCGGAGAGGTGGCATCCTCCACGACCAGCCTGCAACTCAACAACAAGTTCAACAGGTCTTGGTGCAGTACAACCCAAAGTCGGGCATTCGAGAAGCACGGCAGGAAACAATGGTTACATCCTTCCACCCGGCACCAAAGAGACCAGAGACAATACTTTCGGAAGGGAAGGGCGCTCCATCCATTCAATCGATGAAGTACTACGCCCCAGCTGAAACAACACCGGAAGATGCCGGGAGTATTGTCGCCAGTGTTGCCCAATCTCAGCAGCGCGAAGACTGCGATATCGATGAGGGACGTTCAAGGTGCCTGGATCTGCAAAAGGTTTGCGGGGTTGGAAGGGGGAAGAAGAAAAATAAAATCCATCCTTCTGCTTCTCGAAGTGCTTCTCGAAGTGCCGAGATGGACACGGCTTCCGTCTTTCCAAAGTTGCGAATGGTCGCCGATGAAGAAGTAGGGGGGTCAAAGGCATCGGCCGTAGTCCCAGCAGACAAGAAGTTCAATGGAAGCATCCCAGCTCATCTTCAGGTTTCAATGGATGCATTCTTGCCAACAAAAGGGCCTCAATCGCTTTATGAATACGAGTACGAGGGTGCTGAACATGTTGACGTAGCATACAACCATTTTGGACCAAATCCACTCTCTCTGCTTGTGATTAGACATCATTTGAATCCTCCGAGACCAAGGCCGGGTGTCGCGATTGTGCAGGTTGAGGTAAGCAGTGCTAGCTTTTGATCTCTTACATTATGCGAGGTCGTACTCGACGTTCACATTGCTATCTCTTTTCGAAGGCTTCAACCATATCCATGACAGACTGCAGTATCCGGCGAGGAGAATGGGAAGGGAAAGACACTCCACCGTTGCCAATCACTCCTGGTGTTGATCTGGTTGGAAAGATATTTCATATCGACAAAGACGTGTCTTCATTTCTCAAGCTTTCGGTTGGTGACAGAGTAATATCCCTAACCAGATGTGGGGGGAATTCTAGATTCTTGTCCATTGACCCAGAACAACTTGTCAAAGTTTCTGCAGAGGTTGATCCCGCAGAGGCTGCCTGTTTGGCGGAAACCTACTTGACAGCATTCCAGATATTGCATTTTGGACAGGGCTGGACAACGCGTTACCGAGCCAATTCGCTGAAGGGAAAGAATGTTCTTGTCATTGGGACTGTGTCCACGACACTAGGGCATGCCTTTGTTGAACTGGCTATGGCTGCGGGTGTGGAAAAAATTATTGCAACTTCTTTGCCAAAACATTTCCCTCACCTTCGGTCCCTAGGCATCATTCCAGTAAGTTCGGACCCGACCCTTTGGTATGGCCAACTTGACCAGGAAATAGACTTGGTTTTTGTTTCCAATCCCAACGAAGAAGTTGTCGCAGACCATTTCAGAGTACTCAATGACAGAGGTCATCTTTTCGTGGTGGGTCAGCGAGGAGGCATGCCAATCGATGAAGACGAACAAACGCGAACGAAGACCTTGGTTTGCAAGCGACGCAAGTCAAAACCGAGCATGATTGATCGCACGCATGAGTATAGTCCCTTTCGACAGTGGGAGCAAGATCTAGAAAAGAGCAAGAGAGACCTCTCTCACCTCGTCAAGATGCTAGGCAAGGGTGAAATAAAACCGAATGTCCTCGACCGAATACCTCTGGGCAAAGTTGCGAAAGCACAAGACCTGGTCGAGAGCCAACGGCACCCCGGTGGATTTCTGGTCTGTGAACCTTGGCTCCGAAACAAGAAGCGTGCTGTCCGACTCTGATGATTGCCATGTCTGGTGCAACGTTTGGAAAAGCAAGTGGGAAGACTTCACGTGCTTTGTGGTCTCCGAGGGGCACTATTTTTGTTCCGCAAGACGCGGAAGAAGTCAAAGACATAATAGCAACAGTTTTCTTCTCTCTGCTGCTGCTTGGTTTCTGATAACCACACAACCATGTTTCGATTCCTAGAGCACCATTTTTAATAGATTGCATTCAACTTTTAGACAGCTGATACTTCTTGAACACGGTTTTCGTGGAGACAAACTAGCCAGTACTTCGTTTTGAAACCCCAAGAGCGCGAAAGCTATTTACTCTTCCAAGTCTACCGGAACAAAGTATTGTAGAATGCATTGATGGTTGATATCACCATGAGAGGCACAAAAACATAGATCATGCCCCTTGCAAAGGATAGTGCTGTCGTGCGATCGCCACCCTCGTTCCCGCCATTCGTCAGAGAGCTACCGAAAATGGCAATATACGCGAAGCTGGGGAGCAAATAAGAAAGAATGACAGAGAGAGATGATCCAAGAAGATCCCACACAATGTCGATAGACTTGACAGAACTGGCGATTCCTGCGGCCGACCATAGTACGGCGATTCCAACCCCCAAACGTAGGGCCAAGGAGTGTTGTTCTGCCTGTGGTTCTTCAGGGCTTTGCGGTTGCATTGCTTCTGGGTTCTCAGCTTCGCCCTCACCATTGGGCAACAATGGCTCCTCTAGAGCGGCTGCCATGTCCTCGTTGGCTGGCGGGGTTTCTGCTGGAACCGACGACGGACCTCCTGCAGCCTCTGACGTTGGACCAGGTGTCGCAAACCATGTCCGAAGCATGATATCGCGAGCAGGGATGACCAACAGAGGGAAAGCCAAGGTCACAGTGCACGCCAGGCACATGCGAGCAACCACCAGAAGCGGGTCGTCTTCATCAAAGTCTAGCAAAATGTTGCCTTGCACTTTTCCTGAATCAGTGCATTTTCCATAAGCCGAACCAGCTAATCCCACAGCCATGTAGAACAGGGAGGCAGAAATTGTTGTCGACCGCAGCCAATAGCTGACTCGTTGAGGAGTTGGAGATTGGAGCTCGTTATGGACCAAGGGTATATTGTAGTGGCACACATAGCAGGACACAAAGAGAGGGAAAGCATCTTTTGGATCGTTCAGGGATGGACAAATAATGAATAGAGTAGAGAATTGGATACAGAGTGAGTTGAGCAAGGCTTTTCGACAAACCAAGACGACTTTGTCTCGTTACATGTACCCACCTAGCACGTCTTTGGCAGAATCAGGCCAAAGCTGGAATGCCGGCCAAGTCGTTTCTTCGTGATGGTCTACCAGACACTGAAGCGATCGGTAAGCAATACACCCTCCGACAATAATAATGGCAGACATGGACGCAGCACCCAACTTTTCCAGCGAGGACAAGTTCTGGAGACCACATAGAGGCGTAACGAGCAGGATCACTGCCATCATTGTGAGATTGTTTCCGAGAGATGGGCCTCCTCCTACCCCTCCATCCAATTCATGGTGAGGGAAAATGGCATCAGATATGGGTTGCAGCAAGTCTCTGAGCAACACAGCATATCCAACCGCTCCAAAAATGCAAATGCTGCATTTTATGGACATGAAATGAAATAATGGGAATTGCAGGTGAGGAAACCAAAAACTACAGAACAAATATCTTTGGTCCTAAGAACACTTACGCAGTCACCAGCCATTTTGTGAACAAGAAACCTCTTGCCCCGAAGGCCGCACTGGCCATTGATTCATAACTCTCCTTTCCAACCACCACAGTATGGGCTTGAACAGGCGACAACTTTCTTGTGGCTGCAATAATCATTCGGAAGCACCAGTCGGTCACAGCGGCGGTCAACAGCAACATGCACGGCCCAAACAATCCGTTTCCAGTCTTTTGAAAGGCCATTGGCAAGGATAAGCAGCCTCCGCCAACCATTGTACAAAGAACATTATATCGAGCAGACGATATGGTCCCTTGACGCAACGGCCCATCGGTGGGGTCAGGACTGACGTTTCCATTCTCTTCGACCAAGTCGTTGTTGTTAGACACGCCGTCTTCTGCGCTGGGAGTAACTGCATCGGATTCTGTGGCCACCATGGTATTAACAGCTTTTGTTGTCAAGTAAAGAAAGGCGTATTGGTTGAACGATTGATCGTAGGGTCGATCTGCAATCTGGTACCCTCGCCTCGATTATTCCTCGAGTGCACGAAGCACGAAGAGAAAAGTAACATGTTCGATGTAGGAAAAATCGACTCATGATTCGACTAACTCGACTATGATTGATTCGTGTTTCTGACACTGACATCTGTAAGGAGTTAGAGTTCAGACTAACAGACAATAAGTTGCTCCTCCTGCTCGCTTCGAGCCCTCATCCCGATCATTGGAAGAATCTTTAGGGCCCTCAGCTGTATGGTGTCCTATCAGCCCAAAACGTTCGGAATTCGAAAATTCTATTTTTATTATCTTGTTCGAAATGGTCAAAAAGACCTTCTTTTTGCTTCCCATGAAGTGGAATCCATTATCCGGGTAGCTATGCCTAAGAAACCTACTCAGATACCTTCTGATACCCCATTTTCATACAGTTTATTAACCATAGACTAGCTACCCAGATATTGGATTCCACTTCATGGCAAGTAAAATGAAGGTCTTTTTGACCATTTCGAACAAGATAATAAAAAAGTATTTTCAAAAAATGACTTTGAATTTTGGTCAAAAATTGCGGCGTCCCCATAGAAAGAATTGCCAAAGCGCGCACGTCGAGATTCAAGCTCGACGTGCGCGCTTCTAAATATCTGGGTCGTTATTTCAGCCCTTCACATTCCACCTCCTCTTCTCGACGGTTGCTCCTCCGACCTCTTCGAGACGGCATTCAACCAAGCATCGCAGTGGGATAGAAGACAGGCAACACCAACACACAGCGATCTTTTCAATCTTCGGTGCTTCTGTGGTGTGGGCCACTGCCACATTCATTGTCTTCCTTGCTTTCTCGTGACGTCCCTTGCTAGTTGACCATGGCCACTGAAATAAGTAGAAGAATGTGGCGGTTGTTACTGCTAGTTTTCTGCCTGTCACTGTCGCAGCAAGGCAGTCGAGCAGAAGAATATCAGGCTGCCAACGATGATTATGCGAATGGAGATGACTACATCAAATACTGGACAGAATATGCTATCCTTCCAAAACGATGTATTGTTTAGTAAGTGGCTCTTTTCGCCTTGATTTGTTCTGGACTGTATTTGTATTTGTATTTGTATTTGTATTTGTATTTGTCGCTCGATGATGGTATGGTTCGTATTCAATGTAGCAGTTCTTTCTCATGCCTTCTTCAACCAAAATATTCTCAGCAACGATGTGGATGTCATAGTGTTTTCCGTCTTTGAACATGGATACAAGCAGTGCAGCGACGATCCCATGGGGACTTTCATCGCGCCTGTCCCCGTTTTCTTGAACGGCTATTTGCAGCAGTTTGCGCAAGAAGAGTACGATCAAGGATATGACGATTATGCCACACCAGACGCGGCACAATACACAGATTGCGTTCAGCAACAAGTGAGCGGGAGAAACTTGTGGTTCCAAGTTGGCTGCACAGACGGCACCAGTCAATCACTTTCCGTGAATATCTATTCCGACAATACATGCACTACCAGGTATCTGGAAGACGGATACGACGATTCTGCCATTGACGCATCTGCCATTCAGGTCGGCACTATTCTTGTTGTTAAGTTTCGTGGAATGAATATACCAATTCATCTGACTCACACGTATTTTTTGCGGCCCTTTTTCCCCCTTCAATTCTTTCTTTCTTTTAGGTCCCATTCAAGCGTTGCCAAAACTGTGTCAACTGGGTGGACATGAGTGACGACAAAATCGATGACATGTTCTACGAAAACCGTCAAACACAAGCACCGCTCTGTTCAACTGCCTGGCAATACAAAGAAACCTGCAACCGCAAGTGTCAACGGACTGGATTGGAGCCAAGAGAAAAGGAGGGTTGGAACACATCCGACAAGATTCTATTGGCGATCCTCACTCTGTTTGGTATGGTAATGCTAGTCACAATCATTCGGAAGCGACAAAAAATGTCAAACAAAGAGGCTTTGCTGGAACAAGCAGCAATGAGTGCAGCTGGACTGCAACAGGCACATGTGATTGGAATATTTATCCTTGTGGTGCTCGTGGTGGCAGTTTTTGCCTTGTTGGGACTCAAGAACATAACGTGGGCATTACTGCTCGTTATCAACACCGTCTTGTTCGGATACCTGATGAAGCTTACCGTGGATAGTGGGGTGAGCGCAGGAGAGACTGTCATCGGGCCTGATGGCACGATAATCAGACGGGGAGACTCTGATGACTCCAGTGTCGCCTCGACGGCCGACAATAGAAACACAGGAACCTATATGCTGCCACAGCTCGCGTAGAACCTCCGCTGCCGGTATGGTATGCAACCGCCAACGCTTGGCTTCTATCTGCCTCTGGCAAACCTAGTCTAATCTGTTGAACTTAGCCTTGAAGGCTTCCTGTCACTACCTACAACTGTAACCTTTCTCTTACCGGTACAACTGTTTGCAATATTTATCGGGCTCGTATCACAACGGCTTGCTAGTCTAGTTCTTGAGTGCGTAGTTGCTGTTACGATAGAGCTGGCTGACAGGAACTCGTTCCACCAGTTTGTTTTGGGTGCAAGGAATCCGCAAGGATTGATCAAGCGAGCGACATACCGTACCTTCTGCACTGGCAGCAGGGAAGGCAGGGCCTGTTGAGAACCAGTATGCTCTAGAGTACACTACTACTAGTATATAATAACTATGACATATCTTTGTAAACGATTCACTGTATTTGTACATGTGTTTTAGAGGCAAAGCTGCTTCCTGTGTGCCGACCAAGAAAACGGCTGAGAAACAGCCAGCTAGCGGCAGGGGGGGATGCCTCAGCCACTGCCAACATCAGCTCAACAGCCTCTGTCCCAGCCAGAGCTGCACCAAGCAGAACTGCCGTATCCCAAGCCCTGTTTTTTAATAATTGCAGTAGCTTCTAAAGGTGACTACTATTACCAAAGCTACCGGTATCAGCAAGTTAGCTACTAGCTAGAGGTCCATATTGGCTCGTTTCAGGGTTTGATTTATCGTAAGAATTAAGGCAAAGCCTTCCATACGTTCTACAAATAAATGATTGTATTGTGCCTGCCTCATGCATGATCAAGCAAAACTGTGCTCGAGTTTCTACCAGAAACGGGCTTGGTTTTCAATTTTCTATCGGACGGCTCGAGGCTCGGCAATTGTTTAGACGCAACAAAGACAACATCGAAATGAAAAATCTAAATGGACTACGTTCTGGAAACGACTCCAATTGAATCAACAGCCACAAGATTTGGCCTCGTCAAGATTGGCCGGTGCAGCTGATAGTTTGACGTCGATAAGGTTGTTGCCCGCTTGTGTCGCCAATCCAGCGCCATTTCCATTAGCGGCGGCGTTTGCGTCGGTACTTCCTGGCAATGCTGTCGCCAGCTTTCGGAATAAACTCTTGACATTGTATCCGGCCTTTGCACTGCATTCCATAAACATCAGGCCATCCTTAGTGGCACGTTCTTCCCCTTCCTCTGTACTAACTTGTCGTTTGTCGTTTCCAAGATCCGTTTTGTTTCCAACGAGACAAATCACAACATCATTCCCTCGCTCAGCTCGGACGTCTTCGACCCATTTAGTCGTATTCAAAAAAGAAGCGCGGTTGCTCACATCGTAGACCACCACAGCCACACTCGAATCTCGAATGTAGGAAGGGATCAGAGACCGAAATCTCTCCTGACCAGCTGTATCCCACAACTGTAGGCGGACAGTGCGATCTTCCAAGTACATTGTTTTTGAAAGAAAATCAATTCCGATGGTTGCCTGATAATGCCGATCAAAATTGTCGTACATGAACCTTGTGATGATTGATGTCTTTCCTACGCTTTGGTCTCCCAAGAACACCAACTTATACTTTGCCAGTGGGGCCAGACTGGTGCCTGTAGCAGGTCTTTTCGCACCAGAAGGAGCCTTCGCCGGAGCTGGGGCTGCTGCTTTTTCCTCGGTCATGGCTGAAACTATTTGAGTTAATGCAAAAAGCAAACACAAGGCTTCTGAGGGGGTTGGAGGATGAGAATAGATCAATGTGAGAGACAAGGGGAATCGTGGGAATGAATACTTCCAAAAGGGTCCTCTTTCATGGGACTGAGTCGTCCTTGTTGGTCAAAGGTCCCCACGTCCACGGCATTTTTTGTCGAACCGGCAAAGAGCCGATCTTTCCCGAACTGGTTCCCGATAGTCTGCCTGTTGTTTCTTTGCCTCTCTTGTCGCATGCGATAACTCACCACAAACCACTCGCTTGGTTAATTTGCACTACAGTGTCGACGCCTCAACTTTGTCCTCTCCTTCTACAAGATCAATGCGCTGCTGCTGAGTTGCTGTGTGTATGATACTTCTTCGGTGCTCCACTATGAGCGACAGGCATTTGTTTCATGGCATTGTGGTGCGGCTTTGGCTCTGGCGAGCGGATGTGGGGATGGGCTCGCTTCCGCCCTTCAATAAGGATCGAGTTTTTAAAGCCAGCAGGCTGCTTGCCCGGTAACGCGGCTTCCGGTGGCTTGGTGTGTATGGTACACGGTACAGGCAGGTCAGGTACTAGTAGTCTAGTAGGTTAACATGTCTCATCAAAGCAGGATGTCGAAGACTTGCAAAAGTCACCCAAGGTACCAAGGAAACGTCAACCAACCCCTCCACAAAATGTACCGGTACCCACTACATGTCGAGGCACTGAACAAAACTGAAGAAACTAATCAACTACTGCAATCTTCGGAGCCTGCCAACACAACCCATAATTTCACAAGTACCATAATAGCCCAAGCACTGATGATTCAATTCCCATGGGGGAAGAAACGTCAAACAACCAAAAAGTTACCACAGAGCGAAAGCTTGTGTTTTAGTGATTCTGCAGTTTGTGAGTAAACTTTTACTCAGTTCAGTCCCTTTTTGCTCAAATCGTATGATGAACAATGCTATCCCGTGTGCATGAGGTACGAGGCATGAGGGAGCAGTTGAAATGTAGCTGCCTGAGGAAACCCCAGCAGCCCATCCCGTATAGACTCCCAATGGCCTAGGCGGAGACATCACAATTCACAATTGAAAGAATGCAGGTAGGCTATGCCATGCTGAGGTGTTTGCTTCATGGATGATCAAGCAGTCATCTACTGAGCATACCCAAGGACACCAGATTACATATAAACTAGAACAGAAATACTTAATTTGTGGGCTCTTTAGACATCAAAGGTCGGATAGAGACCATCAGAGAGCTCAAATCCAAATTGGTGTCCATTATGATGCAGTCGTATTGGACATGTCATGCAGAAAACTATAAAATACTGCAACCAAGGCTAGTAGTATTATTGAACTAATTTTGAGTGGCACAGATACTGAGACTCCAACCATCATGCTGGATTATCACAACCGTTGCTGCTAAATAAATCTTGATATATTGGTATTCTAAGCATCTTCCTCCGCACGCAATTTGGCATTTCCGTTTGTCACGCGGATTGAAAGCTGCTCTGCACGTGTGATGATTTCCCTTCGCTTCTTGGAGGAAACAGACTTCGAAACGGTAGCAGCATAAGTACGGTTGTGCATCATGAGCATCTCGAGTTCTCCAACATTGCTGACAACCACTGTCTTGAATCCGTTGGGGTGGACGTTGCGGGTTGTCTTGTCGGATCCGTAACCAACACTGGGCATGGGGATGGCTCCCTTGAAACGACGACGCACACGTCCATCAATACCCTTGGGCTTTCGCCATGAGGATCGGCCAATTCGCCAGAATTGATCGGACTGATGCCGAGCGAACTTCTTAGTTCGCTTCTTTACTATTGTCTTCTTCACAAGGGGGATGGGGCCGGCCATGGTGGAAAATTTTATCCAAATAACGCTAAACAAGGCAGTGCCAAAGCGGTTGTCCTTCGTTCCAAGCAAAATCGAGGTCGGTTGTCAGCCAGGCAAAATAGTAACAGGTAATGTGAGAAGCGACGGAGTAGCTGTGCGCCTTTTTAACTTTTTTGCATTTGGAGCCAATGAGCGTTCAAACTATCGAAGAAGGGGTGCCTGCAGTACCGATTTCTTGGTTCTTTCCGTAGTTTAGGTCGATACGAGGATAGCTTACCGTGGTATACTTGTTTGGTCTATTTGCGCTTTTTGGCAAGCGGAAGGGCCATGCCAGTCAGTGTTGAGATGCTGCTCTCCGTACGGAATCTCATCAGGTGAGGTGTTGTTGGTTTGTCGCACTATGAATGGTATAAATACCGCTCAAAGCAATCCTTTCCCAAGGGTACACTGCGGGTTCTTCCCGAATGAGTCGAGTCTCATATGCCTAGTTGAAGCCATTTCCATCAGTTTGGAACTTAATCTATCTTTCTTCTGTAGGGGTTCCTGTCGTTGCTTGAGTGTAGGCAGTGTTGGTGCAGATCTTTCCAATGCTCCTCCCCAAATCCAAGTATCCTTTGCTTTCTGCCAGCCCGCCCACGAAGAGACAACATTTGCTAGCAATAGATCAGTCGCATGAAGAAGATACTACATGTAGCTCTACATGTACATGCACTATATGTATTATCTGCTTCATGCATCGGCCACTGTGCTAGCTAGTAGTTCTGCAGATGGTCCTGTTTAACACGAAAGATTGGGTTAGAGAAATCCCAAAAACCTGTCGGATGGTCAAAAATTCAGACTGGTTAGTCACTTCAGACTCAGTCCACTTCCAAGCGTGAAAATCTTTTGGCGACCAGCAGATCGACCTACCAAGGCTAATCTCCTGCCCCGACAATTTAGGCCACGCTAAGGATGGGTTGCAGTCATGGTTAGTGGTGTGGAAACGGGGAGTCATGAATGCAGGTAATGAGCCGCCAACGGAATGACCCTTGAGAGGAATGGCTTTTCCCCTCCCTTCCTGCCTCCTGTAGTAGGGGTGGCCGTACAGGACTACGGGGCACGCCGTCCAAATTCTTGACTCGAGTTGCAGCAACAGCAAACAACGGCTGCGTGGTGCGTACTGGCTCTCCTTTTTTGGATTATGCCTCTTGCTGGCATCGAAAAATGGATAAGTGGCTGCAGCAGCAGGGCAATCCTAATGGCGGACATCGACATCCAAGCAACTAAAGCTACGAGTAACAAAACAAACGCTGCAGCTACACTACGAGAGGTTAAGAAAGAGTCAGATTCTGTGGCTGTATCCTTGTGTTGTCATTGTTGTTCCTAATCCTTGAGCCAGTTCCGATATTAGATAGCTTGTTGGAAGGAGGAAGAAGCGATCTTACCTCAGTGCCGACCCGCCGACCGACATTTGACGACCAACGCGTAGAGCTGCCACTGTGTTGGGACAGTGTCTATTGAATACTCGTGCTAGTTCCGCCTTGTGCCAGCAGCATTGCATCTCCATCCGTCCTTCCCACTGTTCTACAAATACATACACAATCCGATAGAGCCACAATGGGGACGAATGAAGATATGAATGCCTGGGACATGGACGATGACTACACTGAGTTTCACGAGCTATACATCCAGAGACACGGGCTAGAATTCATGATGCCAATCCTGTTCGAAGATGGAATGGACTACATTGAATGCGAGCTGTATTATGCATCACTGACTTCCCAATCATACGGAGGCGCTTTCCGGAAACTCCGAAGCATGCAACCACGTCGGCCCACACTGCGGGAGCTCAAGGATGAAGCCAACGGCAACCGCCTATCTTGTCTCCGGAAGCCCACGAGAGGGGAAGGCGTCGAACACAGGTCCGGACCTCCAGTCCGTCGATGCTCCTTCAGTGGCATGCCACAGATTGAGGAGTTCCAGCCGCTCACGCGCTCCAATTCCATGAGAAGGTTAGGAGAGGAAGAAGCACGCGTATCCTTCGAGGAGTACGTCCAGGTTGTCACCATTTACCCAGCGGAAGAATACCCTGATGACGTCCGGACCCAGATGTGGATGTCGAGAGAAGAATTATCCAAGTGTATGCGGCGGGCGATGATTGAAGACATGAAAGAACAACGCGAGAGGCAGAGAGAGGAACGCGCCAGGGAAAGGGAAGGAAGGGATCAAAACTCCAACGACGACAACCAAATAAATTCAGACGGCTCTAAACTTGTTGAAGTCTCGAGCTAATCAGATCTAGATTGGGCTGTCTTCCTTGTGCAGCTCCTTACTGAACTTCAAATTGAATTGAATTGAAGCAATCAATCGCAAAACTACTCTGCCAAACCCAATCACTCTATTACAACACTACTACTACTATTATAATATTGACTGTACGAAAGAGGCGGGCCAACTCGTCGTTGCCCGATCGACTGTCTCTGTCTCACGGCTTCACCGAAAGATAAGGTTTGGGACAAACAGTACAGTACAGTATACAAAAGCAGCTAAAACTAGCAGTCAGACACATACATCATCATCTTTCTTTCTTACGTATCCTACTTTTATTATCAAGGGCGAACATTAGGACTAGCTGAAATCGCATCCAGCACCACCCGGACTTCTCCCAGCATACGTAGCACCTCCATCCTCAGCTCTTCAATGCCAGTATCATCCAATGCACTGACTCTGAGGTAGGGTGATCCGTCCATGATCTCCTCCAATTCTTCAATAGACCCCTCAACAACATCTTTGTCTGCCTTTGACACCACATCGATCCAAGGGCGACGGGGAAAGCGGGAACGAACCTAAGGAGGAAAACGGGTTTGCAACAACGAAAGAGGTCAGCTCAATTCGTCGAACAGGACGTTGGTGTTCAGTAGCCAGCCACACACTCCTCTACACACCTGTCGTCTCAGTTGCAATTGATCTGAAACGCTGGAAAACCTGTCACCAGCTTCTCCAGAAAGATCCATGACATAGATCACCGCCGTTGGCAAGTGCTGCATAGCTGCTATGGTGAGCATTTCCATCTCATTTCGATCTTCATTATCTCGTAGCAAAAGGCCAGGAGAATCCATTACCTGGCAAAGCTGAGAAAACGCATATTTACCCATCACAACATCTTGAGAGGGGGCGCCTGGTTTCCGTCTTTCATCGGGGATGACTGCTTTGGCAATCGCATCATTGTCAGCCCAGAAAACCTCCACATGGCCCAGTGTCATCCCTCTAGTTGTGAATGGGTAGTTGTTGATCTCAGGCGTTCCCGAGGAGATTTTCCTCACTATGGATGATTTCCTGCAGGATTTTCAGAATGGATCAATCAGTTGACATGCACTGAATGAGCAGTTTTACCAGGCACGAGTAGTGCTTACCCAACATTGGGAACCCCAACCAGTACTACAGCCGGTGTGTCGAGCTGAATGGCTGGGGCACTTCTCAATGAACTTTGTAAGGCAACAATGCCCGTCACAGGTTCAGCAGCAAGTTGCTGGTACAGATCCAACAGGCACTCAGTTCCTTCTTCCATTGCTTCGTTGGCTTCACGAGCCGTTTCAGCATTCTTGGCTTTTGCCACCCAGTCCTTTCCAGCCTCCAGCAACATTTTTCTTGCCTCGTGGATCTCATTCTATTAGAAACAAAAGAGCCAATATTTGAGAGAATCAACGCTTTAGGTATGCTATGGTTTTGAGAAGACTTTAATTTGGTTCTTACCAAAACGTCCTGTAAAGTGAGGCCATCCCGCCTTTGCCTTGCCCTCGCCGTGAGATCTGCAACGACCTTTTCGAAGGGATGGAGTCTTCTGAACTCTGAATTATACCCCTTTACAATGTCACGCAATGGGATGCACAGTGCTTGTGTCAGTGTATTGAGAGTTTCAGTGCCATGCTTTCTTGCTCGGTTTCGAGCATTCTTCATCTCACTGCATACATGTATGCAGTATGAAGATCGTTGTTAGTTGGTATGATAACATGTCACGTATAGAAACAATGCCAAAACTCACGTATCTGCCTTCACCCTTTCAGCTTCTGTCCGTGCCTTATTCATTAGCTCTACTGGAGACTTGACCACGGGAAGACGCCTTAGGCCGCCAGTGTTTCGGAACTGCGACCGCTTTGAATCGTTCTTGTGGGAAGTTGTCGAAAACAGCGCACTCGATGGCATCAACACTGCTACCTGTCTGCTCGAGAGGATCCTAGTGGATAATGGGGTGAATCCCTTGACCAAATGAAAGGTACAGGCACATAACATCACCATTGCCGTCGGGAGGATGTTCAAAAGATGTTTCATGGTTGGTATACAAAGCTAATTCCGAAAGTTTGCTCTTTTTTTGTGTTGGTCACAGGAGATTGATGGTGAGAAATGGGCTGGGCCATTGACGTCATTTTTAGCAGCCTTATGGTCTTATTATGAACGACTTACACCAGCTCCAGCCTTTGCAGCCATACTACCGCACATGAGGTACTAAATCTACTGTACTGCACTGGATTTCTGCCTAGCTAGTACCGGTACTTGGTACTAGTACCTGGTAGCTCCATTGAGCATTGCCCTGCTCGAGCAGCTGCCGTACGATGTGCCTCCGTAGTTTCGTGTTCCTGCTACTACGATGAGCTCCCGCCATTTGGGATTATCGTGGCGCTCTTGATCTCTACCGCTAGTGTTAGTCCTTTGATCCATCCTCCTTTGACTGCTTGACCCTATTCCTTGCCACCCTCCTTCGGTTTGTCTGTTCTCTTGCTGCCCGGCTCACGGCCCTCGCACGATGTCTTCCACTCGATTTTTGCCTGGAGTCCATTCCCGTCCATAGTCCACTCTAACCCGTAGTAACCTCTTTCGAGTTTCCTCAAGAATGCCTACGGTCTCTGTTCCACTTCCGATGAATGAACTGCACCGGAAGCAGTGCGGCAGAAGCTGGATCTTGGGGTGATCTTTGTTGTGGACTTGGATCTCGGGGGAGCTTGGGTTAGACCGCGGGAATGCTTGGCCAATCTTACCCCAAGATCCGAGATCCGAGATCCAAGACCGTCGATCCATCCCAGTATGCGAGAAGCATGCGTACTCTCGTGGGGAGCTGCTTTCAGCCAGGGTACGGACGGAAGCGGCAACTGTCCCGGAAGGTTTGGTGTTGGTATGGTGCCGGTAGCCACTGAAATTGGGAGCAACTGTTTGGAAGGTTTGAAAACTGGCGCCGGTGTCCAAGCAAACGTTTTCAAATGGGACGACGATGAACTTGGATGAATCGAATCGTAGTACCATGGGACGGGAAGCAGTCGCAGCAGTGGAGCACGTTCGGAAATGACGGTTGTGTTGATACCTGATGAGACGACTCATTAGTAAGTGGCATGGCACAAGCTTTAGCTCTGGGAGTGGGACGTACCAGTTAATGGTACGGTCGGTGTCGCCAACCCAAGATGGCTGGTTGAGGTTAGCTACGATAAGTTGTTCCTTCAGTTGACGTTTGATGGAACCAACTCGCGACTGGAACTGCTGATCATAGCAAGCATAATGCCATAGTGCAAAATAGTGCGGGGGTTTCTTGGATAGCTGGGACCTTCTGCCATGTGGTATGCTGTGATACATGTATCTACTAGCTAGCTAGAGCTAGTGTCTCAAGGTATGCTACGGTACCGTACCGGTTAACAATGCCAACAATGCTACCATAGCATTGACAGGCGACACAAAAAGAAAGTTTGACAGCTGGTGGGAAAGGATATCGGGCTTGAAGGCTGGCACTGGGGACTCGAAACGTCCTGAAGCTCGAACCCTACAATCTTAGACTTCAATAGTTGCAGTTATGACGTCATTTTCTTTAATTAAAAATAGAAAGTGCGTACGTAGAAACACCTTCTATCAAAGGCAGCTGTGTTCGGCAGATGGAAAGCAGATGGTCTTTTGAAATGGTGATTGAGCAGATGCTTTTCTACTGCCTCTTCTATAGTACTTTTTTGGTCAACCGTACAAAACACTACCAAGCTTGTCCTTGTCAGAGTCCCTCTCGTTTGCTGTCTCTCCTTCTATGGTGCTACAGAGATGTGTCACCATTCGAAGCGAAGTGATATCATACTTTCCAAAACACCTCTTGCTTAGCAAATTCCCACAAAGACAGAGCAAGATAAAGCCAAGAGAGATTGCCAAACCGCAGCAGAAGGATCCGCATCGAATCGAGTCAGAGTCCATACCGGTAAAGTCGTACCTTTACTAATTGATGCTAACCATGGCAGGGCGTGAGGGTGAGCAGAATCGTGACAACACCAATGCAAATGCGAGCGCCGCTGCGATGGAGGCGATCAATAATGCAGCACGTGCGTATGCTGCCCTGGCACCCCCTCCACAAGCTGCAACAGCTCCACCTGGACCCTTCCCTTCAGTGGGTGGTGTAGATGCTTCATCTTTCTTTCTGAACCCAGCTGCCGCGGTTGCAGTCGTCGCAGCGGCTGCCGCCAAACATTTAGCTCAAGGACAGATACCCGTCCAGGCTCCCACAGGTAATGCGGCTCCTGCCCTGGTGGCAGCTTTGGGACCTCCACCACACAGCGTAGGTGTGAATACAGCCCATCGACACACCCACGCCCAGGCAACCAGTAACCCATCAACGGCAGCAGCAGCCGCTATGGCGGCCACTCTGCTACCCCCTGGTGCTCAAGCCATGAATCCCCTATCTGCTTTCCTACAGAGCGTTGGTCAGCAAGTGAATCATGCACAAGCCCATCACCATTTAGCAGCAGCTGTGGCAAATCCATCCCCACCACCACCTGCAGCTTCCTATTCACCAACCCCACCACCATCCTTTCCACAACAAAGGGCTGCAACTGAGACGGCTACACCAGCGACAGTGACGAATGCATCTGGCCATCCGAATGCGTTCTCGGCAGTCGCTCAGGTGGCAGCAGCTCATGCTGCTACTTCCGTTTCCTCCAACGTGAATCCTGTTCCCAACAGTGCTCTTCTCCCTAACATTCAGAATTGGTCCCTTGAACAGCTTGGTAAGTGCAGTGGTTGATCCAAGGAAACGAAATGTCGTAAACTGTGATCTCACTCACTATTCTATGTCTGTTAGAAAACCACGTGAATCTTCTTAGGCAGATGCAGCAGCCGGTTCCACAATCAGTTGCTTTGCTGTTGGCTGATGCAAGGCGCAAGGAGGAGAAGAAAACAGCCAAGCGTGTTGCCAATCGGAAGTCGGCATGCACGTCACGCGCTCGCAAGAAGGCATTGGTGGAAGAAATGACAAGGACGAATGCTCGCCTAAGAAGACAGGCATTGATCCTGTCGCTCCTGCCTGATCTTGTCATTGTTATTTCACAAGAGGGTGAGATAACCTTCTGCAGCGCACAAGTGGAAAGAGTCTTGCGACACCAGATTGATGATCTTATTGGGGCTGACATTAGAGATGTCCTGATACCCGCCTCGAGGGCGGCACTTGGGAAGCTGGTCACTGAACTCACCAATCCCGGTAAGCCGAATGGCTCATCAAACAATGAAGCAAGGCGGAATCGAAGGGGCGCTGCCAGGAATGAAGACCAACAAGGGACAAGTAGGAATAAGGCGCGCAGAGATGAAGAGAATGGGAACGTGTCAGGAGCATCGTCAGGGTCCGGGGGAGGCTCTTCAGGCGCCGCCGCCGTTGTGTCGGATCAATCGTTCCCTTTGTCTGTTGTTAAGGTTGACAGCAAACAGGAGCCCCCGTCAGACGAAAATGAAAATTCTGATACCTCAGGTGTGGGGGTGAAACGACGTGTGGCGTCGTCTCTGTCCAATAGTACTACTGCAAGATCGCCGTCGGCGTCTCTTGCTGCTCATAGTGGCAGTGGATCAGAAGATGGTGCCAGAACAAACCCGGCAGCTGCACAAAAGGAGCTGGGGTCAAAAAAGGAAAGCAGCGACGACTCGAGCTCGGGTTCGACCGAAACCAAGACTGTCAGGAAGGCAAATGAGAACTTGGAGCGCAACGTTCGATGGCACAACAAGAAGCTTCAGAGCATGTCAAAGTCAGCCAAGAGCAAAGCGGGTCACAAGGATGATGTCCTTGGCGATTCGGTCACTCCTAACAACGCGCTGGCTAGACTGAGCTCCTTGCAACACCACCCAATGGCAGGAAAGCCACGAAAGAAGAGAAAACAATATGACGATGGCATTGGAGAGGATCGGTCCTCTTCCGACGACTCGCTTCTCGCTGGAATCGAAGAGAAGAAGAAGAACGTGAGCAACAATGAAAACGCCTCGGACGATTCGGGCTATCGAGAGTCAAACGATTCACGCGAAGAAACTTCGTCTTCAGCAAGTGAATCCTCAAATTCGAATGGTATGTATAACAAGTGCGAATGTTCAAGTCAAGTTATTTGCCAGCAGTACACTTCGATCGCCGTCTTGCTAACAGTTGTGCCGCATATTCACCACCTGACCAGGACGAAACAAGCCATTGGCGCCGACTTGTAACGTATGCTTGATAAGAGATGATTTGACGTCGTTATGGTGTGAAGTGACGTCGTCGATCAGAACTAGGACCGTCGAGGACGACACCCCGACGACAGAGGTTGATGCAAGTAATGACTCAAAGAATGACAAAGGCAATTCCGTAAAGGCACCGGAGGGCACAAAGTCGTCGAAGACAACCAGTGCCGATGCTATCCCTGAGGATGCACCTGCACCGGTTGAAGAGAAGGCCCCTGAAACCGTGGAGCTTTTGCTCTGTTTGAGGCCAATACGAGACGGCGGAAAGGTTGATGAGTAAGTGTTTTCGTTATTTCGGAGAGCGATTTGCACTGGATGTCGACGTCAATACTTGCTAACACTGCTAGACGCGATTGCATTCACTTTGGAATCTTTCTCCATTGGCAGCTCCCTACGGTTCATTCCTCAAAAGAAGATGAGAGCAACGGACTCGGGTGCTTCGAGTCCAATGCCACTTTTCGGCGACCCCAGCACATCCGTTGCGGTTGGCGTCGCCGAGAGAGCTGTTTCGTCTACTAGCAATGGCGATCTATCGTCCGAGCCAGTCAGCGAAGTCTCTACCGGTGAAAACGGAAAGAGCGCTCAGCGAAAAAGACAAGGTCCTGGCGAGAATGAAGCAGGAACAACTGAGCAGCAAGGAAACAGAGCAAAGCGTCCGAGAGTGAAGGATGGACCTCCCTCTTCCAGCGAGACGGAAAAGAGTGTTGTGGAATCATTGATGCTGATGTCCCACAACCGATAGACGCGTGATACATCATTCCATATACCTTTGCTATGTCGCTGAAAGGGATCTGTAATAGATAGAAATCCATAGTAGGAAGTACATGTTTGCGTAAGGCGTGACTGGTTAGGCTAGCTAAAGTCATTTCGGCACGGGTATTTGTACAGGATTAAAGTGGGTTCTGGACAAGACAGTGCTTTATCGAGTGTATTTTGACTTTTTTTGGTGGGCAATTTTGGATATCGAAAAAGACGTCATTACTGAATCTCGCTATTAATGCTGTTACCATGCAACTCGCTACACCACAACAACCTCTTTGACCTCTTCCAGAGATGCTCCGATCGTTCCCATGAGCTTTCGGCGCTCATCCAGACTGAGCATGTTGATGTTATTACCAACAGCAGCAGCTTGTTGATGCACCGCAGTTGCGAGTGCCGTGTCTTCGAGTGGGATTTCGTCTGTTTCCAAGCGTCGTAGCTCTTCTTCGTCCTCGGGACTCCAAGGCACGATCTTGAGCGGAGGAGGAGCTTCTAGATAGGCCTTGAGCACATCCGCTTTCTTTCCCTGGCCCTTCTTTCCAAACTTGTATTTGTGCAGAATGTCGAGCTCGGTGGCAGAAAATTCTTTCATATTTTCCGTGGTTGGCTCGCCCTTTTCTGCAATGATTGCGTCCGCCTCGTCCTTCGCCTTTTGTAATGCCATCGTATTCTCTTTCTTCTGCTTGAGTGCCTTGATGTCTGCGTCTCGCTGCTCCATCATTTTAGATTGGAAGAATTCATCCGAATTGATCATGTCGCCCTTGGTTTGATGAAACGTTGCTCCATGAGTAGTACAAGCAGCCAGTGCTCGAAGATGCTCATGGGGATGTGCAACAGTCACAGATTCACCTCGCTCGAACTGCTTGATGGATCGCTTGGGAGCAGTAATGCGTAGTCGATCCCCGGCATAGGCCATGCTATTCAATAAATCACAATTCACTCGGTTGAGTGATTCTAGATCTAGATAGAGCTTGGCAAGTGGCGATAGCTCCTCGTTGACCGTGTCATCATTATTGTAAATCACCTCTTGACGGACCTTCTTGTGATTCAATGGGGCTCTAGTCAATGGGACGGAGCCACACTTCTTCCAAACTCCTAGGTTGGCTTGGACGTTGAAAGCTTTTTCGAAAGAATCCTCCAAGACAATGTCGGTGACTGGATCAATTCCTCCAAACACCAGCAGCGGTAAATCATTAGTAGACAATGAAACGTTTGCCTCAAACCGTGCTGCTTGTAGTTTCTTCAAATTGCCCCTGTAAGCCGTTTTGAATGGGCCATAGTTTTGATCTGACTCTTGAGTGACGGCAGTTGTGTTGGGAACGCCTGGAACTAGATACAAGCCCTTGTGCACTTGGTTCTCGCATCAGCGAGCATGGACATCTCGTTTCGGCCAGGACCACTGTCAACCTTGGCAATCACTCGCTTTCCTGGAACATCTTCAATATCTGGATAAAGAGGGTAGATTGCTTTGTGAATGAATTTCTCCAGCTCAACAGCGTTCATACCGGCCTTTTCATTCATGCCGACTGTAATGCCAAACTCTTTCACAGTCTCATGGCCGAACTTGGAATTGTTGTTGAGTTTTTCACGTTCTGTTTCCTTGGCAGACGTCTTGAGCTGGAAGTGGGGAGGTAATGGATCTCCTTTGGCGTTGGAGCCACAAATAATTGTGGGAGAGTAAGAACACTTGTTGGCCTGTGTTGCTCCTCCCGGAATCTCTGGAGAGTAGAAGATGACTGGCTTTCGGCCTCCTCTTTTTCCAGTAGTGCTGTCCATCGATCCGTCTGTTTCATCAAAGTTCAAGATGCGTTCCACCTGGCCAGGAAAGAAGAACAGTTCGCCCGGCATCAACGTCCCATCATTCATTTCCTCTGCAGTCTTTTCACGTGCAAACCCAAGCTTGATCAAAAGGGCCTTCCAAGTTGTGAACCATGTCTGTAAGTTGGCGAATGTCGTCCATTGGACACGACGATGCTCTTGGACATTAGCCGTATCGGCTTCGAAATGGTCAGCATAATCACGCATCAACTTCTGTACCAAATCAGAACGCGATTTGTTGAATCCGGCTGCGTTCACACAAGCATTGACTCGCAAGGCCATCTCGTTGATAGTTGATTGATTCTTGCCTCGGGCCTGTTCCAGCTTCTTGTAGGTGACAAAGGCCATTCCGAGAGCATCATAGATAATGGGATCAAAATGACCAACAGGCCCAGGTTTCAAAGGTGCTACCCCAACACGGCCTTCATTGACCATTCGGCGAATCTGTGCTTCTCGGATATTACTGCCCATCTTAGTATTGATAATATCGCAGATTGTTTGGGCAGACTGCTTCTTCTCGTGGCCTTTGGGAAGTTCCTTGCTTTGAGCGTACAATTTGGTAGCGGCCTTATAAGCAGCATCTTCGATTTTTTGAATTTTGTTCTTGTCGGATTGTTGATTCTGTTTCTGCTTGGAGGAACGTCGACGCTTTGTCGTAGGCTTCTCTGGCAGGCCAGAAGAGACGGAAGCAATCTCAGATTCAACCACGTCTTCAAAAGAGGAGGCCATGGATTCGATGGAGCCAATAGAATTGCGTCTGGATGATTCGATGGAGCCCATGGAATTGCGTCTGGTTGGCAATGGTCGCGACCGCGTCCCTCCATTAGATACCTCTGTCTGTGCGGTATTTGGCACAGCCACTATTCCTGGCGGAGGCGTCAAAGCCCTTGTGGTTGGTGTATCGAAGTTGAAAGTGGCAGTAAGACGCTGAATCTTCTTGTGTACAGCAGACGAGCCAGGGGTCTCTTCGAGTCCAACGATCTCCATGGCTTTCTTCACAGAGATTTTCCCTTTAAAACCCTTAGAAGCAGCCACCATAGCGGCGACACGCATCATCAGAGAGCTCTCTGTTTCGTCTATGGTCTCCTCTATTGATGTGTTCCAAGACAAATGCGACAGATCTGTACAGCGTAAATGAGCGAGAAGGTAGCAAGACTGGCTTTGGACACGAGTGAGCGTGAATCGGTCGAAAAATCGCACGATTCGCTACTACAAAAATCGACCATGGCGATAGCTAGAGATCATGGTTAACAACAATGTTATATTGTTATCCTACTAACTAGAATGCGCTCTTTCAGTTAATGTAATCGGTATAGCTATTGGTTGACTCTATAATTGTCAATGGCTTGTTACCTTGCAGCAGGTCAAAAGTCGATTCCTGAGTGTCCAAAATCGATTGTCCAAAACCCACTTTAATCCTGTACCTCTCTCGAGCTTGTCTGGGTACGCTCGCTTCCCCTGTGGCCCAAACAAGACGTCCATTAGGTTTGGAAAGGACTGCGCGTATTTCATCAGGAAGGTGACACATTCTCTTCATGGAGGAGTCTATCATAGTGTCCCTTTGATCCCCACACCTGTCAGAAGACAACATTGGTCAGGATCATTGTTATTGACAACACATCGCATTAATTTTACCAACAAAAGACATACCACCGCAAAGCCCGAACCACGTCGTTGTGCTCTTGGAGATACTTGCTGTCGTTCGAACTAAGAGTTCCAATCAATGAGAAGCCTTGATGTTGCAGCTCAAGACTCTCTGTGAGTTGGAGGAAGGCAGGAGGAAAAATAATATCAGCTGAATGGCTTCAAAAGGCAACCTGACATAAACGATCCCGGCTTTTACCTGTGTTCATGGGACGCAGGGTCGATGAGGCTGACCCCGACTCGTTTTTGCTCCCTGGTTTTCCAAACTCGGCGGCAAATCGTTGCTTGGCCTCAGTGAGGTCTCGTGTTCCATTATCCAGTGCAGCTTTTGCAGCGTTATACTGTTTTGGATCTTTTTGTGCACTTTCTTTTGCTCTAGAGAATGCTTGCTGCAGTGCCTGCAATTTCTTTTTCTTTACTTCGAGATCCTGTTTCAGAATTGATTCAGGGTGAACTGGAGGAGCGGACTCAGTTTGAATGCCATGCAACTGAAACAACTCGACAGTGCTCGATCCGGGTTTTGGTGACGATGCTGCTGACAATGCTGTGCTGGGTGTAGTTGGAGCCTTCTCGGATCGAATTATAGCGAGAGGTCGCTCCATTGCTAAGTTGAGCATCATCACAGAACACTGTCGCCCACTAAGGTATGAACGCAGTGCGACGCATTCGTCCAGCCTAACAATGTGCTGGAACAGTTCGCTGTAGATTGGTGCCTTCAAGCGTTGAAAGAAGAATCCCACGGTATACTGACAGTGCTTGGTCAAGTAACGAGCAAGTGGCTGTCTGTATGGGGAGGTAACAAAGTGGCCGTTGAATCCTGGCAAGTAAGCTTCCAGTTTGATTGTCGTTTTCACAAGTGGCTCCACAAACTGTGAAGCGTGTGGCATGAGTGAGAGCTGGACGACATCAGAAAGCTCTTCGGGGATAACAAATGTGACTCCTGATCCTACAGACGGCAAGCCAGTTGTATCTCTAGTTCCCCTCTGGCTCGCTACGGGTACCAGACTATGCCATGCTGCCATGGGCTTCGCCTTTCTCCGTGCTTTCCGCCAGGATCCAGCTGTGCGTTTTCTTTGATCCTTTCCGGTACGGTAGAGTCTAGATCTACTGCGCAGTATCATATCTTTTATGGATGTCCCACGGGGGATACAGTGCGTTTTAGTTTTAAGATTATATTTGCTCACTTTTTCGAAAGCTCTCCAAATAGATAAACATGTCATTAGTTCTCAGATCCATCCTATGATTTCGTGGGAATTTGGAACTTCCGACCTCATCATTCCATCCTCGAAGCATGTCTCGCCATTCACCTCCGCTGAAATGTTGGCTTTTCCCCTCACAAAGTTGGCTACCTGGTTGGCTAGCCATTGGCTTTTAGCTAAACCATGAATGGAGGGACAGGTACATTCCCATCGATGGACTTGTCGGCATTACAAACTGGGTGATTTCGTGCAGAGTGCAGTCATCAGACAACAGCAACAATAACACATGCTACCATGGACAACAGTAGTAGAAGCAACAACTCCTCCTTGGGGAAGCTGGACCAGCACAGTCGGTTTGGTGGTCCAGTTTGGAATCGGCAACGTCTCAATACAGGATGTTCACGAAAGTGGATCTGATCGAGGGCATTGAAACCACAGAAAGGGTATCTACCACCATTGCCCGCCCCTGTAAAAGAAAAGCCACCATTCAAAAAATGATAAAGAGTCAGCGACATGTACACAGGACACTGCAGTTGATGATGTCCCAGATGTTGAAACCATGACAGAACCACCACCACCTACCCGTGCCATAGTGGAAACAGCACCACTTTCCAAGCTAATCGAAGACAGTTGTGTCTGCAACCGTTGTCACAAGGTCAATTCACTTCGCTTGAAGTTTGTTTCTGTTGGTGTTTGTTGTTTGCTAGTAATACTGCAGCTTATTGGGGAGTAATTTGGTTTTAGATTAAGCTGAAAAGCAAAAGTGAGGATTTTCTGGTGGTGATAGCAATTCTTGTGATTGATTGGATATAAGGACCCCGTAACACTTTAGACCTAAAACTCCTCGGTTCCTTGCATGATGAATTTGCATGCGAACCGGACTAGATGATTAATACACGAGTCAATAGTAAAGAGGTGTCAGGTATATTCCTCCAACACACTCCTGCACGGTGCCCTAAGTGGCTACCTGGGAACGAATAAAATAAATTAGGCAATCAAACAAGGGTGGATGCCCCATGATGAAAGCCCTGTCCTCGTGGAAGAGCTTGCCCTGAAGGGGCTTCGTGAAAAATCTCCACGCATCTCCAAGGTTGGGCAGTACACACACTCTGAGGTTGCCTTTCCAATCTGATCGTGAATGAAAAAGAAACGAATGTTGATGGCCCGAGTCCTCTTTCCTGAACTGCCTTTCCCATTCTCTGCAAGAATGATCGTGCTTTTGTTGTCTGCATGAGGATGTTGTCCTTCAAAACTATCCCCTGCTCTTCAAGGAACAACTTTGCCACAGCATGGGCGACATGACATCGTCAGCTCCAATCAATTCCGCTTCCGTGCTGCCCTCGAATTCAATTTCTGTTTCGACAGACACAGACAGCACCGCGCCACTTCAAAGGACATGACTCCTCCTGTATGGGAACGGTAATCAGATGGACTGCAAATGATGCATCCACCAACCAAGTGATGACACGGATATACATCAACGTGGAGTATCAACTGTCCTCCACTGTTTGGTCGAGGAACTTCAATCCTTAATCAACTTGCCCCATCATCAACTGTGGGTTTCCTCACACGTGTACAGAAAACAATTGTCAGTGTTTGGACATCTGGTCTTGCTCTCTTGCACGCGAACAACAGCTTGGCTCGTTGGTGTGATAGATTTTTCTGGTCTTGTCGTCCAAAGAGCTCCATCACCAGAACTGAATAAATCGGCAGTTGCCGCGCTGGACACCTTCTTCATTTGCTCGAAGTCCACTGGGAACTCCAAGATCATCTTCTAAAGATAGTCAATCATGTCAATGACTACCTTGCCTGGATCGGAAAAGTCCACCGTCATCCCCAATTAGTCATGCTTGGGACCACGGGTTCCTTGACTGCTCCATAGGACCATACCTTCCATTGAACCATTCCAAAGTCCGTCATTCACCAACTTCATCCTGTGGCTTGACATTAAATCATCAACATGGAATCGATTGTTTGTTGGTAGCCTTCGTCATCGGTTGGCCACACAAGGATCGTATGGTTGAACACAAATCCAATTTGCTCGAGTCACTTCTGAATAGCTTGTACAAAAGAAGTGCTGCCAAAACCATGCCATAATGGCTCTCTCCACGACAACATAGAGGACAGGACGTCCCTTTTGTATGTAGGAAAGAGCATATGTGTCAGGATCAATTCGACAAGTAAATCTGCAAGGGTTCCCTCAATGATCATGAGGACCCTGTCTTCCCTTGTTTGACTTTTGGCATTGGGGTTTGGATAACGCATTGGGAACATCCGGGACATCACATCCCTATCTTCGGCATCGACACACATGGATAACATCAAACCCTCAAGTGAAACTGTTGGGCTCCTGGCATCTTCTTTCTGATGGTACACCCTTGTAGGTTTCCCATTGTAGACTGCACGGGCCTTGACCGTGCCATCCTTTTCTCAGTCACAAACATGAGTGCCATTTGTGCCTTTTTCATTTCAGAATCACTGCATTTGTTGGGTCGACTGGACTGAAACACACTCTGCTGTGTAGCTGGTCCATCTCTTTGAGCGCCGCTTTTCTGGCTTTGTTGCCCCACACTTTCAGACCTTGGGTAGAAGATGTTGTTGGGCAGGGCTGCTCTCATCCATGACTTCTCTGTGGCACTCCTGTGATTACAGAGTCCATGAACAAAGCTAGATGTTTGCTTGTCTCTGTCTCATACAGTAGTGGTTGCTTCGCTTCGTCATCTTGGAGAAGGTGACTCCTTTCTTTGCTTCGGCTGTGGCAATCCGAGCTGAGCGTCTAATTCCAACTCGAGGAAGCTTGGAAGCCTTGGCTGGCCCAGCGAGGTTTCCATCATTGGTATCCACTGCTGGTGCCGTCTCTTAACTGTAGGGTTGTCTGGACTTGTGCTTGTTGGATTCCTTGGAATCCCTCTTCTCCTTCTCATCGGAGTCAATGTCTGTGGCATACTGTTTGGTGCCCTTGGTACTAGCCCTGGGGCGTTCCCATCCTTAGAATCTTCATCTGATTCCGTGGATTCTGATCTCGTCCGAAAGTCTCCATAGCTTGGAGGTAGCTCTCATTTCCATTGACACCATCCACTCCTGCAGGCAAACCTACAGGTAAAAATTCCACAAAGTCACGGTTGTGAAAGATTAGTGGTTTCTTACCTCTCACCGTAGCCTTCTTTCGACAGCATCAATGACTGACGAGGCATCGGCAGGATGCGGCATGCTGTCGCGTGATCACCTCAAAGGTGACGAGGTCCTCACACTGTGTCCACCTTGGTGGTTGTCCATCAATGGAGGAGATAGATGCAATCCATCGCCTGGGCTCCATGGAATTGAGCTTTCTGGTTCGTTGGAAGCGAGACAATAGCTCCAAAAGTGTACTGAATATCTTTGTAGCTTGTGGCCCGACCCTCCAAGATCTGCCTGGGAGGATACACTTTAGAGATTCCATCAAGGCGGGAAAAGGTTGAGTTTACAATTAACATCGAACACCAATTCCACAATCATCACCTTTGGCATCACCATAAACGGGGTTGAATGCCAGGCTGCGCGAATGCGCTCCTTCAAGGTCGGATGTTCCGTCGGCGGGACCACTGTGAGCTGAGCCGCTCCATGGTTGAGCTTGAGCTCAATGTCGTTCTTGACAGGACCATCAGGCTCTTGACTCCAGGTCGCACTGTATTCTTGGATCTTGAAATCATTATTTCCGTACGATCAAAATCTTGTCAATGGCGGCATAGAATGATTTTCCTTTCCTGTTGGTCAGGTAGGTTGATTCGCGTGTCGGATTTGCAAGTCATTGAATGCTAGAAAGGCAATTTCACAGACATAAAACACATCATGCATCCGGTCAGGAACTGTGTGGTGCAACCAGCTCATCCAGTACAGTATGAATACTGTCGGTCACTGGTGGGGGGCGTCTGCGTGTAGTGAGCCCTTGGCCTTGCCCATGTCGCTCCCGAAATTAATTCGGCGCGATCGATGTCTTCCAGCTTGACGGGACAGTCCGAATTTGACCAGTCCTGATCATGTTGGGGTAGCCCTCCAAAGATGGCGCTGGAGGTTGTGGTCAAGATTTCTTGCGAGAAATGCACCCTTGGCTTGCTTCTTGGTAAAGCCTTCGAGGTTCCCTCCACCGTCTGGACCAAGTCTGGAACTCCGGTGAAAACTGGTTGAGTTGGGCCATGGATCCAGCAGGTCTTGCTCAATCACACGCCAACAGACCTTTGGCGGTCCTTCCATACCTGGTATGGATCCAGTTGGGGGTAGTGGTAGATGGGTCGTCGACTCTTGAGTCCATGGACATAGGATCCATCCGTGCCCTGACGCAGTCATCACAACAAGAGACAAAGCGTTGATATTGGCGATGCTCCTGGATTGAATAACCATGCCGTAAGGTGTGTCACCTTCTTGGGTAAGCTTGGTGCTTCCAACATTGGTGGCCATCTCGATTGGTCTGGGAGATAGCCGCTTGCGGACAATCATGTCCTGGTTCATGACAGTTCGGATGAACTGCCACTGTCGAGATACACTGTGGTTGGCTCCATAGGAATGAGGTTCTTGACCGACACTCCTGCAAGATTTGGCTCTGCCACTCCTGTGAGTTCGGCATCTGCACTCCTGGGAACTCAAACGCAACTTGATGGTTCTGTTCTTTACTGATAGTGAGTCTTGTTCTTGGAAATCTTCATACAGTTGCCTGCTGATTCTCCCGTTGACGCGGCTGGGTCCACGGTACAACAGCGGAATTCATTCTCTGTATCCGAGCTGTAGTCAAAAGCAGCTCTGATCATCGTCTGGCCATTCCGAGGGATGACTCCTTCGAAGGGATCTGT